ATTACATAGTAAGAAGTAAATTGAACTTTGTTTAATGTTAAACAGTCATATACTAAACCTACGATAATGCCTATCTGTTCACCAGGGTCTTATGCCGCGCGTCATCTTTTGTGGAAAAATCAGGTCTCGATATGTGGCCCTCCCCAATGCAGCCACGATACCCGAGTGTTATTGTATCTATGTCGATCCGATCGTAATTGTAAAAGTGTTTTCCTAATAAAATGGAGTCATGCAATGCTGGAACAGGCCAGGCTCTTGCCGATTGTGCACCTACGCCTTTTGCCCTCAAAAAGTAATTGTTGCTCTCGAACTTCAAAGAGATAACATCATTCGTGATGCATCTGATGTAATGGGCCACATTGTATCTATAACATAAACAGAACTAAACAATTACATTTGTAGGCAGGTGCTGTGCCGAATAGCGAGTACGGCGTTTTAATTTGTTATTGGTTTATTATTGGGGCCTTAAGGTACCAATGATAAATTATCTGAAAATGAGTGGTTCCCGAGTGCAGTTTGTTGGTGTAATGTTAAGCGATGGAAACTGTGAAAGGGCTCTTGCTTCGATAGGATTTATTTAATCAAAAATAAGATACTATTGCTACCTACGTACATCAACAGTAAAACCTGTTCAAATTAATCCTCCGTAAAATGAATAGCTCCATAATTCAAATGGCGGGTAGCTATTTATTTAAATAACGAGCTCGATGAATTTATTGACATCGGCGTCTTAGGATTTTTATATTTAGACAGGTTTTGCTGTATATGTTTATAGAGTACTAATATCAGCATTAATAAGAGTTTAACGTTGTCGCTACATTTGTGGTGGTATTGGAGTACGTATTACGTACCTAAATACCACATCAAGCTACACAGCTCTTAAGTCAGAGGAAGACTTTTTGGGTTGAAGCCACTTAGTTCTATAGAACCAATACAACGCATGAGAACTCTACCCGTTCTAAAGAATTAGAAATGACTTCTCTGTGGTAAATAGCTTACAAGTTCTCAAGATCGACTAAAAGTCGATCCCTTCTAAAGAATTAACAGGAGGCTATTTGCTCAAATAAGCTACGGTCTAAAGAACCAAATGCACAAAAAAGTGCTCTAGCAGTGGTATTTTACTAGCAACTCAAGCAATGTTGCGCAACGTTTCCTAGAACGTAATCTTACATTAAAATTGATAAAAACCCCTCTTTATCGATTGTAATGTTTCCATTTCTATTATTACATAGCAAAACAAAAGAAGCCAAGCGACGTCCTCACTTAATAGACGTCTCGACGCATCGTCTGAGCGTCACTTTATCTATTCCCGCCCTTTCTCTTTTTCTTCTTCCCCTCTTTATCCACACACGCAACGCTGTGGGTCTAATTCTCTCTCGTGCTTTAGTAAATTCACTTCAAATATGAGCTACCAAGTGTCTTCTGTTTTTCTACAAAAGTTCTCGCCCAAGGAAATTCACGAGCTTAAGCGCGTGTTCAAAGAGCACGACCATGACTATGCAGCAGCTGTGCCTATTGCCGAGCTACACACGGTGCTACAGAAGCTTGGCGAGAACGTGACGCCTCATCAGACGACAGTTATGTTGCAACAGACGAAACTATCGAGACCCAATCAGATCACGTTCCAAGAGTTTCTCGAGCTTCTCCATGATTTTCGCAATGGGGTTATCGCTCTAGACCCGTCTCTGCTCTTGAGTCAAGCTTCAGTCGCCCCTGCTGCCATGCTAGAGGCCGTTGTGGCAGATCCTGAGCCTTTTCCTGCGGCAGAGACGCAGCCATTTTTTGCTAATCAAAAGACAGCAAATCGGCAACAGAATGTGACGTCAAATCCACAGGCAGAAGTTTCGGCTTTTGCACAGAAAGCTCACTGGCCACCTGCAGAAACGCCGACGGCGATACCGGTTGCAAGTAAAGCTCATTGGCCTTCTGCTGCTAGTCAAGCTTCGTCGTGGGGATATATGCCGTCATCTGCCTCACAAGTATCAGTTCCTGCTACTGCGTCGACGCATGCAACGCCGCAGTGGCCACCAGCGGGCTCGAGTGACGCAACCTATCCAAAGTCGCAGTGGCCACCTGCCGCATCTATTGCACCTGTTGCGACCACTGCACCTCCTGTCGCGACTACGAAATGGCCTCCTGTTGGTGATTCTGCCGGAGACAAGAATCTTACGAAGCCCGAGTGGCCTCCTGCAGGGACCTTGCCTAGCGCGCGAAAGAAATCTCAGTGGCCTTTGACGTCTGCTGCTGAATCTTCACAATGGCCGCCTGCAGGCAATAGAACAGCGAAGCCGCAGTGGCCTCCAAGTGCATCGGTGTCTACTCCAACCAATGTGACACCCCCTACTTCTTTGGAAACACTGAAGCATGCTCAGTGGCCACCTAGTACGCCATTACCAGCCCCTGTAACGACTAACACTCCTCCTCATATGCCTGTCGAGCAGATTGCGCCAGTCTCGCCTTCAAAGGGTCAGTTTATGAATAGCAACGTCGATGCGCACACGTTGAACGTTCTGCAGCGACGTGCGAGTGCAGCAGCGCAATATAACTCGACTATTTACGAGGTGAAAGGCACTGCTGGTGGCCTACACTCGTATTCGGAGGAAGAAACTGTCGCCTTCACGGAACACATTAACAATACTTTACAAGCGGACAAGGATGTTGCGTCTTTAATGCCAATTAGCGTGAATGCTGGCTTGTTCCGGGCGGTATGCGATGGCGTGGTACTGTGTAAGCTGATTAATAAGGCCGTACCTGAGACGATTGATGAGCGTGCTCTTAACTTTGTGAAGCGGACGAAGGAGCTGAATGTGTACCAGAAAACCGAAAATCAGAACTTATGCATTAACGCGGCAAAGAGCATTGGTTGCAGCGTCGTGAACATTGGCCCCGATGACTTGATTGAAGGCAAACCCATCCTTGTGCTAGGTTTGGTGTGGCAGATTATCAAGATTCAGCTGACTTCGACAATTAACTTGAAAAATCATCCCGAGCTCATGCGGCTTCTTCTGGACGGCGAGACGCTGGAAGAATTTATGAAGCTTCCTCCTGATCAGATTCTGCTGCGATGGATGAATTATCACCTGAAGACAGCAGGCCACCCGAAGAAAGTTACGAACTTTAGCACAGACGTGCAGGATGCGACCGCTTACAGTGTGTTGTTGCATCACATCGCCCCCCAGCACTGCGATTTATGTAACGAGTCTATTCCGGAGGAACGTGCAGCGCACGTGATAAAAAATGCCCGTCGTTTGGAAGTCGAGACGTTTATCAAACCTCGAGATATTACGAGCGGCAACCCAAAGCTGAACATGTCGTTTGTGGCTCAACTATTTAATACGTGCCCGGCGTTGGATGTCATCGAAGAAGAGATTAAACAGCTTGAGGAGATTTTGTACGATGACGTTGGTGATACACGCGAGGAGCGTGTATTTCGGATGTGGATCAATTCACTGGCGATTGATGATGTGTATATCAATCACTTGTACTCGGACTTAAGCGACGGTATGAAGCTTCTCAAGGTTCTGGACAAGATTCAGAAGGGCATTGTCGCTTGGAACGGGGTAAACATGGTAGCGCCCAACAAATTCAAGCAGGTTGAGAACTGCAACTACTGTGTTGTGCTGGGCAAACAGCTTAAATTCTCGCTGGTTAATGTCGGTGGCGCTGACATCTTTGAAGGTGCGAAGAAGATGATTCTGTCGATTGTGTGGCAGAGCATGCGATACCAGCAACTGAAGATTCTGAGCGAGCTGGCAGCGGGCCGTGGCGAAATCACCGACAAAGATATCGTCGGATGGGCAAACGAGAAGGTTCGGCAGAGCGGACGGGCAAAGGGCAACATCGTGTCATTCCGGGACCCGAGTCTGTCCGACGGGCTCTACCTGCTTGACTTGGTGCATGCTGTCGAGCCTCGCGCCGTGGATTGGGACATGGTCTTACAAGACAAGACAGACGACGCGAAGGCCAGCAACGCCAAATACACTATCAGCTGTGCGCAGAAGATAGGTGCGACCGTCTTCTTAACGTACGAGGATATCGTGGAGGTGAAGCCCAAGATGATGATGACTTTTGTGGCGAGCCTGATGCTGGTGGACCACCAGCGCAAAGCGTTGGACGTTGGCCTTAACGAGTGACAGTCGCTGTATTGCACCGAAAGGAAGCTGCTAGAATAAAGGCCTTAGTCCGATTGACGAGTCGAAGAAGGCCATTCACAGCAGAAACAAACAAAGCAAACTCTTAGCTTACCCCATCTTTGGTCATCGAAGTCTATTGGAACACCTCCGTCACACAACGTCTACTTGGCTTTAGCTATATTGATGATAGTCTGCGGCTCTCGATTCTCATCAGCTAGTCGACATATTCAGCTTCAAGTCTACTCCGTTTTTTCGCTGTACAACAATTTGACATCGACCAGTTCAGTGCTCGGACACAAACACTATATACGTAGTTGCTTGTCGGGCATGCCTTAAGCTCGAGCGTCAAATAAAACTAGATGCTTTTGAGTGCGGGTATGAAGGAAGTCAACATTTAGAGAGACCATGGGTTAGCCCGTAGCGTGATGCGGCGCGTTATCGACGGATCAGCGTCAAGCTCTAGCTAGAACTTCCATGCAGAGCGCCTGCGGTGGACCTCAAATGACTGTAAGCAGCACGATGGATAAGGTCTGCCCGATAATATCACTTTCATCACCAATCAACGTTGATATTCTGGAGCGGTCGTAGGCTTGAACACAGTATCACTGACGCATGGACAGTTTTAGACAATCAACTGTCAAATTGCACCTCCGATAGCTACATACAAGCAAACACACCAACTCTGTGTCATGACTCGACTCCCATGCCGACGACAAGCGTGTTGAACGAATGAATGAGTTTAATGGTGGTGTCTTTTGCGTCTTTACAGTATTAGGCTCTTCCGCAACTTTGAAGTCTACAATCGTCAATTTTACAACATTCTGTGAATCTTGCAGGGAATTTTGGTATTGATTTGAAATTTTTATAGCATGGCCGCAATTGTGACAGTAATTTAAGCCAAAGTGGCCTATATTAGGACGGTCATTTAATATTCCCACTATGTATCGCGATCCGCGAACTTCTGGTCCGAACTAGCTGATTCGTGGTATAATGGCACACGTCCAGAGACTGGTCTGTTGACATTACAATGGTACCAACGGACCAGTCTCTGGACGTGTGGCTATAATTGAGAAAGTTGTGCACCTATCTCCTCTGAAAACGTTTTCAAAAGCATCTATGCAGTCATCCACGTAAAGAGGCGCTTCTTCGAAACTTCCTGGGTACCACAGACCGGTAGGTCTGGCTTGACACAAGTCAAAGTTCCCATATTAGTGCATCTCGTCCAAATGACTCTCCTTCACAACATCATGACCGTCTCCTTCGTGACTCTAGCAGTATTTCAACCTGGCAGTGCGAACGCCGCCAATTGCACAGACAAGGAGCAATCCACAATCGACAGCGTCTACAATGAGCTGACCAAAAGCACGACGTGTGCAGACCTCATCTCCAACTCGGACACCACGTCGCTCGACTACTGCAACAGCAGCGACTGCATCGCAAAGCTCAGCGCCACCGTCGACCAGCTGCCGGACTGCACGGGCGACGATGAGATCGATCGCAAGACCGGATTGCAGGCAATTGTCACGTACTGCGCTGACGTAACGAAGGTGATGGGCCAGTCAGCGTCTGGCGCAGGAAGTGACATTGTCTCGAGTGCTTCGAGTGGTGTCCTGGCCGTGTGTGTTCTGGTCGCTCAACTGTCAGTGGCTCTCTATTTCTTCGCGGGAATGTTGTAGACTTCCGTAGGATCAGTAAGCTCGATAGTTGTTCACCTGCCAGGACGTACCACATACGTCGGTAAGTATAATAATACGATACAGTGCGTAGCATTCCGGTGCCTAACTTCAACAATGCCGCCGTTTCACCCCAAATTAATGTCGGTACTAGTGTTGAGTTTTCGTGTCGAGTACCGCAAAAAGCTTTCTAGGAATGCCGGGTATTGTCACGGTTCACCAGATCGTCGAGTAAGGAAATACAAAGAGCGACTCAGTTTGCGACTTTTCGGTATCGTGCACGTGGCGGCTTCACCGACCCACGCGATCAACTCGCGAATCACGAAGAATAGCGACTGGCCGGACCGTCAGACGAAAGATAAAGACTTGAGCTTGTTTGGATCGTTCAAATGAAGATGTTGCGCTCGTGCGTTGGTTGCGCTGCAAGTCGGTGGAAAGTATCGTTGAAATGAAGACTCTAATGCGTGATTTCTTAATAACATGCTCCTAAGCGAAGCGCTTGTCAATTGGTGGTAGATACATCTATGAACAGCGGTCCCTAATCTACGCTAGCTATCCTGCCGTCATGTCCATCCACTGATCCACTAACCGAGATACTTTTTTGTTCTGGCATCATCACGAAGGTCTTAGGCAAGCAAGCTTTCCAGTTCCACACAAAAGTTCTAGCTTTTCAACTTTTTGGTTCTCGTTGATCGCCGTTCCCAATCAGCAATGACGGATAAATGGCAATGCACAGCGCTACGGCAAACGCCGACGCAAGTGTCGAATCATAGCAATGGTCTTACATTAAGTCTGGAAAGGGTACAGGGTGGCAACGAGACAATTGTATTTGTGACGAAGTACAAGACATCGTGTCCTTGATTTTGGTGTGGCGCATCGAACAATTAGTCGTATGATGCTGGGACGCATCGTTACAGTTGAGGTATACCTGTTCGTATACACTGTAGACTCTAGTCTAACAGAGGGGGTTGTCACCTACGAGGTTTTTCCCTCCTCAATCTCAGTGAAAAGCAAGTGTTCCGTGTTGTATCCCTTACTCTGTATTCTTACCCTAAAGTACGGCGACACTTACCTGCGCAGTGTGACAAGTGTGACAGATTCTGTATCACGCTTCGCAAAACGTAAGCAATAGTTGCAGAAAGACGCTGGTCTGTAGCGGCAGTGAGGAGACATTGTTTGTGTAACTATAATATATATTGGTATTTGGTTATACTAATTACTATCAATATTGGTGCGATAGCTGATAAGGACAACATACACTGATGATTGGATGACGTGTCCACCAATAAAGAAATCTGCATATTATATTACTAGTATCATGGCTACTGATATAGTAATAATATAGTGAAGGGTACTTTGAGTATATTTATTCTTAAATCTTCATGCATAATTAAAATTAGTTCTCATTTTGAGTCAAACCCAATATAAGGCTTGTTCTCACGTGCACTTAGTGCATTTGGCTCCTATAATCGTGAGCTTTCTAAGCTTGTTTAGCGTAAGCTCGTTGACTGTAAAAGTCTCTTCCAGTTCCGTAAAACGGGTAGACTTCTTAGTAGTTTAATTAGTTTTTCCTCAGACTAAGTGGACTTAAATTTAAGAAACTAAATTAACGACAACGAAGTCGTACCCTTATTATTAGCTTTATAAAACTAAGAGGCCTTTAGCCTATATGTCTTCCTCTGACTTAATTAGCTACGTAGCTCCGCTAAATTTGGTAGCACATGTAGTCAGTCCTACATTTGACTCTTAAAGACTGACCTTCTGCGAGGATGGAGGTTGTAATCACCTCTCGGAGGCGCATCGACTCGCGCTTGATAAGTTGTCAACGCTGATTGAAGACGATCGATTGATCACATTACGGCATAAGACCCGAAAGTGCTTACAGCATGCCTTAAGGGTTTAATGCGTTACGAGCCACCGCTGATTGGACAGGACCATAACCATGTAGCCTCGGCTATGTCGACACGCTACATTTCGGTGGTAGATAACGAGCTAAAGGCTCGCCCCCTTGTATAAGCGCAAAGGCCTTCGAGGAGAAGGGGGAGGAGTGGACCTGGAACTATATCGGGATCTGGATCTGGATCTGGATGTGGATCTGGATGTGGATCTGGATTTAGACCTGGTTACTAATGGTCCTGGGACTCATCTATGCTCCGATCCCTGCCAGTGTAAGTTTTGATCGCTGCCGTATATGTTCGTCTTAGGTCCCCTTCTCCCTCGGATCCACTGGGCTGGACTCTTGATCGCTTTCACTTTCAGATGTAGCTCGGATGACTTGGATGGGACATCTCGGCTGTTTCTTGGTGTGGTCGGGAGGGGCTGGGGCCTTCTGAAAAAACTTATTAGAACCGAACAGGACCCTTCTCTGACGCGCCTTCGCTTGCTGACGAGCTCGCAGAGCTCTGCCAGGTCACCTGCATCAGATATGTTTTAAGCAAGGTGCGCTGATTCGCTGCTTCTCGATTATTCAAGGTTTCACATAATTTCCGCATGCTTATGCTTCACGTTAAAGCCACCGTTAGTATCCAATTTGGCCCAGAGTCCCGCCACATTCAACCAATACAAATATTATAGCGGTGACTCGTAGGATCTCTTCCTCGCATGATAGTACTGCCACACTAGGCCGCATAACTGGGGTTAAAAATCTGCAGAAGCTGTTTTCAGTCACCACGTATCGTTGGACTCACTTGCCGGTACCAATTTTAAAGCGGAATGTGAGCAGGCCCTCGAAAATGAGGCAATTCTCGCAGTCTGGCAGCTGGCCGGATACAATCAGTCTTCCCTTTGGCGATCCAGCTTCGGGCGCGATCCTTATCATGTTCCCTTCCGTTGTATTTATTCAAGTCCGACGAGGCTGACACTCTGATATGTGAAATGGCAGTAGGATGCCCACCCGCCATAGCCGTAGCCACCGTCGCTCGCGCTGGGGTCACCGGGAACGTCAAATCATTTGGATCATATTTTTCATGAGAGAACTCTACAGACATCAGAATATCACGTGGTGGCCCCAAGTGATCGAATCGCTGGGAGGGCCTGATCCTTGGTCCCTCATAATCTGTCCCCTGTTCAATGCACCTAAAAATATATGCATGAATTGCTAGAGATAGGCGGCAATTATCATCCGCGACTACCAAAACGTCACTGAGCAAATCTCCGTGCTGAAATTACTAATGTCAAAGCCCAAAACAAATCTCCTTTGGGAATGGCAGCGAGGTCACTATCATTCCCCAAAACTCATGCTGCACCCAGTCAAGTATAATGCCGCGTGCTACACTAATTGCACGGAATGAAGCGACGACTCGAGCAGGAGAATAATATGGTGAGCTGCGACGTGCGCGATGTCGACCAGCCACCTCTCGCCGGTGCGAAGTGAGAGCCATGTCAAGTGTATGCTGAAGGATGTTTCCATTCCGCTATCCACCCCACTCTACATCGGCCGAAAGTCCGGTCCTTGGAGGACTTAAACGCACAACCCCTCTCTCAAGTGGCTAGACCACTACACCATTCCTTGAAGTGTATAATGCAAGCTACGTTAGTTGATGTCAGCTTGCTATGCCGACGTAGAATCGAGTCATCGAACATGTATACGATTGCTGCTTTCGATCTACTGCGTATTGTTTGTAAGAAAATACACGCACACCTAAAAACACCTTCGTTGTGGCAGCATATTTCGCACGTTATCGTTCGCTTGAAAATCATTTTCCAGATGTGAGAGATCGTCACTAGGGTGCTGACGAGATGTCTAGGTTACTTGTCGTCAGCACCATAGTGTCGGGTGGCAGTCTCATTTACAAGCGTACAATACATCTAACAACGCTAAAAGTCCAGAGCCGTATGTAGCTCTTCTCATTTGCGCTTTTGCCGCAAAGAAGAGGTATTAGCATTTCCGTAAGACGAACAAGACAAACTCAATAGCTACAACACGAAGCATAGCGAAGATCGGAGTCGGTCAACGTGATGACTAAAAAAGCCCAGCTCACTGGTGTGCTGTTGCTTCTCGCGATTGTTGGCGTCATCGTCGGTGTAATAGTAACTCGACAGGCCAGCAGCTCAGCAAACAAGTCGTCGGGTGCTGCTGGCGGTCGGTCGGGAGTTACTGACTCTGATGACAGTCCATCCAGTAAGGGCACGTTTGCCAAGAAGACAAAATTTACGACCAGTAGCTCTAGCTCCGGCAGCAGTTCCATCACATCGGACCCAACCTCGGGTACGGATCTGTATATGAAGGTATCTTGTTTAGGATGTAAGCTTACCTCTTGTTGCGCTACAGCAAAGTATACGCTTACGGCCTTTGCCATCGGTGACTGGGGTACTACGGTCACACAAGACTCGTGCTGCACTCGTTCGTCCACTTTCAATAACTATGATATCAATGCCGAGGACATTGTGGCCAATATCATAAACCAGCAAGCATCCGCTGCGTCGGCACCACCAAAGTGTATTCTCAGCCACGGGTGAGGTCAATAGCAAAGAACTTCCTTAAACTGAAAGACTCACACTGATGTTCTTTGTTGTTGCAGCGACAACTTCTACTGGACGGGCATTGACAGCGAAGAGAGCCGTGATATGCGTTTTGCAACCACATTTGAAGGCAAGTACGACGGGTCAAACATCAAGAACGTGCCGTGGGTCAATGTGCTTGGTAACCACGACTACGGTGGTGCTAGTTATATCTGCTCGGATAAAAAAGGTCTTGCAAAATGTTCGTCCGCCGACGAATTGGTGAAGGCACTTTCAAACAAGTTCTCCTGGCAGGCAGACTACACGAGCCCAAACGACAACCGCTGGATTTTGAAGGATCACTTTTACGTGTACACGATCAAAGATAAAGCCTCGGGTGTCAGTATCGACATTTTCAATGTTGATGCTGGTGATGCCAGTATTCACGGTGCTCAACAGACGTGCTGCCAATGCTACGGTTACGCCAAAGGTAGCGACACGAAATGCAAGAACGTTATCCGTGGTGACAAGCTATGTGCGGGTGGTGATACCAAGATGTTTGATGCGTGTTTTGACAAATTTACCGAGTGGAGTGACGACTCACGCAAACAACTTGCCAAGGAGGTGGCTGCGTCCAATGCAACGTGGAAAATCGTCAACAGCCACTACTCGCCCTACGCTCACTACGATGAGAGAGGCATGAAGAAGTGGATCGATATCCTTCAAGACTCGGGCGTCCAGCTCTGGATGAATGGCCACACACACGGTGAAAGCCACGACTATTTCTCTTCACTCCAGATTCACTTTGTGAACAATGGTGCAGGTGGTGGTATCCAGAAGGAGTCTGCTAGCGGTATTCCAGAATTTGCTAAGGGCTCTGTTGAGGCCTTATGGGCTTACGGTGGCCAGGAGTATGGTTTCATGTCCGTGGAGGCATCTGCAGAGTGGCTGAAGCTACAATACCATACGGCCGATGACTCGTGGGTGTTTGCGAAGAACTTCAAATCGACCAAAGTTGGTGGTGTAGCGACAAAGCACTGTTGGTACATTCCAATTGACGGCAGCAATGGCAAGAAGTGTTCAGCTGAAAGAGACAAGTGAAGATGAGAGATTCGTACTACAGATAAGCTTATTGTACTAGCCACTTTCATCTTGACTTTCTAAGACGATATTTATTCGGGGCAAGATTAGTGGAAGGCAACAACGTTTCGACTTACTTACTGCTTCGTCTCAACGTAAAGTTTTGACTCCCGTCTAATAGAAACACACTCGTAGAAAGCCACACCTCCAAGGTGCTTTCTCTACCAAACAACCGCGCAAAAGGTTTCAGTTTTGACACTTATCGAATGGTAAAAAAAGACCTTATACCCGTGTCAATGAAGGTACCGATCACCAGCACGGCGCAAACATTATTTACTTGTGGCTTTATGACGACGTTGATATACTGCACAAAACAAACCACGACTTTCCCGCCATCTCTTGAGGCTATCCACGAGGCTTGTAGGCCCCGCACATCAATTTTAATCGAGGCACTTCAATTATATTAACATTATCGAGACTGCCGTTCCATGATATCTCGGTTAATAATTAGCATTCAATCTCTCCACTATCAACGGTACTGAAGGAATTTTAACTCCTATTTAGAGATTTCTCACTATAATTACTAATTAGAGGTCGGTCTTGCTAAACGACACTACAATCGCATACAGCATTACAGATTAAAACCAATCCAAGGTAAAAATCAGATTTTTTGAGGTTTTTTCGGGTGTCGTGCGTTAATAATAAATGTCAGTTTTTAAATTTGCTAAAAGTAGACGAGGTTTAGCGAATCAATAAAAGGAAGGAAGGAAGCAATGGTAGTCATGAAAACGCGCATGATTATTGTGGGCGTCGTGGTGGTATGTGCTATAGCAGGTGCTATTGTCGGTGTAATTGTGGCAATAAAATCGAAATCGGCTTCAACGTCTTCGGACGACTCTGCCAACTCAAGTGGCGCGTCCGGTAGCTCTGGCACCAAAACATCAAACTCGAAGGAGTCTAGCGGTAAACCGATCAAGGCCACTGTTACGTCTGATCCGACATCAGGTACGAAGTGTATTTGTGGTAGAAAAAATCTATCGGATATTTGTAATTCCTACCATTGGATATTTGTAACCCCTATTATTGGATATTTGTAATATCTATTTATGTGTATATGAACACATAATAACCCTAACAATGGATTTTCTGTGGGATATTTGTGCAGCAACCTATTCACTTTCTGCTTTTGCAATTGGGGATTGGGGTACAACCGTAAACAAGGATTCGTGTTGTTCCCGCTCGGATACATTCAACAATTATGATGTTGTAGCTGAAGATGTCGTAGCCAGTCTTATGAACACGCAAGCAGGCAAGGTAGATGTTAAACCGAAATGTGTCTTGAGTCACGGAGACAATTTGTACTGGACGGGCGTCAACAGTGAAGACGGACGAGACTCTCGCTTCACGACGACATTTGAGAGCAAATTCGATGGTGACAATTTGGCGTTAATTCCTTTTGTGAATGTGGTTGGTAATCACGATTACGGTGGTGCTAGTTACATTTGCTCGGATGGTGATGATAATGCTGAGTGTAGCAGTACGGATGACCTCGTGACAGCTCTGGAGAACAAGTTTAAGTGGCAACAGAAGTATGTTAGTCCGAACAACAATCGTTGGGTGCTGAAGGACCATTTCTATGTCTATACGATTGAGGACAAGGATTCCGGTGTTAGCATTGACATCTTTAACGTGGACTCGGGTGATGCTGATGTCCATGCAGCGCAGCAAGTGTGCTGCCAGTGCTACGGTTACGCGAAAGGAGACGATAAAAAGTGCAAGGGTATTGCCCGTGGTGACGATTATTGCTGTGGAGGAGATACGGACATGTACGACACGTGCTACGCTAAGTTCAAGGAGTGGAGTGATGACTCACGCACTCAGCTGTTAGAAAAGGTGCAGGCGTCGAATGCTACGTGGAAGATCGTTAACAGCCACTACAGTCCTAGCGCGCACTACGCCGAAAAAGGCATGAAGGCATGGTTCGACATTTTGGAAAAAAGTGATATCCATGTATGGGCGTATGGACACACCCATGGCGAAAAACATGACTACTCCGAGTCACATGGCGTGCACTTTGTAGAAAACGGTGCTGGTGGTGGTATTCAGAAAGAGTCTGCCAGTGGAATCACGACGTATGCAGCTAAATATATCAGCGACAATATTTGGACGTACTCGGGCGCCGAGTATGGCTTTTTTCGATGACGGCTTCTAAGGACTGGCTAAAGCTGCAGTACCACACGGCTGATGACTCGTGGGCTTTTGGTTCGAGCATCGGTAAGACGACCGTCGGCGGTGTGGCGACCAAGCACTGCTGGTACGTGCCGGCTGACGGCACGAAGGGCGTGAAGTGCTCGTCGTAAACCTGAACCTTTGTCATCGTGGCTGAAGGCGGTGATGCATGCAGCTGCGCCACAAGCTGAGTAAGTATCAAGATTTTTTTTCTCTTCATCGATGGAAATACTTGTTGTTGTAAGTTCAATGATGAAAAAACATGAGCACTTAGCAATATCATCACAAACTTTTTGCCATTAAAAAAGTAGCACAACGATCGATTGCTTCTACTCTAAAGTCTTATCTACTATGTTTATCAGATTTCCCTTCGTCGCACTATGTTATTGAACTATTTTGCTTGCTCCTTCAAAGAGTGAGGTCCTCAGTTTATTAATCAGCACATTTACCCTTATAATATACGTAAAAGCCTTTTTTTATGACAGAACTAACTCGTACCCTCCAATTTCTCGATCCTTATCCGGATAAGTGTACTAGAAATAAAACATTTATAACCCGTTAATATAACTGAACTCACTGTCTCTAATCTTTAGCAGTCATAGAACATACGGTCTGTGACGTCGTATCAAAGCCCGTGTGGAAACATATGCACCCGTTTGGGATAATGGTCTCATCAACTAGAAAAGAATGGGTTTTATATCAATGTAGCGGAAAAAAGTCCACTAAATTGCTTTCCAGCTTTATAACAACTTTGCCTCGTGCCTCTTGTGCAGCATTGCACTTGTCGCAAGTCGCCAAGCTCATGACGCTTCACGGTAACGCCTACGGCTATTTGTTGTAGCAACGAGCTGTACGGCTTTACGTCTATTGATGTCTGCAGCTACAACGCATGGTTATCCTATCTCACGAGTATGGTCTCTAGTGTCTTTATTTCTGTAATGTACAGAGCTACAATCTGCGCTCATACTTTGCACTGTTAATCGATCCTGCGACGCCACATCCTCAAGCGCCAGTATTAAGTTTGCAATTACTGGACTATAGTAGTAATGCTATTTTCTGTAGTATTTTCATTTTAGTACTACTGATAGTAATACAGCAATACAATCTCACAGGTATATTTGTTGGAGCTTATATATGTATTTTAACAAGTAAAAACGCTGCTAGACAAGGTATGTCGTCAAATTGTCAAAATCAATAGTATGCATTCAAAGGTATATGCCAACAGAGTCATGAAAACATACACAAGCACAAAAGACCTGTATCAAGGAAGCAAAAGCATCATGCATTACCTCTCCACAACCTTCAGCTGCAGCTGTTTGTCACCATTTCACTACCACCTTCATTAAGCTTCCATCGTCTCTTCTAGCTTCTCCACAACTTCCGTCTCCTGTTTCTCCTCAACCACCTCCTCGTCTCTGTCTACGTCATCTTCACGATGACGGAACCTCGGGTTCTCTTCCTCCTTATTCTCTTCTCTCGGAGATACTGAACGTCTCAGACGATGAATCGGTGGTTCATTTGCTGCCAGACTCTCGTCCCGTGGTCTCTTCACCTGCGTCGAGCGACGAAAGTGGTGTCCATCAGCTGTAGCATCGTCTCCGCGTCCATAACCTCCTCTTCCAGCATCATAGTCATCCTTTGAGCGTCTGTCATCTCTCACTTGACCTCCTGATAAGCCACGACCAAATTGGCGACCCTCTCGAAAACCTCCGTCCATCTCGCAGCGTACGACACGATTGTCCAGTTTCGTTTCACTTAGAAACTGTGCACATGCTTCGGCTTCAGGGTGCATACTGTACTCGACAAAACAAAATCCACATGGGGTTTTCTTAAAGCGGTCAAGTCCCATGATGACGCGCTGGACGTGGCCCACACGGCTAAACAACTCGTATATCTGCGACTCGGACGTGAAAAAGGACAAGTTTCCCACGTACAAAGTAGTAGAACGATCCATGGCACGTTGTTGTTCAGCAAAGGATGAGAACGTCTTGCGGTCCCAATATTGACGCTGCGATGGCCCACGAGCCAGTCGCTGCTCCTCGTCCGCTACCTCCGCATACAACTCGGCCATGACTTAAGTGAATGGAAAATAATGGGGAAATAGTGCAAAATGATTGGCTGTAAATCACCAAGCTTGACAGAACGAATATATTCACGTATTTCAATACCCTGATGCTACTGGACAACCATAAAAAAAGCAATCGGTTGATGACACGATATTAATATTATTGTATAAACGACACTGGCACCGTGGGATCATCGCGTTACCAGCGTTAGACGTTCTACTTTCGTTTTTAATTCAATAGGTAGGGAGGTAGAGCAATGCAGCAATGCCACTGTATTTCGAAAAAGGGTGGGGCATTGGAAGCAATTTAACAACCATATTGACAGAGGACGTTGCACTTATATATGGAACTACGTAGAGCTTCACGTCACCTTTTACTCACTGCATTTGCGCCGTGCCGACCAATACTGCTTTAATGCTCTTCCCTTGTTGTAATTAGCTGCCGTAGAACGGGCAGTTTATAGTGAGTGACCTCTACTCTAGATTTTTCGATCTTGATTGCTGTCACGTCCGTATCCAAGACATCACCGAAGAAGAGCGGCAAAAGCGGATGGTTGGCTCAGCGTCGCGAATCACAGACAGTTGAAACGTCTTTGCTCGATTTATGACGGACCGTCTGTCGCGACGCTACGCTGCACTGTGGATAGCCGTGGAGCAATCTCTTTCGAGGTGTCAATTCCTGTTGAATCTGGTTGTTCCGACTTTCTGTCACCCAAGAGCATCAAGACCACTCCGCGAACGAAAAACTTGGTTCACTACACCTCATTCTTCAATTTACCACAGCAACGTCAATCCATTCCTTGCTCTACAGTACTTTCATCAACATCTCTAACATGTCCATGACCTCTGCAATGGAATGGGAAGCTCCAATCCCCGCCTGGATCGAGTCCATCGATATCGATATTGACGAGTTACCCGTGTCCGACTTGATGGTCTTGATCCCTGGTGACATGGATAACACTCCTGAACCCTCTACCCCCAAAGGCCACAGCTTTTTGACCTGCTCCACCGAGCTGCACTCTCCAATGGGCGCGTTCATCGATGACGTCGCAATGCTTGAAACTGAATCGGCTATCGAAATGAAATCTTCGACTGCACCGAATCTCAGCCCCATCATCAAGAGCAAAGTCACTGCTAAACCAGGACGTCGATCTGGTCGTAAGGCCAGCGTAGACCCTTCCGGTCGCGACCAGCGACGTAAGGACAAGCAACGGGGCTACGAGACAAACTACCGCAAACGCCAAAAAGAAAAGCGTGAAAGGGATCAAATCGAATGGGTTCAACTTGAAACGCAACTTCGAGAGATGCTGGTCAAGCGTACGACGTATATCGTCGTAGGGTCAGGGTCGGATGACCCAGAGATGAGAATTTCCACAATCTCGATGCGTCAGCGATACCTAGAGCTACTACAAGAAGAGCGAGCACTAAGAGAATCCGAAGCTCTTGACAATTGTGTCTGGGCTGAAACCCAAGCAATGACGTTTTGGGGTGGCGCTAATAGTAAGACGCGAGATATTCGCGAGCAGATGAACACTCTTCCGAGTCTACGAGGATGTCACACATTTACGTTTTCATGGTGAAAATTTATATTGTGTCGGTTCACTCGAGATGTGATCAGTGCATCCATGTAGCATATGATAATGCATAAGATTCAAAATGTACTTGAAGCGCTGACTATGATGCCATTGTGTCCTGTTGTGAAAAAGCATCACTGTAGTACTGAGCATTCTTGTTTACGAGATGGATACACGTACAGCGTTTATGTTGATGTTTAATCGGTAATTAAAAACATCTCTTGCATCAACGGTACAGTTTTTAAACAAATTAATTTTCGTTTAATCAAGTTTAATTTGTTTTATTACAATTAGTAACGTTCTCCTTCAGGTTTAATTCGGCTAAAACTCACCTTTATCATAATGATACTGCTACAGCCTTCAAAAACCAGCAATACGCTCTCGTGGATTATCAGCTAATTGGAATACTGTAGTCGGTTCACGGACGGTGAGCTGCTCGAGATGGTGATGCTGGTGTGGATGTCGCAACGACATCGGTCCCTCCTTAACATTACGTTCAATCATCTGACTATATATCGACCACAAACAACACTAGGTTGGGAATACTCAAAGACAGAAAAAGACTGCATTACCCCTTTTTCGTGAGGAATCATTCCATTAGAATTTTCAACGAACATGGTAAGAAGATTGTTGCCGTCTTTTTTGTGCAATGCGTGCAAGGTTGTTTATGTCCTGCCTGTGTACTGATGGCACATCAACAAAGTTGACACGATCGCATGATCTTAACCTTAGAGACTTAATGATGAGAACAGACTGTCCATTCACCGTTATGGTTCTAAAAAGTCTTCAGCTATTCTAGTTCAAAGCTGTGCCGGTGACTGTGATGGTTTCTATTCTAAGAAGCAGATTTTAGTATTGCTGTTACCCATAGGTCCAATTTAGGATTCGTGTGGTAAGTTTGCAGCCTCGTTCTTGATGGCCAAATACGGTAATTTAGTGTTGAAACTCGCTGAATGTGTACTTCAGCCTGCAGCAGTGGAAACTTCTTGTCATTAGCCTTGTTTTCTTGTCATCAACTATTCAAATAAAAATCTAATCCAAATCGGTATGTTATCCAAAACTCCTTGTGTTCTTGTACGACTCCCTGTTGAATGTATTGATTAAGAATTCTGATGACTTGTACGACTTTGTACGATTTTTGACTTCAAAGACCTGCGCTGTAGTAGTGAACGTCTTTGGGGCCAAATGAATCGGTGGTGAAAGTGCTCAGATTGTCAAGAATTAGGAGTTAGATGGTGTCTTGTTAAGTGCCAAAAACGCTTTCTCGGAATGCCGGGTGTTGTCACGATTCACCAGGTCGTCGAGTAAGGAAAACCGAAGCAATCAAGACAATTCGTATGTCAATCGAGACATTTTATATTTGCGACTCGGATGGACTTGAGTTTTGGAGCACTTGGTTGCTTTACTAACCCAAACGATCAATGACTCGCGAATCACGTAAAAACAGCGACTTGCCAGGACGTTATACGAAAGATAAAAACTTGAGCTCTTGAAATGGTCCTGCATTCTTTGTGCAAATGCAACCAGGACGACATGGTAGTTCCCCACATAATCAAGCAGGTTTCGATATGCAACCACTGTATTGTGCTGAGTAAACAGATCAAATTTTTGCTGCTCAATGCTGGTAGCGCTGACATCTTCGAAGGTGCAAAGAAATAAATTTGTCGATTGTGTGACAGAGTATGCATTACTATCAAGTGAAGATTTTAAGCGAGCTGGTAGCGGCCGTGGCAAAATCACCGACAAAGATAGGAAAACGAGAAGGTTCAGCAGAGTGGACCCGGTACCAAAGATTAACGTGCATTGCTACAAAGGGATGTACATGCACAATGAGCAATAGAACTGTTGAGGTGTACAGCCTTTTGCGTCTGTAACTAGAGGCCAAGTCAACTTGGTTTTCCATGGTACTATGTTCGCACCTCATGATGAGATACAAGGTGAAAGCATTCCCAAATTTACGTAGTCAAGCTCAATATAAACTCAGCTTTCGAGGTGTTTCCCCACGCCACGATCAAACAGATTCGACTTTATGAGTGTCATGACTGTAATGTCCGTGTACCGCCAATCGAAATTCCAAGAACTGCTTGAGCAAGCGCACGCGAATCGTTGATTCCGTCAATATAGCGACGATGCTCTTGCAGCTTCATGACTGTCAACAACTTCTGGCACATCAGCCAATTGCTAAAATGCCACAATCAACGCTTTCCAGGCAAGACTTTCGACATCAAACCATGCTTATGACGTGCAGTGTTTTCTGACACGGAGAAAGCGTAAATGCAACGCAGTTAGAAACATACATGCAATAGCGTCTCATCTCTGATCGGCGTTGCTGCACTAAGCGCAGAGATGTCGACTAAGCCTTTGTCAGCAAATTACAGACTTAACTCATAACGGCAGATATGACACCTTCCACCAGCTTCAAGACACCTTAAGCCGAAATTACGCATGAGCCGCGCATCATCCCATTGATTAAAGCGTCACGTTAGCAATAATTCTCTCGCCAAACTCATCCATGCATCGAGTGAAAGTTTTTCTCCAGTGTTATTCATCATACTTTCAGCACTTTTCTTTTCTTTCTCCTTCATCACATTGGAACATACTTTCTGTGCACACATGATGAGATAACACGCATGAACCTTGCGTTTGTTCCAGCACTTTGACCCGCTTGCAGCAAGACCTCGTCATTAAACTGCTCAAGAGTTGATGCACCTCGACAAAGCTGACTATCGACAGTCACCGACATCACTCGCTCCGTGTCGTTGAGGGTCTGTTGTACCTTGCATGCGCATATCTTCTCGGGCACAACTCATGCATGAGAAAATAGCTGCATGTTTCGTCAAGACGTGTCGCCACGGAGGCCGTGTAATGCTGTCCAATAGATTGCACCAGGGCAATAAAGCTATTGATTATAGACATCACCAGACCTTCTTAGTACATCTAGCAAGGCAGATATAGTAGTAGTCCAGAAGGCAATCTTGCAAAACACAAAGACCAGCATGAAAATTATACATACAAAGCAATGATTAATGGTCGCGAAGACAAGGTACTTACTTTTCTGATCCTATATGGTCATAGGGACAGCCGGTCCATATCGCCTGAGACTCGCCACAACTCATCCAGGGTCTGAAATTCATCCATCTTGAGGTCTGACAACCGGCCGACGTCACCAATCTCGTTCAAAAACACATCCAGACTTCCACGACCAGCTAAATTACCGCCACTGCACGAGTTGCGCATTCGACGAGCGGCTGAAGCGCGAGCAGCATCAATACTGAGCCTCGGCTTGACCTTTTTGAGTGAAGGCTCGTTTGTCCTACATCCCGAGCCATTCTCACTGCTGTCATCCTCGTTTGCTGGGTCATCGTTGGATTTGGCAGAGCCTGCGCTGTTGCTGCTGGAAATCGGTGCCTTTTGTCCCGCTTGAAACCGCTGGGCAAATGTCGCAGCCAAGTTGAAAGGCCTCTGTGGGCCCGCTTGAACCTTTTTGCTAGCACTATTAGGCTTCGGATGGTGTTGCATCTGCACAAAAGCAGCCACTGGGTTGCCACTGCAAGATCCAGGGGATGCTTTGGCTGCTTGGCTGCGAGCAAACATTGCGGCCGGATTTGGCATTGCCTGGCTCGACGGAGTAGACAAAAGTCCATGTCGTGACTCCTGTTTTGTTCGTTTTCCGCTTGTACCCGACTGTTTCGAATGAGCCAGTAGCAATACTGGTGGCTCCATCTTATGGTTTGACTTGGTTTGCTCGTGCGCTTGAGCCTGGTGGTACACTGATTGGTAGTGCTCTTGAGCCTGGTGATGACGGGTAGATGGCGAGCGACCCGCAAACTGGTGTGGTTCTTGCTGTCGGAGATGCTGCTGTACAAATCCAGCTACAGGGTCATTCATCCCGTTGTTACTTGATAGCATCGAGTGGCTTGCTGATGATCCTCTGTTTATGTCTTCAGTTGAGCTTGGCCCAGACGGCAGTACATAATTGTAAGACATTGTCTGCGCGTGTTGCGACACATCCTGCTGAGGCTGGTGGGATGGCAAGTGCTGGCTGTATATCAGTCCAGGACGATAAGTATCCATCTGTAGAGTCCTGTTGCCATACAATGACCCATTGCTCATGCCTCCTCTAGGCGTTAAAGATCCCGTGGAATACATGCCACCATTCATGTATAAAGCATAAGTTGGAGATGAACCTGGGTAACCTTGTCGATAGCCGTCCTGAGACTGAAAAGGTACTGGCAATGGTATGTTAGACCGATGGTCACCTAAAATATCCTGAGCGTTGCTACTTGTCATGGATCCTGGAGATGGCAACGGATGATCGTAGCCATTGTTCACATTTTGTTGCTGCATCAAAGGTTTCCGATAATGTGCCATCGTTGGATCATATCCACCACCCCTTATATCCGTCGAATACATGATTCCATTTCCAGCCATCATGGTCTGGTGATGGGGCTGACAAAGTTGATTACCCGACTGCATATTCGTAGCCGACACCATCTGAACGTTTGGAAGTCGCACCATTTGTGCACCATGTGGCTGGGAATGCATAGAGAATGGAGCGACTTCTTCACTCTTGACCATATTATCGTTAAACCCCGTGCCATTTTGCGACATCATTTGTCCCGGTATTTCCATAATGCCCTTGGGGGTCATAATTTTGCCACTCTGTCCACGACGTCCGTGTCTATTTCATTGAAATCACATTAACGCTGACGTTAGCACATTATCTGGCTCTAATAAAAAGTACTTGATCTCACGTATAACTCACCCTTTTCGCACACGACAAAGTGATTTCCATCGAATCTTTACCGCATCTTCTGTACGTCCAGGCAACATTGCAGCAATAGCTGACCAACGATTACCTAATCTCGATTGTGCATCAAGAATCATCCGATCCTCTGCTTGTGAGTATTCTCCACGTATGATGCTCGGATCTAGATGATTATACCACCGTTCACGACATTGTTTCGATGTTCGACCGGGAATACGCGTAGCCACTTGACCCCAGTTTTTGCGACCTTCTGCCACCAGCTCTTTCAAGAGCTCATCTTCATCCGGACGCCAATGACCTTTTACAAGTCCAGGAGCCAGTACTTTCGTCCATCTTTGTAAACATTGGGTGTGATTACGACCAGGCACTTCTTCAGCAATTGATTTCCAATTCCGTTCACCATGTCGCCCAACCGCGTCCCTCAGTTTTTCATCTTCAGTTGGTGTCCAACGCTTGGGTACCGCTTTATCTTTTGTCTTCATGATCTGATATATAACAGAACCACAAGAGCATGAGAAATGTCATACTATTAACAATACAAAAACAATTCTTGTACTTTTACGCACATCATGTTGTTTCTGACGAGGAATTCCTTTGATTTCAGTGTACACACGTTTACTACCCGTTTGAAGTATAGTCGAAGCTTTAGGTTTCGTTTCCGTCTTTGTAGAAAAGGAAGAAGTAGTGATAGTGTTGCTATTGGCTTGACCCTCAGTAAAGAGAAGTTTACCAAAGTCCGAGATAGACGAACGACCTTCTGCCTCCATGGGAAAAGTGTCGACAAGTTCACCCATGAGCTTAGAAATAGACTCACGACTGACACTAATGCTCATGGTTTTACTGCAATGAATAATAATTACAAGTGCAAAGACGGGAAAAACAAGTCAAACGTTCGGTTCAAATTGATGTGGCAAGGGTACTTGGAAAAGCGACGGGGAGAGCGCGCGTAAACAACGACACGATACTTTACGGTACGATTTTGTCAACTTTTCAAGTCTTTGCTTGACGTGTGGCAGTCAGTCTTCCTTTGACGTCTGAATGGTCCGATTATGTACTAAAAACAGTTTCTGGCTCTCAAAATAAGAGCGGGTTGTCAGCTCTATAGGTTGTTGTAACGTACTTTTTTTTTCTTACTTTATCCAAGTATAAGGTACATCTTGCACATCAAAAAGGGTGTATCTATTTTTAGTGTCCGGACCTAATACGATACATACTGTACGTTCTCAACTGCCCTCGCTTCTTCCACGACCCGACCCTCTCTCCCTCGAGCCTTTACCATCAGTTATCAGCCTCTACCATCAGTTGTCAGCCTTTACCATCAGTTATCAGCCTTTACCATCAGTAATCATGTCATCTGCATACATTTCACGTGGTAGTGGTAAGGCCATAGATACAGTTCAAAAGAATAAGAAATCAACACTAAGAGACGAACAGAAACAGGAAATTCGCGAAGCTTTTGACCTGTTTGACACAAACGGCAATGGCACGATCGATGTGAAGGAATTAAAAGTAGCCATGCGTGCACTTGGCTTAGAACCTCAAAAGAAAGAGATTCAAACGTTGATTACTGAGCTTCAACGAGACGGTAGAAATACCATTGAATTTAATGAATTTGTTGACTTGATGACGCCCAAATTACGTGAAATGGACTCACGTAAAGAAATTCTCAAAGCTTTTCATCTCTTTGATGACGATGAGACGGGCAAAATTTCGTTTTCGAATTTAAAACGTGTGGCGAAGGAACTTGGTGAGAATATGACAGATGAGGAATTACAAGAGATGATTGAGGAAGCAGACCGTGATGGAGATGGAGAGATTAATGAAGATGAGTTTCTACGGATTATGAAAAAGACCAGTTTATACGAAAGAGCTGTTTAGGTCTAGTCACTACGTGCTCTTTTTAACTTGATGGCAATCTAGATGCAAAACAAAATGAAGCTTGTTCTCCTTTATCGATTCATCTTGTCCGTCGTTACTCCTCATCCGATGAAAAGTTAAAGTCACCGACTTGATCAGCAACGTCCACCTGGGCCACAGACTTTTGAAACTCTTTGAGCGACATCTTCTTCACTTTGGCCACAGTCTCCTCGTCCACAGGCGTACCCGTCTTCTTGCCACGCTGTTTCTTCTTCTTCTTCTTCTTCTCAAGATTCTCCGAGCTGTCTTCCCGTTTACTCTTTGACGCCTCGGCCGAAACATCGAGTTTCTCCTGTAGATCTGTCGCGTCCTTCTCAAAAAGCTTCTTCACGGCAGCCTCGCGCTCTGCACGCAAAAAGTTGTCCAGTTGAGCCGTGTCCTTGGGTGACAGATCCAGACCGCTACGCTTTGAACGGATCCAGTCGGCACATTTCTTGATGCTATCGCTGAGACCACGCACCTGTGCCTTCCACTTCGGAACGGCACATGCGTGCATGAACTTGTTCAGGGTGAGCTGCAACGGCACGGCAAGCTCTGGAAAAGCCACGTTAAACTTGTACACATCACACTCGCGCTCTAACAGCTCAAATAGCCGCACAATAATCTGGTCGTGCACGCGCTTCGCGTCCAATGCCGTCTTCGACAGCTTCACGCAAAGCTCCAGGTCCACCTCAATGGTAGGATTGCTCCCCTTAGCACCTTTGCCTCCGTTTTTTCCACCACTAGCCTTGTACGACGAGCGGAACGGCTCGAGCTGCAGCACTTCAAGCAAAGCAGGAGCTGTGGAGATGAAGGAATTGGTAGCCAACGCAAGTTGCTGCAACAGCTTTACACAATGAAAACGCAGCGGAGCAAAGCGCAGCGTACTCGATAGTCGTACAACTGCAAGCAGAAGCTGACTCAACGGGTACACAAGCGCACGGAGCTGGTTCTCGGCCGGGTACGCGCACACCACGGCTGTCCATACACGCAACTGGTTGAAGAATTGCCAGTTGAGCACAGCTTTGAACGAGTCAGGGCCGGGAGATGTAATCGTCTTGCGCACAGCAATAGCAAGCTCGCGGATATACACGAAAGCATGCTGGTATGAGCTGCTCAGGTCAAGCCCGAAGAGCTCAACAACACAGTTACCCATCAAGATATGGTGGGGGAGGGTCACCTCGTTCGTAAACTTTGTGTTTCGCATGTACGTCACGTAAATACCCTTCAGACAGAGCTCTAAGAACGGAAAAGGCACAGCCAGAGCCAAGTCGCGAATGCGGACGAACGCCAGCATGCACACGTTCGCGTTTAGCGACTTTGCCCACAGCTTTAGTAGAGCTTTCAGCATTCTTCGCGAGGTCTTGGGACATGACACCACAAACGGGATGTAATGCACCAGCTCACGCAGTACAAAGGCCTGGATGTCCTGGCCAGTGGTCTGCTCGAGCAAGTAGCACGCGCAGCTGAAGAAACGACGGATTACTAGCGCGTACTTCTTCCACTTCTTGTCATCTACCTTAAAGGCAGTATCTTCTTCCGATGATGACTCCAACGCCACCAGCACGGTCAGCGTCTCGTGTGTCTTGCGAAACACATTTACCATCAGACGGTTGTACACGGCGCTGCTCTGGACATCAAAGATAATTTCACTCTCCTTGCTAGCATCAGCAGCTTCGCTCGAACGACACGCGTCACTAAAGATCTTCATCAAGCGACGCAGCCCCGAGACCGATTTGGTCTCGAAACATTCTTTTTCGGCTTTCTGCAGAACAGCCATTGTCACAACAGTGCGTCCAGTAGTCTGCTCTTCTTCCTTCTCATCAGCTTCTTCTTCTTCCATCTTCTTCTCTTCGGCTTCAGCCTCCTCCTCCTTGTCATCATCACCAAAAGACGTGCCTGTCATGTAGCGAGGATCCAGAGCACTCTCGTCCTCTTCTTCACTGCTGCTTCCGTCATCCACGTCGTCATCTTCTTTCTCCTGTTGACTCGTAGCTTTGGCCTTGCTCTTAGTAGATATAATCTCCTCCTTCTCCTCCTTGTCAACCACCTCCTCCACGTCCTCATTGTCCGAGTCCAGAAAATCGGCATTCAAAAAGTCGTCCACGTCCATCTCATCCATCATATCAGGTTCGTCCTTCTTTGTGTTGTCACTCTCGGCCGTATCATTGCGTAACTTCTTTTTGCTGGGCACGTCACTGTTGCGCTCAAAGCGATTGCGCTTCTTGTTCTTCATGGATTCAAACTTTTTCTTGACATTGCGCTGCTTGATCTTTTGTGACAGTAGACCTTTAGCTACAAACTTGGCCTTCTTCTTTTGTGCGCCCATTGTTATTGCACTCCAACTGACGCTATAGGAAGCTCAACAGCAAATGCGTCGGTCGACCGTAAGATGGTTGGCTGGCTACCAATTTAAAAAAATTGTGTGGTATACACCAAAAAACATAGTGACATTGGAAGACATTGAATAGTACTAAGAAAAAAAGGCAAAGTCATCACAGATTTCATTAATATTCTAATAATTATAACCATATGCCGTGTTGATCTTGCTCTAGCCTCGATCATGATTGGCCTGGAACAGAAAAACAATAAATTCTATCAGCCTGCAGCACTCACTTCGAAGTGCAAGTTTGAATCTCTCACACCAAAGCCATTTCGTCTCTCTCAATGCTTAATGAAGTAAGAGTCATTTGGTAGGCATGGAGGTTGCGCTTCGTGCAAATCTTGGGTGTTTTTGATTACGCACAGCCAGGCTGCCTTGTACGCATGGGTGCGTGCGCCTTTTGTAAACCTGAAAGTTTTTTGTCGATGAAACCCTTGACCATTACAACAAAAGGGATAGACTCAAATGTAATTATTAATCAAGAATGAACCACAGCTACAGCTTTCCCTGTCAAGGTTATAAAGCATTCCAATAGTATTGTATGTGGAATGAATGTTGCACCTGGTCTTGTTGCCATCAAGATCAAGCCGGTCATTAAGTAATGGCCATATTGATTGATGGAAAACATCAATCGTACATGTGGTTAAACCATTTTCTAGCTAGAAAACATCAGCTTTCGCAGGTATAGTCACCGATCAGAAAAAAAAGTCGGTTGGTGAGTCGACTCTCTGTTGTGGGGTTGCGGCACTTTTTTCATATGATTTGACAGGATCAATCTGGATACTAAATCCTTTGATTAGTGATATTATTCGTCCACAAGTCAAGTTTCTGACCTTTATACCACAATAGCGTGGAAAAAAGAGCATTCATAGTAGAACATTCGAAAATCCTGGCTACAGTTACAGTAGTCACCCAGTTTGTTACCCGCCACATTGCGACAACACTGGGATTCCTATTAGTAATACCAGCCAGCGGCCGCTCAGAGTCGTATAGTACACACTTTTCTATTGATCCAAACCACAAACCGCAGCGTCATGGGGGCCGCCATTATGAAGAGTTGCTTCATTGGACAGTCGGCGGATGTGCCGCGTCGTCACAAGTCGCACCATGAGGCTCGTCGACGCTATGAGCAGCAATGTACGCGTGCACTGGCTATGACGTTGCCATCGTCGACGTGCAGCTCCGCCCCACGCACGATCAGCCGCCGTAGCGCCACGTGTCTAGAGTCAATGGACAAGAAGAAGCTTCTTGGAAAGAATTTTACAGACCGTTCTAGTGCACAGGAGTTGCCACAAACGGCAGTACATCTTCAGGATGTCAATAGAACGAAAAAGAGTCCCGCTGGTTCCGTGAGTTCTGAGGCTGCTACGATGTCGGAGAGCTCATTTGTGGTCGATTCACCGTCTAGTGCAACCAGCCCCGTGCTTCGTACGTCGACCATTGGCTTTCGTGCTCTTTTGCCAGAGCAATACGTGCTTGAATGCGTTGCTGGTAAAGGCACGACCTCAACTTGCTACAAATGTGTACGAAAGACGGACGGGCAACGGTTTGCTTGTAAAATTATTGAAAAGAGAAGATTAGCTCCATCGGCCAGAAAAAGGATGGAAGTGGCCGCTCAATTACGACGTGAAGTCGACGTCTTGCGACGTGTGGATCATCCACATATTGCAAAGTTGGAACAGTCTTTTGAAGACGATAATTATCTCATTCTTGTCATGGAATTAATGGAAGGAGGTGAATTGTTTGACGCTATTGTGGACAAAGGCCGTTTCTTAGAACAAGAGGCTATTTATGTTACTCGTTGTATTCTCTCGGCCATTCAGCATATGCACGAGCGTGGTATCGTCCACCGTGACCTCAAGCCGGAGAACGTATTGTTGGCCATGTCGACTCGTCGCCGACGTCATCAGGATGCAGTCACGCCACTGAATATAAAGATTATTGACTTTGGTTTTGCTAAAGTACTTCGGGAAGGTGCGACGTCCATGTCCTTTCTAGGAACAGGAGGTTACTTGGCTCCGGAGATTTTGCTGCGGCAGTCCTATGGCACTTCTGTAGACATGTGGTCCTTTGGGGTCTTGACGTACTTGTTGCTTTGTGGCCGACTACCATTTGCAGCTACGACGAAGCTACGACCTAACCAGAAGATTGAATCGTTGTACAAGCTCACTTTTCCTAAGAGGTACTGGCGGGGGGTAAGCCCCGTGGCCATCGATTTTCTCGAACGCGTATTGGAGCTCGATTCATCTGCTCGGCTGACGGCCACAGAGGCACTGAACCACCCGTGGCTTCGGTGCTAAATGGCGAATAACGCAGTATTAGGTATTTATTCAATGTAAGTTGGTGCTTTGCAGAGGTGACAAGGAGAGTAAAGAAGATGAAGCAGATTTGGTATTTTTGCTCTTATTGTTTGACGGTGGCTTATGTAGCGTAGAAATAGCAACGTGAGAAGGACTTGCTTGTCAATTTTGCGACTATACGACCGTCTTGCCAGTAAGTAACGTCAAGTACTGAAATACGTTACTATATCGAGATTGTAAGCTCAACCTTTGTGACGCCTATGTATCTTTCGTTTTTATTGGTTCATAAAAAACCATTCTATTTTATTCTTTGAACCAATCCGCTCCTTCGTTTCACTTTTGCAATTGACCCTAACACCATCACTCTTCAATGCCCGCACTAGGACGTCAATGGACTGGAGCTCCGTGTACGAGAACAACGGCGAGGAAGACGGTAATTGGGAGAATCATGGTGAAACACGATCTTCTCGTAATGCTCATCGTCTACTACATCGTCAGACATCGCTTCCTCTTCCTAAACAGCAGATCTCAAACGCCCAATACTCGCCCTATGTGGCCTATGCGTTTACTGTTAATTATATACTAGGGGTAGGGTCATTAGGGATTCCCTATGCATTTTATCGTGCTGGTTTACTTATGGGCAACATTATGATTGTACTTGTTACTCTATTATCCTACATGACTGTGATGTGGATCTGTGAGACTGTTGCAAGAGCTCGAGAGGCTTTTGTCTTGAATTTTCATTTGGATGAGACATCGGCACTTACGTCCTTTACTACTTCATCTACTACTTTAACTTATAAACAAGCCACTGTCACTCTAGAATATGAAGACTTTCCTGAAGTTACTCAGCTCTGTAATAGGTTTCTAGGACCAATAGGCTCCAAGATGTACCAGATTTGTCTTCTAGGTCTCATGTATGGAGGTTTAGTAGGTTACAGCCAAGTATTTGTCAACACGTTCTTGACTCAAGTGGACCATATTGGAGATTGGCAGCTCTCTAGTGTACATGCAGCTATTGTCTTTGCCTGTATCGTTCTGCCGTTGTCATGCTCAGACCTGACGGAGCAAATCTACGTCCAATTGGTCATGTCAGTCGTACGTTTTGCGGCATTGCTGATTATGATTATCAGTGCCGTGTATGCGGTGTATGGAGATCCGTATGACGGTGGGGCGAAATTCACGGACAATCTAGAGCCACCATACATGAGTGACTACTCGCTCGTGGACATGAGCGGATTTGGTGTCATGTTTAGCACAAGTGTGTTCTCTCAGTTGTTCCAGCATTCTGTACCGGGTTTATTGGCTCCACTTGGTGCGAGGAATCAAGAGAAAGCAAAGGCAATTTTTGGAAGTACCCTGCTTACTACCATGATGTTTTATATTGCCTTGGGATCAGTGAGCTCGCTGTATTTTGGTCCAAAGTTGGCAACGAGCGTGAATCTAAACTGGGCGGATTTTACGTGGGGAATTGACGATTCAATGACACTTGTGCCGTTATGGGCAAAGCTTCTATCAATGATTGTCGTGGTATTTCCCGCTCTTGATACTTTGAGTGTGTTTCCTCTCATTTGTGTAACGCTTGGTGACAATATGGCCGCTGTTGTGCCAAAAAGATGGACTCGAGGTGGAAGAAAATCGTCCTGGAAGCTTTTGTGTCGATTTGGTGCAGCCTTGCCGCCACTCTTGATATCGATGTTCGTGTCAGATTTGTCAGTCACACTTCAAATTAGTGGACTGATGGGAATTTACGTGGCCTTCTTTGCACCCGCGTTGTTGCAATTGCAAGCGCGTCGGGAAATTCCAAACAGCAACGTTTACAGCGGCATGTTTAGTGGAACGGCATATGTATACGGCGTGTTGGTGTTCGGCACACTGGCACTGTTAGTTCTGCTCTATCAGTTAGTGCTTCAGATCACGATGGGATAAAGATCAAGATTCAAGTGTTGCAAGTGTTGCGATTTGATGAGGTACAAGTACACTCTGGCGATAATGTTACCTTTGCCAAGCTGCTCTGCGTCGAGAGAGGCAAGAGGATCGACCTCTTCCCTGCTCGAATCACGGTCGCTTAGATGAAAAATGGATTGTACGGCCGTAACATCTCGCTAAACTGTAGAGGTTGTGTGCAATCGAGTACAAGCGTGGACCCCGCAGGAACTATACGAATTTTCCCACGGCCAGGCTCCATTCAAGTGATCAAGGCATTACATTCGACAATGATCACACGACAACATCGTGGGCAGCTGATGCGCGAGTTGTTTTATTTGCTCCCCACTAATGAATGTTCAATTGTTTACAGTTCGTACTTGAGTGGATTATTGTACCGTACATGGGCTTTTCGAGACCATTCGTCTTGCGCTATCCCGGCTTTTGCTTTCTCCCGCTGCGTTTCTTGCAAGTTATGAGTACTTGTGCCAATAGCAGCAGCAGCATCGTTGCTATCTCCTCGTCAGTTGTAAGCGTCACTTGCGATTCTAAAAGCTCAGAAAGCGTTCAAGCCCCTATGGTGACGAAAGTTCGACGGCATCAAAGCCATTTACAAGGAAACAAGACGCTATCAGCAGCTGATAACGAGTCAATGGTCGGTGTAGACAATGAGCGAGGTGGCCCTAAGACACTGCAGCAGCTGAAGCTTCGGGTGTTGGCAAGAAACGAGAACTTTGTGGTGCTAAACAAAGGGCCAGACGAGAGGATGGACGGCGCTTTTGATGTTACGCTGGAGAAGGCGGTACGTCCGTTGTGAATTAATGCAATTGCATACAAAACCTTAGCAATGTGACTGAAGAAATGGATGAGTTTCGAATCAATTGGTGTAGCTAATGAGAGACTTTCCAGAGGTGGAGAAGTTCCGATGGATTCATCAACTTGACTTTGGTATGGATAGATCGAGAAAGTGAATGGAGGGAGACATGATACTGATGAGAGGTTATGTGAAAATTGCACTGTTTTATACTGCAGCGACGTCGGGTGTGCTGCTTGTCGGAGCAAATAAAAAGTGAGTCACGGTGGGGTGTTGTACATGTGTTGAAAGTACGACTGAGGTTCTTGTTTTTACTGTTGTCTAGAGCTACTGCGACAGGCTGTCGACTTTTCCGAGAGAAGCAGGTGCAGAAGGAGTATTTGGCAGTAGTGCGTGGTCATGTGCCGTTTCATCCAATGGATTGTGTGGATCGCATTGGGATGAATGTCAAAGCCTGCACATTCTCAAAGCTAGGCTTGTTGATTCAAGATATGGAGGAACTGGAGAGACTAAGGAGCCAGCAGCGCGGAACGAGGACGCACCAGAGAATGAGAGAATATCCACGTGGAGTTCGCCATGGACCTAATTTGTTTACAATGGAGCAAGCTCAGCTTCTACGTGAGAGTTGCAGAAAACGAGATGCTGGAGTTGGTGCTTGTGAATTGACTCCAGTAGAACTAGCATTCACAAAAATGACATGGCATGAGTTAACAAAGGAGATGAAAGATGCATACACGGTGAAGGCAAAGGCAGATAAGCAGCGCTTCTTGCGTGAATTTTGCGAATTCCTCATCAAGGAAAAGAGTCGGCTTGCTCACAAGCGACAATACGAGAGTCCTGATCGTGCCAAGAGCGACGAAACCAACGAGCCCGTCGCGTACATTTTTGACGCGCCAATTCTTGAGCCACACCGAAGTACAGGAGTTTTTCGCATGCAGGTGGGTACTGAGACGAACGCATCAGCTAAACAGTCCACCACAATTGCCTTTGTCTTGGGCCACGCAATGTATGAGGGTCAGCCGGTTACGAAAGTGTTGTTGCGCCCGCTCAATGGACGTCGGCACCAACTGCGACTGCATTTGGCGAACCATGGCTTTCCAATTGCAGGTGACGTCACTTATGGCTCGCAGGAGGACGAAGCACCACGAATGATGCTGCACGCTTGGAGGATTTGGCTTCGTGGACGTCCAGTGGATAAGGTGTGTACTTGATTAGCGCTGCGTTCCTCACAAGCCGTTTGGTGGCTAAAATCATGTATTATGCTCAGGAGAAGTACGGCGACCTATATTTTGAAAGTCCGGATCCGTTTGAGCCCATCGTGCCAAGTGAACGTGAGGTCTGCACAATCATGTACCACAAGCATAAGGAAGCAGATGCCCAAGACGCGATCACCGAAGCAAACAATGATTCGCTGGATCCGAGAGCCTAAATCGGTACTGCCGCAGCTTCTACTAAACTCTTGCAGCAAACCGATCATGCCCACAGTCGAGGGATTATCAGGTCCGCGATATACCTTTGATAAATTGATCCGCTTGTAGTTATCAGTCTTGATGACACAGTAATACACCGGCCTCATAAGGGCGCGGCGTGAATGTCGAGTGCCTACTTTCAAACGATTTTGCCTGTTCATGGTTTCCCAGAACAAATCGACAGCCACAGCGTGTACAGTGCCTCACCTTTGGCTACATGTTTGGTGCTTAGTAAATTCCAGCGGAAAATGGCGATCTCCTGGACCATGAACCTAGATTTTTGATAATGTGCAGGTGGTGGTGGTCAAGCATCAAGGCAGGCGTGTCCTCAGGTGGATTTGTCGGAAAGCGGTACGAGGTATCGACCGCCTTCTCCAGCGTGGCCAGCGCACTGTCATATTGCTGCATTGCTGTTGATGTCCGAGACGCACCAGCACCTAGCAAGATAGCTGGGATGTTGTTGGCGGAACCGACCTTGTGATCAATGACCAGTAATCGTTAAAGGCAAAACATGGTGACGTTGCATGGATCGCAAGGGAAAACTATGAAAGTAGAAATCCGTTTCGTGGAACTTGGTTGATGACTATCCTTGATGGGCAATCGACAGCTTTCACTCAAGCCCGTATCCGGTATCTGTCGATCACAAATGTCGAGCTCGGGTTATTCAAAACGATCAACAGCGACTTGGATGATGTCTCCGATAGGTAAGCACCTGGTGGAACGTATGACTATTGCATCGGTTGGCTTTTTGTTTCTGTATTGCTGTACAGCGATCATCATTTGGATCAAATGGACGGAGATGGAAAATAATGTGGTAATGCCATTCCATGAGCGTAAATTGAGAGGTCTTGACAACGACCATGATGAAAGCAGTGACTATCCCCGTCGGATGTGGATGAAAGGCGAGTTTAAATGTCTTGGTTGGGTGGAGACGAATGATGATGGTGATGAACTAGGGACACGGAGAGAGTGCTGGCAACGTATTCGAGCGGGTGACGCCGGATACTGCGAGGTGATGAACAGTACTTCCGGAGAAGTGTTTCACTTGATGCAAACAACTAGTCTCTCCTTGAAAGACGACGCTCGGTTCACATGTGAGTTGTCCAAAACATTTTCTTCATTTCAATTTCATGCCGCAGCGTATCGTCATGATCCACCCATGGCTTTTGATCCATCCAACACGCAAGGAATCGTCATGGCTGTCCATGAAGGCGTACTGCCAAGCGCATTTGCCAGTATTCGTCGTCTGCGGGACACTGGGTGTATACTTCCAATCGAACTTTGGTTTCGTCACGATGAACTCACGCCAGACAACCCGGTGCTGTTGCTGCTGATGGAGAAGTTTGGACCCGTCCACCTCCGACAAGTATTCGACGAACGTATTTACGGCTTCAACATAAAGGTTCACGGTCTGTACTATTCACAGTTTACCAGCGTGTTACTGTTGGATGCTGATAACTTTGCTGTTCGTGACCCAACGCCGCTGTTTTCTTCAACGGTGATGCAAAACTATGGCGCAGTGTTTTGGCCCGATTTTTGGCACCCAGGAAACTCCATCTTTAATCTTCACGCACAAAGTTTGGTATGGGAGCTCTTAGGACTCGACTACGTTCACATGCTGGAACAGGAAAGCGGTCAGCTACTCGTGAATCGCGCTATGAATAGGCGTGTGCTCGACCAGTTGCTCTACTATGCGACTCATTCACCAAACTTGTTTCATAAGCTGAAACTCGTCTGGGGCGACAAAGATCTGTTCCGTTTGGCGTGGCTTCAAAGGAAAAAAAACTTCCACTATAACGATCACCGCATGCCCGGGGCGCTTGGAATCGTAAATGAGGGTCGCCAACGTTTCTGCGGGGTCACAATGGTGCAGTATGACTTGTATGGGAAAAATATGCTTTTCTGGCACCGCAACACTATCAAATTAAGCGGTCGCGGTGATGATAAGCTCGTTTGGCACATGCTTCAAGAGCTTCCCACTTTTGCAGGAGAAGATAGTCATCCACAACCCAGAATTCAGTCTTTCAACGGCGACAAAATGTTCAACCAAACCTCATGCTTTGGTGTAAAGCGCTATGCGAGAAATTCGAACGTGCAGATGACACAAGTTGAGGAGCTCAATATGTTGGCCTTGTTGGAAAACGCTCTGATCAAGTACGCACGCCAGGCATACCAGTTGCTTCACGACGACACTGACGCGCCATCTTCGTGATTCTAGCACTCGCTTAAACGGTGGGCGATCACTCGGCGGATAGTTTCAGGAGTTTCTAGGTTGAAGAATGGCTCGACGGTAAGAAAGGCAGCTCGTTTAAGTTGTGAGCTACGCTTTAAGAAAAATCGTTGCTGCTTCTTCTCGCCGTGTGCAGAATGAAGTTGACTCGCTGCTGCACTGTTCTGCTTCATGAGTCATGTGATTGTAGACGATGGATTGCATGTAGCAGACCTCCTTTAGTCGCCGCATGTTTTGCACCAGCATAAACATTTCTGCACTTGCGCGAAGCGTGACAATGGCATTCTTAGCAGCAGAACTAGGCCCGTTTGCACCCTCCTCGAGTCGCTTGATGCTTGCAACCATTGTCTTACCTAACACAAGTAAGCACTCTCCACGAAGGCCAACAGTGCCATGCTCCATCACCAGCGGCATCTGATCGTTTAACAGCGAGTATGCATCTTGTAGCTTTCCCATTGCGATGTAAATTTCAGCCATAACAACGTGGGCTTCCGCCAACAGAAGATCATAATGGTGCCTTCGGCAAATATCCACGCTCTTGAGCAGTACATTTAGCGACGCAAACGGTGCATGTGGTGCAGCAGCTTGAAAACGAGTTCGGCTGATTGCAATTAGCACCTGGGCATGCAGATGAGCAAAACCAAGCTCTGCACACGTACTTTCTAGACTCTCAAGCAATTCAAGACTTCGAGTGTAGTCGTCGACAGAAGTCCACAAGTTTGCCTTTAACATGAGTGCCTCGAGATAAGAGGGAAAATCTTTTCCTTGAGGAGATAACACGAGGATCGCATTCAGATGAACCTCTCCGCGCATAAATTCTCCTCTTTGCAGTGCCCACAAAAAGAACAGATAGTGCAGTGTTCTCTGGAATGTCATATCATCAAGCAAGTATCGTCGCTTCTCAGCGCCACTTTCATCCTCGCAGAGGCCGACGAGAAACTTGAGTGCCCGAACGTACACAACCTCTCCCTTGTCAGTCTGTGCAAGGTTGGATATCGCCATTCGACTCACCGTTTGCACAATTTCTCCTGTACTAGCCGAGTCTTCGTAACACAACAAATGCATGCGGTTGTACACTTTCTCCAAAGACCGCTGCCCAAACAGACCCCACCCGGCTGCTGTAGAGAGCGTGACTTTCCCACTCAGATTCCAAACAGTGTCGAGAATTGCTTCTGTTGACTTTACCCAATCCATGCCACTTCCACTAAATCGGCCACAAGAATCAGACCCTGCACTCACTTGAGCTTGTAGTGCATTCATTGCCCGCGTACTGTTATTGGAAAAGCTAGAAGGTGGTGTTGATATCGACGCGATCGATTGCATTGTTGCGTACAAGCGTGACCAAATGTGGATCGGTCGAGGTGCAGGCGCATGAGCAGCAAAAATGTGTGAGACCAATTGTGACACTGTCCCCACCGCCTCGGGTCTAGTTGTGTTGTAGCGCATCAAGTCGCTCTCCACTTCCGTCAAGGTTGCCAGCACCTGCAAAGCTGGAAGACGCAACTCCTTGGCACGATCCAAACAACTGCCGACTAACTGCAGTACATCGTCTTTCGACGCTCCAATCTTAAGATTGATGCGAATCATCCAGGCAAGCGCAAACGCCACACATATGTGGTCTCCGTGGTGCTGAGCAACCCGAATTGCTTCTTGAATACTTTCTTGAGCGGCATTACAGTGATCGAATACAATCTGCAAACCTGCTAGATTTAGCGCTGCATACTGGATGCCACTTCCTTGAAAGTGCAATCCAGCGCTTCCTGCTGATCTTGACGTGGAGCTGTTACCATCGCTGCCAGCATTACCACTCAAGCAATCGCCTTGTCGTGGAGAAAGCACGTCGTGGTACTGATGCAGACTGTCAAGTGCACCTTGATAATCACGATCGCTCAGAAAACATAAATACCTTACAAAAAGCACGTTAGAATTGGATTGATCCATCTTCCTGTGAAGCAGACGTATTTGGTCTTGTGTCGACAGATCCTCTGTTCGCTGCGAGCCTCGTTCCTGACAACTCCTCCCGATCTCAATTTGTCGGATCATGTCACTTAAAATGTAATTCAGTTGATCATTCGACCACACTGTCGGGTCAGTTTCTTCTTGAGCAGCTTCCACTACCAGCAACTTCTCTACCAATACCTGTGAGTCAAGTTTTGAGTTTGCAAGAGTCATCAGATTACTTACTCGTAAATTGTTTGTCGGCGTCGTACTTCCCGATTGTATCGGCGATAATAGCATCTCGTCGTCGTCTTTTACTTTAGTAGCCCTCCACAAATGCTGCGCTGCAGGTGACTCCAAGAGCTCCAAAGAGCTATTGTCCTCCTCGTTCTTCTCTTCCTCCTCCTTCTCTTCCTTCTCTTCCTTCTCTTCCTCCTCTTCCTCCTCGTTATCTCTCTTGAACATCTTCTCTCTCTGCATATCTTGTCTAAATTGTTCCAAATACTGCTGCACGTCGTCAAAAAGTCTGGAAAGACCGTCAAATAATAGGCAATTCACTGCCAGTAAAAAGCTACGGACATAGACACCCAATAAACTCGTACGAACAAGTGTCGAACTCGTTGAATCCACGTCGTCCGTCTCCACATTTTCTTGAAAATGAGGTTCTAGTGGCGTGACACATTCCGTAATTTGCTCAATAGTGTTCCATACAGCATCAGGACTATCAATTGTAGTCAAGATACTGACCACTTGCCAGGACAAGAGCTCAAAATCGGATTGACTGTGTAAATTAATATCCAAACGACGCAATAAACTGTGAAGGGTTGTACAATACCTCTGAGTAGTGATATTCCTCTTGGGGTATTGAATTTCCAGAGTTAAAAACCGAGCGAGGGCGTTGAAAGACCGTCTGCTGATAATTGGAGCACGTGATACAGCGGCAATGGGTGGATCCGATAGAGATACAACGGAGTCTTCATTCGTATGAGTTTGTCGAGCATCTTGCTCTTGCTGTCGTACGTACTCGGAGATTAAGAGACAAACACTCAGGATATAACTATTTACTCTCCACTTAAGCATAATGGCTAACAATTAATAATAAATAATAAATACGTTACAATAATTATTATTGTGTCAAATAAGTATTATTGAGCATCGTGTATATTTACTCGAGAAAGGGCTACAATACTGATACAAAACCGGTTCTCGTTCCATGCCAACAAAGTCTCAGATCCGTCGTATAAGATGCGGTCTAGTGCCATGGTTCCAGCCTCCATTACTAGTCCATTTAACCCGTTAATTGCACTCCAGTCACTTTTATCAGCTGATGTAATGACTGTAAACCAGCGTATTCAAGCTGCACAAGAACTAGAGGAGTATCTTCGTGCCATGACTCCAACGCGTGGGCTGTTACCGTTTTACGAACCGTATTTACCGGTATTAATGGAGGTATTATGTACCAGTGCCCCGGCCCTCCAGACACGTGTCTTGAAGATGTTACAAACCTTATCCAGCCACCACCCGAGTGGATTTGGAGACTGGATGACGAATAATCTTCAGCTTGGACAAGAACCATGGCTTGTCCAATGGAGTTATGCTTTATTACTACAGACTGAAGAACTTGTCCCTATAGAGGGATGTGAGAATGATGGTCCTGCTGAGAAGAAGGGTCCGGATGAGAAAAATGGTCACTGGGAAATTACGTCCATGGAAATGAAAGAATTTGATCAAGTTTTTACTCAAGTGATGCTTATGTGGAGAACGTTATTGGATCATACCGAAGATGCAGCTCTTGTCAATCAAGTGGTGACATATCTACAAAATCTTATGATGCAATCAACTGGAACAACTCAATGGAAAACGCTTTTATTGAAGAAATTGCAGAGTCATTTTGTCGATATGGCAGACGTTTTGATTGGATGGATGATGAGTACGGGACCATGTAGTCGGTTACGGTACGTGATGACGACGAGTGGAAAGTATTGGAAACTAACGTTTTTGTTGCCGGTATTTTTGTGTCATGATGACTCAGAGAAGAGATTCTTTTGCTCTTGCATGAGTTTGGTCAATTGTGGGCAGATAATAGCGTGTTTAGTCTTCAATTGCTCAATTCATTTGCAGATGTAAGTGTTTAGTGATTAAGTGACAATGTGATGAAGTGATTGACTAGGTGATTTTTTTGTTGGTGAGGAAGGAAAGTATCAACTTGTGTGACTCGTGGAAGAATCATCAAGAGGGCGACGATGATCGCCTTAGTACTTTGTTGACATGTTTTATGATGGTGGCGCAATATGTTCCAGACCTCGGTGAGTGCAAAAAGTTGACGCCGCTTTTGTGTGTGTCTTTTTTCCATACGCACGTGTGTTCGTTGTGTCAAATATAAGTTCTTGTTGTAATATGTAGCTTTACGTGGTGAGGGAGGCTCTGAAAGCCCTTTTGTTAGAGTTCTTCATCGCGTTGCATCCTGCTCTTCGCCAAAATATTCGTAAGTTGAGTCTTTTTTTGCTGCTGTATATGGTGACACTATTAATGTCCTTATGTTGTGGTATGTATGCACAGTCTATTTTGCTTGGTTAATTGTTCAAAATATTTGGTGACAATGTCTATCTGTAAGCACAGCAACTTTCCACCTCTCTCAGTTGCAGCAGTAAGGTTTCTACTGTACCACTCTGCAGTACAATCTCAAATACACGATAGCGAGATTGACAAATTATCGAAAGTGATGGAAAACGCCTGCAAGCTAGCAAGTGCAAACTTTTGCATTATCAAGGACTCGCTCCCAGTGCAGACTACTGCGATAGGTTGTCTGGAAGATGATATGCTTTCTAAACATGTCAAGAAGGGCACCTCACCGAAGCGTGTAAAGACTCTAGAATGCTTGTTTCAGTTGAAACTTGCAAGTGGGGTTGCGTACATTACCCAACTGTGCCTGCAGCTGGTACGATTGGGTGGAATTGGTGCTCTCAAGGTTTGTCCAAAAGCTGACTATACTATAAAATGAAATCATTTGGTGGATGACATTTTTTGTGTTCGCTTTCGTGCCTAGGTGCTTGGGATGCGAGCTCTTCAGTGTTTAAGTGGTCGACAGAGCGAGAAGGAAATTAGTTGTTTCGTGTTTGCAGCTACATGCTTTATCTTAGCCTCCAGGAATTCGGAGAAGCCCACGTTTACAGGTAGTAACCATGAAGCAGATATTATCACGATTCTTGAATTAGTTTCAACGAAGCTGGAAAAGCAAACTCACCGAAACCGTCAGCATAAACTGACACCTCGGCAACTGTGCCTCGTGCTGAAGATGGCGTCTGCGTTTATTCGTGCTATGTCTCAGTGGGACAATGGTCAAAGTAACGCTGCGAAGATTGTGAATGGGGTATTATTGCAAATGTTGGAATGTGCGTTGACCTTGCTGGCCAGTGAAAAGGTAGTTATTCTGGATCGTCGAACCATTGTTGACTTGTTGAAGGTGATAGATGCTGTAATTTCGGAGACGAAACTCGTTTCAGTTGTGCCGCATAAGGTATGTCGAAGGTTACTGAAGATTATGGACGTAGTCATGCACTCTTCAAGTGTAAAGGTACGAGAAGAGTGCCTTCAAGTTTTAAGAACGCTTAGTTCTCGTGTTGAAGCTCGCTTATTTGCTTGCAACATATTCGAAATGTCACTTGACCTAGCGTTGGACTACGATGTACGAGAGAAGGTTGTGTTTTGCGGTATGAGTGATATAGCTCGATGGGCACTTGTAAACCAAGATAAAGTGCGTGCACCTCGTCACATATCGCAGGATTTGCATCTTTCTTTCGCTGCAGCAGATTTCGAAAGTATTATGAGCCTATTTCAGACCTACGAATGCGATGAAGCCGAGTGGAATCGAGTCTGTAGAAGAATTGTAGATCGAATTGCTCCAAATGTGGTACTAAAAAATGCAGAAGTGCTCCTGAATGCAGTCCGCCAAGCAGCAGGGTGGTGCGTCCAGCACAGACTACGCACTCATTTTGGAGGGCCAGCTCAAAGCTTTGCCAGTATTGAACGTTTGTTGCAAGAGTATTCGGATCGGAAGCAATTTGTTACTGGGCAAACTCCTCAAAGGAGTGACGCGCAACTGCTATCTAATTGGTTGTTGCTTGAGTTTGTCATCGCGTTGGAGATGCGTATAACTCGTGCAGTTTATTCACCCGAAGGAGATCAAAGCAGCTCGAAGAGTGAAGGCGACAAATCAGCGCTCTTCTTTCGTACCAATAAAGTGGTGTGTGAGGATTGGCTTACCCGGATACGACCATTTCTCGCCGAGATGTCGATAAATGGGTCATCCTACGAATTATGTCGGTATCATAGCCATGCTATGATGACAACATGCTACAGTAAACTAAGTCGAGCAATGACGTCTTTTACATCCCATGGAGGATCTGAACAAGTGTGTAACGAGTTGAGGCAAGCAGAGAAGGACATGGACGTTGCATTATTCCTACTATGCCGCTGCCATGTTGATGCTAAAGATGCAGATTCAATTTTGGGGTTTCAAAAATGGGGTGACTCTATATCTTCCGTTCTAAGCAGCTGGTACGAATTGAATGAGGGAGTTATGGACATGACGAAAGAACAACTCAAATTGCCCTTGTTTCGGTGGTTGTCTGCAATGCGTTACGAAGCTGAAATGCGATATGAAGACGCAGCAGCAGAGTACGAGATATTGCTGCAGCCATTAGTATCTGAAGTCGAATCTTGTTCGTCACGAGATGTTAGCGCTGCCAAGATTTTTGAATGTCCGATGAAATATCTTCGCATGTCACCCCATGCGCTACTGGGATGCTTCAAGCAATGTGCAAAATGCTACGTGTCTTTACGTGATTGGACCAAACTTCGATCCCTTGTTTCCCAGCTCATAAATATTGCTCGATCTCTAATAGATTACGACCATCCCATTGAGAGAGTTGAAACAATTTTTGACTGCAGTGATAAATGGAGCGACGAGATTGAGACGATATGTAGCCTGGTGGGGCGTGAAGTAAATGTGTTAGCAGAAAATGTAGGTAGTGGGAGCGAGTTACAAACTGATCCGAAGAACCGAGCGGCACTGGCGCTTCGTGTGTGGAGCGTTTTTAGTAACCCGGTGGCTGGATCGCCAGTTTCGGTTTTGGACAATGTTGCTAGCCAACTTGCGAGTGATTTGATACCGTTGGCGTTGCAGCCATCTCCATGGAATGGCTACACAGGCGAAAACATTGGCAAGAAAGCAGAAGAAACCCTTCTTCGAATGTTCGAGTTTTCGCACAAGGCACGATCAATTGAAATGCAACAGGCCGAGGTAGCTACGGAAGGTTTGAGGCTAAATTATGAGATGCATGACTCTGCTATTTGGAGCCAGTCATTCTGCACACCGAGTTTGAATTGTGCAACTCATGATATGCCAGGTAAAAATGTCAATGCAGATTGCCTGCACCTGACAAGTGTTGCCAGGTTGACACGGAAACAACACAATTTTACTCTTGCTCAAAATCTTTTGGAAGAAGCTGCGGCTGTCAAGGGCGTAAGTCAAAAGTCTTTGATGGCTTATCATTACGAAAAAGCAAAATTACTGAAGACCATAGGAATGGAGGATGAAGGTCGTCATCTTTTGGAAATGCAATGTGAAATTGGTTTGAGCTCTATTGGATTATTTGACGGAGAGGAGAATGCTACAACTCGGTCGTTTTTGTATCTCGCCAAAGCACTTGCTAAAGTGGATAGCACAGAACTGGTGTCATTGGCTACGTCTCGCCTTCTCCAAGGTATAATGATGTCCATTACGAACCTTGGCAAGCAAGGGCCGCTGAATGACCTAAACGATTTTGACTTTCTGCCTCAGACGCAAGATACAGCGGCGTACAAATGCCATGTCACCGCAATTGCTGTATCGCCAAAATCAGCGAAGGCCTGGGTCCGGTATAGCCACTGGTGTTATGATCAAGGGAAACAGGAAATAGCGCGAATAAGGGGGCAAAACGGATTTATCCACTTAGACTCATCGGACGAAGCGAGGATAAATGGTCTTTTGGACGAGATCGGGTTTACTGAACCGGACCGTGATCATATTAGTCGATCTTTTTGTCATCTCTTGGAAAATGGTGAGCTCATCGCCCAAGGACCTGATGCTTTTCATAAGCTTTGTACTGATCGAGCGCCACCAGACCACAATAGTGATGCAATGAATCGCCTAGTCCAGCTGCAGCGACGCTGCCGTTCCAGGATTTTCAGGTTCTATTTGCTGTCGGTTCATGGCTACGGAAAATACTTGACAGTGCTTTCCAGTGATTCGAACTCCAACGCTCCAAAGCAAGAGATTACAATGGTTGTGCTTCGTTTGCTAGGCCTCCTGACAACGTATGGAGCCGAAAGCGACATGATCTCAGCGCTTGAATATGTGTTTTCCAACGGGCCAGTGACTCCATGGTCCTACGTTGTTCCTCAATTGATTGCACGGGCACATCATCCGGTTGTGGCCGTGTCGTCTTTGGTTTGTTCGATCCTTGAGCGGTTGGCACACCATTCACCCTATGCGATTGTGTATCCGACTGTCATGGACTCGATGGAGGCCTTTGAAAATAAGCGAGGTACAGCGAACACGTTTGCTGCCGTCCTACATGAGCTGCAGAATGTGTCGTCTGGACAAGTTGATGGAGTGCGATTGTTAATTTCTGAATTATGTAGAATTTCTATATTATGGGATGAAGCTTGGATCAGCACGCTGATGAAAATGGCAGCCGATGTCGCTCGACGAACGAGTACACTGGAGAAGGAGGCTTCTCGAGTTGACAAAAATGCCTCATTATCTCATAACGAAAAGTGTGAGCTAGCACAGCGAAGATTGGTAGCCATAATGAAGCCAATCCTGGTGTCACTTGATCGATTGTGGAATGAAACATGTGGTCTTGCTCGTGACCAACACAATGTGTCGCCTCATGAGCGCAAATTTTTGAAAGAGTACGGAGCGTTGATTGAGAAAGCTATGGAAAGCTTTCGCGCTTGTTGCTCTTTGGAACTGCGAGCGGGGGGTATTAAGACACCGCAAGAGCTATGGCAGCCTTTCGCTGAGATATTGAAAGCCCTGATAAATGTTACAGGCCGAAATGATCAACTACCACTTCATGATATATCGCCAGCATTGGCGTCGTCTTCTCGGGAATTAATACTCACCGACATGCCCGGTGTCTTGTCTGGTCATAGCGACCCCATCACTATACATCGTGTTAATCCATTTGTAACTATTCTGAGAACGAAAACGAAGCCGAAGTCGTTGGGGTTCGTTGGATCCGACGGGAAAACACATAAGTATTTGCTCAAGGCTCGAGAAGACTTACGCTTGGATGAGCGCATCATGCAGTTCTTACGGGTGACCAACGATTTCTTACGTGCAGACGCTGCAGCTGCTGCTCGAGATTTGTCGGCTCAAAACTATAGTGTGATACCGCTCTCTAGGAATGCTGGCTTAATCCAGATGGTCCCAGACGTTATTCCGCTATTTCAAGTGCACGCATCTCGACACGAGCAAAAAGCAGCCAATGGACGAGTTTCTCAGAATCCCGTTGCGACATCGTCGGCACAGCAGCAGCCACCGCCACCTACCGCTCAGTTTTATGCGAAGCTGAAGCAACATGGAATTACAAATGTGTCGCCGAATAATCGAGCTCAGTGGCCAATTGCTGTGCTGAAGCAGGTATATCTGGAGCTTGTTGCGCAACGTTTGCGCAATGTGCTGCTGCAGGAGATTCTACTCCGCAGTGAAGATTTACGAGAAAGCTGGACAAAAAGTATGCGGTTTAGCAAATCTCTTGCGGTAATGTCCGTCTTGGGATACATTGTTGGATTAGGCGACCGGCATCTGGATAACATTTTGCTTTGTGTCAATAGTGGAGATATCTTACATATTGATCACAATGTATGTTTTGAGAAGGGACGCAGACTCAAGGTGCCAGAAATTGTGCCATTCCGACTGACACCCATGTTGCAAGACGCGCTTGGGTTTACAGGTGTGGAGGGGAAGTTTCGTGTGGCCTTTGAAACAACCTTACGTGTTGTGCGCTCTGATGAAGTTCGCGAAACTTTACTGACGTTGTTTGAAGCGTTTGTATACAGCCCTCTTGTCGATTGGATATCTGTGGATAAACGACAAGGACAGTCAGGAGACTCAAAGGCTCGGCTAGGAGCTAACGTGAATCTTTCCTTGTTCTTGTCACGAGCCGAAGAACGACGGCAAGACACTATCACCTTCGGACGACAATATGAACAATCTGCTGATATAATTTGTCGTGTTCTCAAAGAGACGAAAGTGCCGTTTGTGGACTTGCTGGAACAACGAATGCGATTGCATTCTCTTGAAAAAGAGGAGCAAATGTTGCTGAAGGAGGTTTCGAAACTTGAGACTGACTTGTACACGTTTCAAAGCTCTCAAATTGCAGAATATGTGGCCATGGAGGCAGCCACCGCTCATGCCAAGGAGATGAGTGCGAAGATTGCGTCTTTTGCAAACGAATGCTTGGCAAGACATCAGCAAATTGAGCTGTGGAGACAGAAAAGCATAAGTTTTGCCGAGACTGATCCAGAGGGACAATTAAATGCCGTGACAAGAGGGGTTGATTTAGCTTTCTTTCACGAGGCGCATGCTAGACTAAGCGATATATTGGCACAATCACAGTATGGTCAGCAAAAGGAAGTGTTAGCTGCATTAGAGTCCAAGTGCCGATCGCTTGATATGGATGTGCAACGTCTGCGCGTTAAAATTGAAGAGATTGCTATGGTACTGATCCCCTATCTTTCTTCTTACAGCCACTGGCGAAAGGAGCTGGACGCATACCTGGATTCAGAGCTCAAAACATCAGTTAAGGATGTATACTTTGACTGGTGGAATCGTTGTACCCAGTGCTTACGTGAACTAGTGGCTGGCCCAGATACAGAAACTGTAATTACTGTGACGAATTTGCCAACTGCTCCTTCTAAAGAAAGCCTCGATTACTCCAAGTCGATCCTGAATCATCTCCAGGATAGTGGGCTCAATTATCTTACATTTAGCGGCGGCACGAAAGAGGATTCATCTTTTCTCTTGCAAGTGGACCAGTACCTCCAAGACGTGTGGGATGCGCTTTCTGCAATGCAATTATCGAATGCTCAAGGCCAACGCCTTATGAAACTTGAGGGGGCGTCTTGGATCGTCAATGTTATGGGAACACTAGGCTTCTGCTCGAACGCTGTCGCAGCTGAGACTAGTGCCTTCACTCCCGTACTGGCTATCCCTTTGAAATTTCAGCAAATCGTTACTGTGTCGTATGCGTGTTCCACCTTGCTGGAGCTAGTAGCCACGCCGAAAGGCTCAATGAAGAGACTCCGAGGGAATGAGCTTTTGAGGGAGATTCATGATAACGATTCAAAAGAAATTAATCGAGGTGCTGGGCAAAATTTACATAAATTTATTGATGCTCTTCAAGCAGTGGGATCATTTGCCGTTGTGCTTCAGGAAGAGTTTATTTCTAACCTTCACGGTAGACAATGGGACGTAAATATATGCCAAGGTCTATTGAAAAGCGTCAGAGGAATGTCAGGTGGAATGCAAAGCACCATGGACGTAATAATGATGCCATCTGCAGTACATGACGAAAATTTCTCGGTGCACGTGGTGTTTCAAGAGCACCCAGCTATACAGAATGTCTTTGCAGCTGCTATAGAGGTCACGCAAAAGTTTGCAGCTTTTACCGACTCATTGCAGCAAGGGTCAGTTGTAACAGATGAAGAAGCTGAACGTATAAGGAGTGCGTCTAGCTCCAGTTGGATTGAATTACTTCTCAGCTTCGTGACGCTGTTGTCAGTGGATCAACCCAAGCAAGATTTTGAGGGAAAAGCACGCGTACTCTGGTCCGATCATATGGATGATTTTGTTTCCAACTGCGTGATAAAGCTACTCCGCTACCTACTTTCCAGTATCATCTCATTCGAGTGGAAGTTCGACTTTTTCGCAGTCGCTGAAGGGATGGCAAACAACAAGGAGCAGGCGGCACTTAATTCTCGATGGCTCGAGTTTTCCTGCTCTCAAATCCCAGACATATTGCCGTCTCTTTTGTCGAATAGTGATACGTTGGAAACACACGTAAGCGCAGTGAAGAAGTCAATCGATGGACTAATGACAGTTTGCGAAGAGTGGTGGAGTCAGAAATGGAGAGTGTATCAGTCAGACTTGTGGAGGCAACGAATATCTTCTCTTCGAACGTGGCATGAGAGGCGACTTCGATATGCTACATGGTTAGCGGTGGCACCTATGGAGCCAATCGATGTAGCAGAAGCACCAAACCTTAGTAGAGCTCAACTGCTCACATTCCTGTCATCACAAACTCCTCATCTAAATGCTTTGCTCACGGATCAACTTGCCGTTGAAGCGAACGTGTTAGAATTGGCGCAACAAATGGACTATCTCGCCTCAAACCGGGATACTGCTTCCTCCAACGACCGGCAATCTACTAACGAGAATTTGCACGACTGCGTTCAACTATGTTACACCAGCGCAGCTGCACTTTTCGACTATGGACGAGCTTTGGCTGACCTTGTTCAGGGCGTTAGTGTAATTGAGACGTCGTCCGGCGAGATCTTACAGGGGTCGGAACAGATGGAGCTCGAAGTGAATACTGTTGGAAAGAGCCTTCTCCATAAAGCATCGGAGGCTACTGTGGAGCTTCAATTGTGCAGCAACGTGGTGAGTGAAGTGGATGCCCGTGCACGTACTCTTCAAGGCGAAATTGAACACAAACACGCTATGTACGATGCCGTCGTCTCTAGTAACTGCGCGGCCAAAACTAAATTTCTTGAACTATGGAGCCAAAACGAAGATGCTATGGTGGAAATCTCACGTGTGCTGTGGAAACATGTAAAAGATATGCGCTTGTTGCTAGAGAATTTCGACAAGTTTAAGACGCCGTTGAAGCAAAATACGCCTGTGGGGGTTGAGAGTATACGCTCCCAAAGACAGCTGCAGATGGAGAAAAACGATTCCCTATCTTTGGACCACTTTTCTCCTAGAGCCACAGTCGGGTACTCGTTCATGGAGAATGATCGACTTGTGACAATTCTACTACGCAGTATTCGGTCAGTAAAACACTTGCAGGTGCTAGAAGGGGTTCTTGAGCGACATGGAGAAGCCTGCACGAAAATTCGAGAAACGATTGCTTGGATTGATCAAGTTTTAACTGATTTTGATACTCGTGTTGAAGAAATACTGTCAGATGACAGCCAAGATAAGACAGGTGCCGATCCGGGTGCTGATGCACTACTTACGTTGCTCCTCAATTTGATTGAGGCACTTGGTGTAATCACGAAGGAAGTACAGCCTTTGTCCGAAGGCAGTGTAACAGTGAAAATGACGGACGAAAGTGCGATACCTCTTCTTGTGATGGGCCGTGATCTTGTACGCGAATGTATAAAGCTATTTTTCGAAGCAACTAAAATGGCTGATCGATTGTCAAGTGCAGACGACGAGAGTCACAAAACGGACGAAGATGTCTCGACGCAACATGTAATTGACGAGGATGAAGAGCAGCATGAAAACACAGACACTTTTGATACTTCCATCGCTATAGAGTCTGGCAACAGTGTTGTAGTAGGTGGATGTAGTGACAACGGGGCTATTCCTTGTGGCGTGGAGGAAAAAAGTCAGTATGGCTTGCAAGTTCTCAAGCGTATTGAAGAAAAGCTGTCAGGGACGGTGACGGAAATGGCTCATGCACCCATGTTAACAGTGGAGGAACAGGCGTCGTGGCTTATTGATGAAGCTACGAAAACCGACAATCTCTGTGTCATGTACGAAGGATGGACACCATGGATTTAGAAAGGAAGACCTAGCAATCTTCTTGTGGAAATGACCATGCCCGAAATTGTTTGAGTGACTTTATAATGCTGACAAAAACTCACTGTATTGATGACGAACAAGAAAGAAACATGTTGCACAAAGGCATTCGTCATCTTGTTGATGTCACGCTTCCATCGTATCACTTTTCCTGTCACTATTTCCGCCTAGTGAAACTTGTACTGAATCTTCTTATGCGCCTGGACCAAAAACTCAACGTACGAGACGTCATTGCGTGTGCGATCCTCTACTAGCGTGCTCATGAAGCGATTGGCACGCCAGTCATTCTTGCTCAGGATCTCCAGGGGCTGAGAGATCGGAATGGTTGAGTTCAAGTACTCCACAAGCGAACGCAGTCGCTCACGAGCACTCATGCCATCACCCTCGGGAGGCTCGCTTTCGATACTCTCGAACAGGTCCAGAGTCTGCTCAGCTGTGTCAGCATGATCCACGCCGAATAGTTCCATCAACAAATCAGGAGAAGCCTTTGGACCGATGTAAATGTAGCAGCACATTGCTGAGTGCAACAGGAAAATACCTTCTTCATCTAGTTTTTCTGCCGTAGGCGGAAGCTGCGGCGGAAGGAGAAACTTGCCATCCTCGTCCAGTGTGCAGCAATCTTCCGCCAGGTCATGTACGCTGTATAGTTTGGGGTAGACCGCCGAAACGCAAAACTCAACGGGAAGACTGTTCAGTAGACCCATCATCATCACTCGCTCATCTGCACGCACATCAATAAATCCACGCGGAGGGTTTCCCACAAGGTTTCCTCTCAATGCACGACTCTTGAGAGTAGCCAAAGTGTAAAGAGGCAGCAACTTAAGAGATTCAGGTAAGATGAGCTGTCCCGAAGATGAAGATGAAGCACAATACTTGCGATAGTTGAATAACACCGTCACACACTGGTCCACCAACGATTCCTTCACGGCCATAGGCGTCGCACGCATTAGCTGCTTGTCCACGAACTGACGTGCAGCTGAGCGCTGCCATACGGAGCAGGTCGCGTCCAGGTCAGCAAACCGGAAAACATTTGATAGCAACGGGTCCACCTGCAACGCGAGGTTGTGCACACGCACGCAACGCAAGCCGTCACTGCGCGTATAAAGCAGCGCCGCTTGGATATATGCGTCCGTGCCCTCAGCTAGCGGTTCGTCGTACGAAAAAGTTACGCACATCGAACGGTCTTGGTCGATCACAGCAAACTCCATCTCATCTGATGTATATGCGTTACCACGAGCATTGTAAAAACTACCGTATGAGTGCTCCAAACGGAGCCCAGCGCTGCAGCGCACCTTAAGCACGGCCTCATAGCCGCAGTCGCGATCCACAAGTCGCTGAAGCATACTAGTAAGATGGTGACGATTACTTGATTGCTCCTTTTCAAACTGAGGCATGTACTGAACACGCCCGCCAGTCAATTCACACACACGGCCCACATCAGCAAGTGATGCAAACACGTTTGCAACCGAGAACACATCCAACGAAATGTGACTTTCCGCACACTTGCGAGCTAGTTCCTCGTACACGTTGTTGTCCTCGGGAGTATACAGGTCCACCTCCTTTGTAGTACCGTAGGCACCACTCACTTCTTCACGTTTCACTTTGCCAATCCCTACGCGAGGAGCTCCAGCATGAAGCAGCACTACTCGTCCTCCCGATACCGATAGCGCGTCGGCTACACTCCAGAGTGCGGATCCAGAAACTGCCTGATTCGTTGTAGTGTTTTCAAACGAACGGGTGATTGTATCAGATAGCTCCGTAATCTTGTCAGCAGCGGCCAGATCGTCCATGGATATCAGCCAGCTGCTAGGAGGCAGCGGTGCCACAGGATCATCAATGTCGGGGCAAATGCTCATTGATATAGAAGTCGAGCCGCTGTTCATACGGTAGTAGTGTACGGCTGAATCGAATGTTACAATACCCACCTTCTTGCGTTTGTTCTGTGCCATCGACGGAAGCAAATACTGAATTGTCTGCAGTGCGCTAATAGCGAGGCCCGTCTGGAACGAAAAGAGAGACACGTCGAGAATAAAAACCAAAATGGGCTCTTGTGGCGGACGGATAGTGTACGCTGCAGGCACAACATATTCCACGGAGCCGCGCGATAGTTCCGCGCGTTCTTGAATATCGCGGCGCTTGCCGTACTGGTCTACGCTGCAGTAGTAATCGCGGGGGGTATCATTACTCAGCTGACAAATGTTGCACACAAATTTACGACCACCTTGGATGAACTTGGTAAATGAGTTTACATAAGCAGCACAACGTGTGCATCGCAATGGGCCACTAGGTCCAAAGTCCACCAGTGGAATCGACAGCTCGTCCTCGTGCAAGTCGGCAAGCGGACAGATTACCGCAGCCAGCGGCAGTCCACATTGCTTCAGCAAATCCTTCGTGGCGGGGACGTGATTAAGCGTCGGCCGAATAAAGCGTGGATTACAGCAGCCTTCGTCCACACACACGTAGTCACTCGACGCCGGCGGCGGCATGGTCACAGTGTGACCCCGAGCAACATACTGCACACGCTCCGGCGAAATAATAGGTCGTGGGATCTGAGTCGGGTCGATACGCTGCTTTTGTGCCTGAGAAGCCTGCGGCTGGTGTTGTTGAGGATACCCTCCTTGCTGAGGTTGGCCATACGCTCCAGGTGCTACCGATGCACCGTAGGGCGGTGCAGTAGCACCAGGAGCAGGGGGTCCAGGATACGGTCCAGCATTGCGGTTTGGCTGAAGATATGAAGCTGCTCCTCCTTGTGGAGGAGGTGGTCCCTGCTGTTGTCCACTAAAATGTGGTGGTGGGGGTCCCTGTAGTTGTCCATTAAACTGTGGAGGTGGAAGACCTTGTTGCTGTCCACTAAATTGTGGTAAAGGGCCTGGACGTCCACCCTGAGGTGGCAGTGCATTGTTAAATTGCTGTCCTGGAGCAGGAGGTCCCTGTTGAAATGGTTGCCTCGTTGGACCAGGTAAACCATTTGATTGGAAAGCTCCTGGTGCTGGTACAGCAGCTGGAGTATTTTGTAGTGACCCGGGCATTGGTGGAAATCCGTTGTATCCAGGTGATGACCCGATAGGACCACCACGGGTGTTTCCATTGGATGTAAACCCTGATATCTGTCCAACTTGTTGATTAGGTCGATAAGAACCTTGAGAGCTTGGACCTGATGATGTGATTTGATGAGGTGGAAACCCAGCACGTCCTGGAGGTTGAGACGGAAAGTTTTGGCCTGATAAAGTTCCTATTGAAGCAAAGTATATGGTAAGAAATGGGTACAACATTGTATACAGTGGAATGTCAGTGGTTTGGTATGTTACCAGAAGGTTGCGACAGTGGTTGTTGGTGTTGACGTCCATATCCTGTATAAAGTGATATCCAAGAAAAAGGTGTTATATAGTACAATACTAACTACTAGTTGCTACAAGACGCACCGTCATTAGGAGGAGTATATCCACTACCAGTACGAGGTACTTGCTGTTGCGGTGGCGTGTGGTCTGCGTAGCCTCGAGGCGGAAAGTTTGGTTGCTGCATTTTAAATGACACGAGGTTGACGCTTTCTGTTCCACGTGTGAGGGCACCAAGTGACCAAACGGTTTTCACGGGGGAAAGATCGGAGGTATCTATGTGGACAACATAAATCGAAGGGAACATGCATTATGATAGGAAATATGTTTCCCTTTATAGAATGTAGGTCATCGTCGTCGTCGTGTGTAGAAATGCGGCTAAATCTCTACAACTCTATATTTTTGCTGTAAAATCGGTTGCTCAAACTAAGGGACCATCACTCATATAATCAGATTTCGTAAACCAACTCAAAAAGCTCGCCCTCCTCTTACATCATAACTGAATTGACCAGTAAGAATGGAAGTCCCAGAGCAACAAAAGAGTGACATGTCACTGGATGACATCAACGCGACTACGACGACGTCGCAGGTCGAAGTGGAGACGGAAGCAGCACATCGAGAGACCCTTCGAACCCTTCGTTTGGCCTTTGTAGGCAATGTCGATAGTGGCAAGTCGAGTCTTATTGGAACACTGATTAAAGGGGATTTAGATGACGGACGTGGGTCGTCCCGTCAAGCGATTTTCCGTCACAAACATGAGGTTGAATCGGGTCGGACGAGTAGCGTAGCAACTGCATATATGGGGTTTGATGACTGTGGGGAACAGATTTTATCCAAGAGAGCAGGGAAGCTCATTCCATGGGCCGAATTGGCAAAGATGGCACATAAAAGGATACAATTGATTGATTTGGCTGGACATGAAAAGTATCTCAAGACAACAGTGTTTGGTTTAACAGGGATGCAGCCAGATGTGGTTGTAGTTGTAATTGGGGCGAACATGGGCGTCAAACGAATGACAAAGGAGCATCTAGCTATTGCCGTTGCGGTAAGTCTGTGTTGTTGTTGTTGTTGTTGTGACTTGTAATGTTTTGTACGATGGACACAGGATGATGTGATAATGTGTGGTGCTGCAGCTTGAAATTCCTATTGTTGTAGCACTTACGAAGATTGATATTTCCCCGAAGAATGTCGCCAAGGAAACGCTGACAACAGTCCGTCAGATTTTACGACGCTGTATGTTGGTGATGTGATGATTGGCTTTGCAGGATACAAATTGACATGACTTATGGAAATGTGGGTATTTGTTGCTATGCTACTGCTGTTGCTAGACGGGAAAATGGTCATGCTAGTGAAGACGACGGAGCAGGCGATAACAGCGGCCAAGGGTATACCATCGAACCGTGTTACGCCTATTCTGCCGATTTCTAATGTCACGGGAGACGGATTGGAGAATCTGCGCCGGATACTATACGAGACGTCACCGTCAGCGTTATTCAAAGCGGGTCTGTCGGCTTCGACCTTAGCAACAACCAAGTCAATGAACCAAGAGGAAAGCATCGAAATGCCAGTTGATGCCGGTGAGCCGAAGAAGGCAGTCGCTGTGAACGATGTGATTGAAATGCCGATCGATGAGACGTACCAAGTTCCTGGTGTTGGATTCATCCTCGCGGGGACATTAGTGACAGGAAGTTTCAAGGTTAATGATGTCTTGCAGATTGGACCCGACTTTAGCGGTAACTTTCACAAGGTTACGGTGCGCAGCATGGAGTCAATGTACATGCCTCTCAAGGAACTTGTGCCGGGACAAACTGCAGCGCTTGCTGTCCGATCGATCAACAAAAAGTTTTTGCTGAGTCGGTCAACTTTCCGCAAGGGTATGATTTTGTTGAGTCCTGAAATCAAGGTGAGTGACTACGTGTCGCGAGTGTTTGAGGCTCGGGTGGTGATTCTGCACCACCAAACCACTGTCACCATTGGCTACCAACCAATGATCAATTGCCGGACGGTTCGGCAAACCGCAGAGATCATCTCGATCAAATCGGACCAGGACGTTATTCGGACAGGAGACCGAGCACTTGTGTGCTTTCGCTTCATTCATGCACCAGAGTTTCTGAAAAAGGGTATGCGTTTTGTGTTCCGTGATGGTCAAGCAAAGGGAATTGGCAAGGTTGTCCGGATAGTTCCTGCCGAAGAATGCGAGGCACTTTGAGAGAATGAGGTCTGTTTGTTTTGGGTCTGAACCCATTTATAATGTTTGTATAGCAATTGAAACGGTGAAGGGGTTTCTATGTGGCGACTTATTGATTACCACCACCTATTGTATGTATAAACAGCTGTCATGCTACATAGCAGTAATCAATCGTCGGTACCGTGTTACCTCCTACCCATCAAGTAGCATACCGTACTTAGTCATCTTTTCCCGTGTTCTCAAGTTCGCAGTCCATTGACAATGTCGGACCATAATCCCCGCAAGAGTGACACGCTGCGTGTGCTCGTGTCTACGGATAATCACTTGGGTTATGCAGAGAAAGATCCAGTGCGTGGGAATGACTCGTTTCATACATTTCGTGAGATTTTACAATTGGCGCAACGTGAAAAAGTCGATCTTTTATTATTAGGTGGTGATCTCTTTCATGAGAATAAACCCAGTCGTCGTACTTTATATGAAACCATGCGTCTATTACGTACTCATTGTATGGGGGACAAGGCTGTAAAGTTTCAAATTGTGAGTGATCAGAGCGTAAATTTTCCAAATTTTGGTGTCGTGAATTTTGAAGACCCAAATTACAATGTCGAGCTTCCGATTTTTAGTATTCATGGCAATCACGATGATCCTGCACGATCAGGAGGAGGAGATATTACGCAATCATTAGCAGCTTTGGATTTACTAAGTGCTGCTAATTTGGTCAATTATTTTGGCAAATGTGATAAAGTGGATGCAGTTGAAGTATTTCCAGTGTTATTGACGAAAGGGAACACACGGGTGGCAATTTATGGACTGGGGAATATGAGAGATGAACGTCTTAATAGGATGTTTGCACAAGGTAAAGTGGTGTTTCGAAGACCAGCAGAACAGACGGAAGAGTGGTTTAGCATCTTTGTGGTGCACCAGAATCGAGATGACAAAGGACGTGGAAGCAAAAATTGTGTCCCCGAGAGTGTGATTCCAGACTTTATTGACCTTGTGGTGTGGGGCCATGAACACGAGTGCCAGATTGATGTTCAAGAAAGTGTCAAAGGAGATTTCTTTATTACCCAACCGGGGTCGTCCGTAGCGACTTCGTTGGTGGAAGGAGAAGCAAAGCCAAAACATGTTGCAATACTGGAAATTAATGGTCAGAGTTTTCGGATGTCGAACCGTGAGTTGCATACAGTACGACTATTTAAGATGGGCGAGGTGATTCTACACACGATTGAAGAGCTGAACCCGAATGACCCTGATGTAGCGGAACGCATTGGCGAGTATCTGGAGAGCAGAGTGATCGAACTACTACATGAGGCTGAGTTGGAGCAGCAAGAAAGGTTTAGAAAACGGTTGAGGGAACACGAATGTCGTCAACAGGAGAGCCCTTTCCCGCTACCAGAGGTTGCAAGTAGGGAAGAGGAGAAAGAACTAGTGCTTATTCGTTTGCGCGTGGAACATACTGGTTTTCCCGTGTTAGTCAACCAACGGTTCGGTGCAAAGTTTGTCGGCAAGGTGGCCAACCCCAACGATATTTTATTGTTTTATCGACGGAAGAAAGATCGTATTAATGCCTCGGGTACTAATGCCAGTAAGGAGCTGGAAGAGTCGCTTCTTGGCCGGCCTGTGCGACCGACACCACTAGCCACATTGACTATCGAAGACATTTTGAGCAAGCAACTATGTGTACCTGAACGAAAACTTTTACTTTTGCCCGAGGCTCAACTTGGAGTTGCACTAGAGAAATTTACACTAAAGAATAACGCGTCAGCTATTCAAGAGTTCGTTGATGGCGTTCTTGACGAGACCCAACGTGAACTAAGTTCTAAAAGTTACGCCAAGTCAGCACAAGATATTCTTAGCGTTGTTGGAAAGAAAAAGGAACACGCTGATGCGCTGCACATATTGCAGAAAGAAGAAGAAGAAGAGTCACGAGCTGGTGCAATCGAGCATGGCACGCCATCGGGTACCAGTTTGTCGGCAGACGGATTTCAGTCAAAGCGGATCACGCAGGACAATGGTAACTCGGCTAAATCGCAAAGCGGGCGGTTCGGTACGCCAAGAAATATACAAACTAGAAAAGCAGCACCATCGAAAACGATCGCGAAGAAATCGTCAGTCTTTTCAGATCTCGAAGACGATAGTGATGAAAGTCCACGTAAGAAGAAGGCACCCACGCTTAGAAAGACTTTAGCTCGTTCAACTAGAAACAAGAAGCGAACGACAAGTGACTTTTTATCTTCCGATGACGAGGATGCATTCGCGACTGGTGAAGATGATGGAGATGAAGATTACAAAATGGACGGCGATGAAGAAGATGAGGATAGTATGACTCCACGATCGGCAGTGAAAGCTCGTGGAAGAGCTTCGAGTCGGTTGACAAAAGCCAAGAAATCACCACCGAACCGCAAGCGACTTCGCAAGATCAAAGGGCATGACGATGACGATGACTTGATGCCCACTCCTAATATGCGTAGTAGGGCTACGCCGACAAAGCGTGAATCACAAGAAAGTGAGGTGATGAATTTGTGCTCGGACTCTGAGCAGGAACGACCGGCATCTAGAAAACGCGCCGGGCAGACGAAGATGCCTCAGCAACACAAATTGGATCACCTGTTAAAGAAACAAAAGCTAATGACGAATGATGCCGACGATGTCGAAAGCGACCACGAATTCACGCAGCTTGCTCAGCAGGCGACCGGTCGCATCCAAGAGATAGTTGGTCCGTCGCAATCACAGTCCGAGTCGCAAGTATCTCAAGCTTATAAAGGAGGCTCAGCGCGGCGCAAGCTGCCATTGTCGATGGCTGCAGCTTCGCAATCCCAATCTCAAGAATCGAAGCGTGGCGAAGCTGCTGCTCCTGCTGCTCGTAAAGGTTGGGGTCGTTCTCGTCGCTAAGAGGAACTGGCAAAGGAAAATTAGTACAACCCGTGAGAAATGCACTGGTTGAAGTCAGCCGTGTATTTCATTCCTTTGAGTAATCCAAGCTCGTTTGAGCACGTCCCTTATCCTCTTCAGCGATGACAAGTGAGAATACTGGTTTTACTCTTTCATCCCTACTTGATCAAGCTCTGTCGTCTTAGCCACGTTCTCCACTCGATCGCTTTAGTAGATGCCAACGCTCGATCAAAGCCTACTCCATGCTCTCCAGCAACTCCTTGGGTGGAGTCTTCGGCAAACTCGAGTTCAGCTCCTCGTCCTTAGCAGGGTCCTGTCGCACCCAGGTCTTATTCTGGAAGCGAGGGCGCATTTGCGATGGATAGTATGGGTTGCGTGGCGCAAAGGCTGGTGCACCAGCCTGCAACCCAGCGTTATGTGAGCCACCACTTGCCTCGCCTTCAGCTGCGTCTGATTCTAATTTGCCTTCATTGGCCTTTGCTTCTTCAGCCTTAGCAACATTCGGGTTAACCCACTTGCGATTCTGGAATGGTCGTGGCCCCCGTGGACCATTTTGCATGTCACCCGCGAGCGGTCGAGGGTACCCCCGGCCACCATACGGCGGCATGCCTTGAGGTAAAAAACCCATCGCGTACGGGTTCATGGGTCCGTAACCTGGCGGAGGGTAGAACATCGGTCCTCCAAAAGGCTATACAAATAACCAAACAATACAGCAGAACGTACACAATTAAAATCATTCCTCACACGTTGCCAAGCAATGAATATATACCGGCGGGTAGCCTCCATATCCCATAGGACCGCCCTGAAATCCCATCGGCGGGCCCATTCCTTGACCGTATCCTTGCTTCTCCTTATAATCCCCTTTCTCGTCTGACGGTGGCAAAGGTGGCGCCGCGTCACGAGAACCTTTGCTTCTCCGCTTGCCCCTGTAATCCCCATCCTCCATATCTTCGTCTCGGTCTCGGTCATTTCTCCGGTCGCCACGTGATCCACTACGATGATTCTCATCACCGCGGTCACGGTCTCCACGTCGCTTCTTGTGCACTCCCACGGTATCACGTGCGTCTAGTTTGGCTTGGTCGACATTAACAGGTGGGCCCAGTCGCAGTCGCTTTGACAGCCGACTGTTGCTATCCCGTTCACTTATCCGTCTCTTGTTTCCTGTTGTTTCTGTTTCATCTCGCTGATAGCGATCAGTAGCTCCTGCTGCTGCTGATGATGATGGTTTCTTTGATGCTGGTTTCTCCACGGCACCAAACCGCTGAGCTCGTCGTGCAATCACGTCGTCCATGTCAGTCTTTGATGGGTTTAACGACCTGATTGTGCTTCGATTGCTACTGAGTGACACAACTTTCTTCTGATGTGGTTCCGAAGATGATTGCGAAAGTCCTTTCAAGCTGATAATCCGTTTATTCTCCTCCTTCTTTTCTTCTCTTTTCTGAGCTATAATTTCTTCATTTTGAGACTGGACAATGTTTTTACAAGACGTTTCAACTTCTTCATCTGCTCGAGATGAACCAGCACTTCGTCCTTTGGCTTCAAATGTTGGCAGCAAGTTACTAAGCCACGTCACAAATTGTTCCGCTGATTCTTCTCCAATAAAATCCACAAGATCATGAGCAATTTGTTCCATGTTCTTCTTGTTGCCAACCATGACAATCACGTATTCCTATAGTTGTTTTGTCCAGTTGAGTTGATGAAGAAGGAAGTATCAGATACGTATACAAGAAATATATACAAGACCCTCTTTTAACAAAAGAGGGAGGGGTGGCGTCCCCAAATATTCCTAATTAGGGGGTTCTTTAACACCCTCTTTTGAATCTCATTTTTTCTAATTTTTTTCACATAAAAATTATAAAAATTTGGTTAACCCCCGATTAGTCATATATTCCGTCCTCTTTTCCACTTGCTTTGTTTGTGTGCGCTTCATCGCGTCCTTTTCAACAGATAAATGGGAACGCCACCCTCTCAATTACAATTTTTCTAAACATTACGGTACACGTACCGCCATGACATTGTCGACCTCGACGCCCAACATTTCGGTGAGTTTTTCACGGGTTTTACTTGTAATTTCCTGCTTCCAATGATCCGTCAGTGGTAATGGGAACACGTAACTCGTAGGGTACGACACCATTATGAAGGATTCTATAGTGTGACTTGATGACAGAGGAGAGGTTTGTGGCTGAGGAAGGCAAGTACTGTGAAAGACAGAATACGAAAAACAGCATAGAAATCCTCGGTCGAATGACGGCATGAACCTCGCTATAATGACATACTACCACTGCGACTTACAAATCAAGGCCTTTTTATTTGTCGCAAGCTGTCCCCGCTGACCAACCCACATTGTCACAAGAAAAGGACACGACATGTAAGTTTGCCTTCTTATCCTTTCTAGTGTTTGCTAGAATCACAGCTTGCAAATATGAAGGAGTGCTAATTCGTTTTCGTTCGTGGTCAATTGGAAGTGTAGTAGCCAAGGTACCACCTATTGATGAAGAAATAGGGCACACTAGAAGAGCTTTTGGAAGCCACAAACTTGTTGCTACACTGCTTTTACTCCATGTAAATGTGTGTATGTTTTTCCAAGTGGTAATCTATAATTTCAGTAAAATATTTCAGTTTGTAAATAAATTACCGCATGTACCATTATAAAAAACATGTAGACCATAATATACCTATTGATACATAACTATATGGGGGGTATAAAAACGATTGTCGTTCAATGTCACATATGTGGAATTCATGGAGAGTCAGATGCCAGTGGGGGAAATCTTCAGATCGGTAGATGGCTCTGCTATGCAGCGATTTGCCACAAGAAAATAAAAAAACGTATCTCTTGCACAAAGTATATGGTCCCTGTCATTTCGATTGGCCTGGCCCTACCTTTTTGTCTCTCGTATTTACTCGGCATTGTTGCTTTGGTCTTGCAAGTTGACGGGTTTCATACGTCATTTCTATTCGATTTCTATGGGGGATGTCTGTGGTACTGATGTACAGGATTTGTATCTAGAAGACTCGGAGAATCAACAAGATTATACGCTGTGTTCGAAAATGGGTACAATCTGCAAGAAAAATGGCTGTAGCTGTCGAAAAACTGCCAAAGGAAAAGTGAATGGTGCTACAAAGTATTTTAGTGTTTGTGTTGTGGTTCCAAAGGATGGAGAATGTGTTTCAAGTGGAGAAGATCATGTCAGTTGTGCAGTAGGGGGTACAACTTCTGGTTCCACGACGACTTCCAGGTCCAAGAAATTACCAAACGAGTTGAACGACGAGAGCAAGAAGAACGATGGCAGCAAAATTGATCCGGACAAGATCACAAAAGACCAGCAGAACACTGGTATGAAGGACCAGTCAACTGATATTACTAAGGACAACACGCAGGACAACACGCAGGACAACACGCAGGACAGCACCTCAACAATGAATAATGCTATGGTAGAGAGTATCAAACAATTGGGCACCGATACTGATTCCAGTGGAAATCCTCCTTCAGATGCAAAGACAGTGTCAAACACCTCCACGTCGTCTAGCTCTATGGATTCAAAAGTCATGATAGCGATCATTGTGATTGTAGTCGTGTTCGTGACGCTCGTGACATGGGTCATACGCTCATACTGTTTGCGACGGTCGAAAGCCAAGAGCAAAACCTCTGCTAGACGAAACCGGAGCATTCACAACACCAATTTTCAAACAGCGTCCCCGAGCAATCAGACAGGCAGGTCTTCCAATGCGCCAGCGTTCCCGGCGTTCGATAGACACCCACGAGAACGACAGACGCCAACCACAGGCGAACATGGATGGGAGAACCAAGGCCCGCAGCGTGGACGAGCTACTCCACGTGGTTACGAACCAAAGTCTGGACGTAGTCAAGAATTAACTTCCGGACGTGGCGGACGAAATCCTGCCATAGACTTTGTGCCAAAACGAGCCCACCCTCCATACAGGGATGGACCACGCCGTGAACCGGTTTCCGGTCGAGGACGGAAAACGCCCAATATTGACGCACAGCTTGCGCGGAATGGACCACGAGATTGTAATAAAGCTGGCGTGGAGTATGAATCGAAGTCTGGAAGAGGCAGGCGAGACAATTACGGTATGTACAATAATGAGGCGGCGGTGCGAACTCCGTCGCGGGAACCGCGGCCAAAACAAATTGCTTCTTCAAGGCCTGTCAGAGCACCTATAAACAACACGGTAAGGTCCTCTGGCGGTACTGTGTACACTGGCCATAACACGTACGATCGAGTTGCGCAGTTTGCCCAGCTAGCAGCATTTGAGGCACCACCACCTCCGCCTCCTAGACCCCAAAGACCGATTCAGTCGGTAGTTGTCTCAGAGGCAGTTTCGAAACGTGCTAGAGCCCCAGCGCAGAATGCGAGGCCACCACCTCCTGCGCCTCCTGCGCCTCCTGCACCTCCTGCACCTTCCGTGTCAAAGCATCCAGGCTTCTACATTGATGAAACCCCTGCGGCAATGGAATATGACATTCTGTCCCCGAAGACTGCGAGGTCGCTGGCACCGTCAATTGCGTCGTCGGCAGCAACGGTGGTGGCTGGACGTAATCGACCAACTCCACTTCCGCAGAAGCGACGACAGCAGCATTCGACTGCCATTGATTCTTACTATGAATCAAGCTATAGTAACGTTGACAACAAGCACGGCGGCGAGAGGAGATACAATGAAAGAGCCTCTGGAAACAAACTCAAAGCATCTGGTAACTATAACGAGTCATTCTTGAGCGAGGCCAGCTCCATGGCATGGTCGGCAGCTTCAGGTCTAAGCGACAACAGCTATTATCATGTGCCGCCCAGCAACAGAGCTCGCATTCCCGTGATTGAGGCACCCCGTGACGACGACGACGAAAGTGAGGACGCGTATTCTGACTGGGGCCAATCTACGCAGCAGTCCGGGTATGATATCCGAAGCACTGCAGCATCATTTTCAGCAGCAGACGCATCGTTTTTCTCCGTGAAGTCCGATTACAGGGACTCGGACAGTACGTTTAAGGAGCGCGAGTTTTGAGGCTGGTCAATGTTGCCCACTCATTGAGAGGAGGACAGCAAGCGAGCAATTACTCAGTGGATATTGTAACATTTGGGGAAGCCAAGGAAATAAAGTAAAGTGTTGTTATTCATTGGTGACACCCGAGCTACGAGGCACAGTTGGTAGCATCGATTGATGTTGTCTGTCATAGGTCAAGCACGTGGTTCGACAAGATCAAGACCGATTTCATCCGTTAAACGATTGTACGATCGATGAAATGAGCAGCGTGCTAACCACAGTTGTACATGTTCATGCTCTTTGTAGACACGACATGCGAAATCGAATCGCTACTGACGAAAGGAGTCAGCAAACCAAAGCAGCAGTAACTATTAGTGATGTCATGGAATACCAAGTCGAGAACAAACAAGTTCAGCGATGTATCCGTTAGATAATTCCATCTTTGGCCTAGGAATACACACAGGTCATCCATCTACCCCCCTCCGCTTGTGTCATGGATTCTATTTCCATACTTTCGACAATCTGTGAAGCACAAGACCTCATCTAAACTTGATCTCGTATTCTTAGCGGAACGAGATTTTGCCGCTTGTTTGGTCAGAACGTGTGTGGGAGGTGGGCATTTCGTTATTATCACGATGGCTTCAAGTTCTCAAGCAAATGCTTCAGTTATTGAGTTGGCTAGTATATCTCGCTTGAACGCTACGAATGCAAGCACGGATCAATCGATAGGAGGATTAATCCCAACCGAGATGGTCAGCGTGGACACTACTTCTCGCGGCGTGAGTACATTGCAATGTGTGGGTGTCATTGCTGCCTTGATAGTCGCTGTCGTGGCCATGCTCGTCCTGATCCATTCCCGACGTCATCGAAATGCGTCGACGTTGTCAACGCCTATCAATTGTACGGCGTTCCAAGGAGCGACATCTTTGACGCCATCATACGATTTATCACATAATCTCAAAGTCAGCACTCCATCGACAAGTACGAACACGCCACAACCTTCGTTAAGGCAGACATTCAAGTCATCGCGACTGTCTGAACAAGAGGATGTTGAATTGCATGTCGATCAAGATGAACCTGTTAGTGAGAGATTGTCGACCAGACGGAGTACACAACCTTTTCAAGCAACGAGTTTGAACCGTGTCAGATCCTTGTTTTTGACGCCGTTTTGGAACCGAGGTGGAGTACGTTCCTCGCTGCCAGTTTTTGCAGCATTTCGATCTTCACTTGCGAGTCGGGACGACAAAGTAAGGACTGAAAACGAACTGTACGCAATGACGTCGTCTAGATCGAATCAAATTGAGTATTCAAGTAAAGTTGGTCTCTCGGCTCCAAGTGAGCACCAAACTGCTGATGGTGGAGTATATAGGCGAGATTTTTCAGACACGAGTTGGTCGATTGGTCTAAACAGCGACAGTGAGACTGAAAGCGAATGGTTTACGGGACCTGCAGGAACAAACATGTATGGCGAGGCGTTCGTTTTGAACCACAATCATTTGTCCACATTTGCAGACAAAACGATGGAATTGGAAGAGGAAGATATGAATTTTGATACTTGTTCTCTTGATGATTCTTCTCATCATCAAGATTGCAATTCAACAAGTGATTTTTCACCTCGAAGCGAGCAAAGCACAAGTACATTTGATGATTCGTCACCTCGACAAATTCGTGGTCTTAGTGCTCTTGATAGTCGATGGAAAGCCAATTCAATTGCTGAAATTGTCACGACACAGTCGGGATTTCCATTTTTCTCAAATGACTCGGACTATAATGGTACATGTAGTTTAATCTCTTTTGATAGTGATAGTGATGAAAGTTTAGAGGAAGAGGAATTGTAGGAAACTATAGAAGAACTGAAACAGTATTTCTTGTTTATCTATGAGTCTTGTCGTGTAGTATTTATCTTTTTTACGTCTTTTACTTGTATATATGCAAAAGCCTACTCGTGTTGTCCTAAAATCTGTCCTAAACGTTTGAATAAACGTATATCCCAATGAAATAGTATACATCCTGCTAGTCCTAAAAAGAGGGAAGGGGAGTGGGTTTGGTATACTGCCGTCCTAATAGGTTTGGACTTTATCTAATATAACGGTCGCATATATTTATTATTGCGGCATGTGTTTGACTTGGCATATTCTATTCAACCTTCACCTAATTCGACATGACAGTATCTCTAGCTTATGACGAAAACACCTTTCGAAACTCACCCTCATCCTTCTTCTCTAAAAGCATGTACATAATTAATAAAAAAGGGAGAGTAAACTAGACTACAGGCCCTTGGAGTCGTACGAGTCCATGTCGAAGGAAATGGCGATGCGACTCGAGCCGGTTTCCATCTCCAACTCGCGCATATTCTCGCTAACTTTCGTATCTCGAAAATCATACTGAACACTATCTAGGCTAGACACACTCGACCCTGCTACATTCTCCTTGAAATCTGATGAAGCTTGACGATTACGGGAGTGTGTCGAGCTGTTCGAATCGTGATCAGTTCCACGGGATGTCTCGCATGTCACCCGAAAAGAATCAAAGCTTAAGTCCGACTCACGGAATAGCTCATCCGACGGACTCTCGGACTGAGAGCTCATGTCGGACGAAAAGCTCTCTCGTGAGTAGGTTGTGTCGAAGATTGGATCGGATGTGGGTGATAGCAAATCCGAGATCGACGGGTCGTTTGATGCGAGAAATTGGGGCTGTATGGCAGTAGAGCTTGGACGCACTACCACGTCTTTATGGCTGTCAGTACACGCGTAATAATCTTCTGATGCATTTCTTTCTGCACCAGCATACGATCGGTACTGATGTTTTGATTCACTAGATGGTGAGTTGAGGAAGGCATCGTCGGAACCGATCACAGCAATTGCGGCCAGCGGCGTGTGTGCAAATGAGTCGACGGTGTGGTTACCCCCGCTGTAATATGTGGCGCCATGACCGCCAAAGTTTGTCGGCGTACCATCATTTGCGTAGTCATCCGTCGGAGTTCTGATCTCCATAATTTTCTTGGACTGACCCCTGCGTATCGCGACGAACACTGCGATAGCAGCCACGACACCAGTGCCACATATCGTGGAGATCACGGTTGTTATACGCTCACCCGACCAGCTTGATTTACTTGCTGAACCGCTGTTGGTACCAAGCGTTGATCCATTCTCTTCCGGTGCAATGTTCTGGTCTTTAAGAAGAGCAGTGTTGGTTTGAGATGGCTTGACAGTCCCGACAACATCGCTAGCTACGTTGTCATTTCCGACGGGAGGCTCCGTCACCTTTGAGCCATAACCAATGCTCGGACTGGCAGGTTTCGAGATGCTGTCTGTGTCGGTGTCGATGCTGGCATGTATGCTAGCGTTGGTGTTGGTGGTGTTACTGTCGGTGCTGCGACTACCATCGTCAGTGCTATCCCCACCAGATTCCGAATGGTTGTCAGTCTTGCTACTCCCAGGGTCGGTGTCAATGCTGAGATTTACCGATTTGGGAGCGAGAACAGGAATGGTAGTGTCCATGTTGGTATCCAAGTGTAGGCTGCCGTCGCTGCTGCTGCGATTGTCGATGGTTAGTAGAGCATTGTCGGTTGCGGAATCAGCTGTGAAATTTAAGGAAAGGCTTGGACTTGACGTCGAGTTGTTTTCAGCACTGGTATCACTGTCGTTTGTAGGATTGCCACTGTCAGTGGATACGACGACATCGCCACCACTTATAAAAGCTTCGTTGTTGCTCGAGCCATCCCGCAAGAATACAGTACCAACAGTACAACGAGCACTATCGTTGCAGTCGCAGTATGTCTGCTCTTGACCCACACAAGTGGTAGCATCCCCCGATCCGACGCAAACGGCCCCGGTAACTGTTACACCTGCCGCTGACCCGACTTTGTTTTCACGACATGAACAAATCTTACAAACTTCTGTGTCACTGCCGGTAGCGTTTATACATGACACATACCCCGTTGGGAATATTGTCGAAGGCTCGGTTGTGTTTACAACGTATAGGTTGGTCAGACTGTAGTCGCACACGCTCAGTGTTGTTTCAATTGGAGGTTGTGCATTACAGTGAATAGCACAAAGGTGCATGAACACTAGGTGCATGAACACTAGGTGCATGAACACTGTGCTCACCACACATTGCAATTGTAATCGGCACAGTGCCATACTTCTCGTATCGAGCTTGTGCGTGAGTGACAAAATCGCAGAGTGCACAAATAGAAGTCACAATGTTACCAGTGCATGGACAACTGGCCATTTTACATCCTTATCTAGTGGAAAACGTCTGCCGCAACTGTCAATGTGTCAAGTACGTATCATCAACTGAAGCTCTCTTTCTAGTTGTGCTTTATTCCCAGATGGTCATTGTTGAGCGAAACTGTAAAGAGCATTTCTCATGATCCTTAACTATTCTTTAGTCATGAGTTGTCCCAAAGGAATGCCTGTAGCTACTGAACTGACCAAGGAAACATTTATCTATTTTCTGGTCATCGACCGAATGGCGATGCTGTTCATGTATCCCAAAGCAAGAAACAAAGAGAGAAAAAATCAAGTCAAGATTCGACATGTATGCATCAGTCAAGCATAGATCAAGAATGTCAGTACTGTAAGTATCCGTGCGTCTCTTACACCGTTACAGACCAAGTGACGAAGGAAACAGCAGCTTATTACGAGATGCTTATTTATCGTCGACCTAGTCTGTCAATTGTTGCAGCATTGAAAAAGTTTTTTTATCGTCATCTTGACTTCCATGAGCCTGGAAACATTCTGCCTAGGAGCAGTCTATTGTCGAGTTAGGAAATAATCTTCGCAATCTCAAGACGAACGGTTGGTTTGAACCGTGGCTCATTGATAGAAAAGAGATCTATCGGATGCAACTTTTTAAGGGTACCTCATAGTTCGATGGGGTGGGGTTGGCTTCGAACCCAACATCCCATTAGTGCCCTGTTGTTTGGTCGAAACTACACAAGCGCAGTCTTGTTCTCTATTACTTACACTGGGTGTTTTTGTTCTGGGCTGTTGTTACGACACGAAAGTCCTTTCACAAGAAGCACTTGACTTTTCTTGTGTTCTCGACTCCGTTTGAGCTTGTCCTTGCTCATCATGTCACTGATTTCAGTAGTCGATGGTCATTTCGTCAAGAAGTTCCATGCTACACGCGTCTTGGTTGGATATATTGATAGCTTAGTATACAGGCAGCAAGCAAAGCGTTATGTGGAGTCACGACCTGCACACTTGGTACAAAAAAGTCCGTTTGTATTCAGGTGATGGCATCAGTCATGGCATATTTATTGACTGTGCCAACGGTTGTATCGAGTCTTGAAGAATCAATTGGACGTGGAAGAGCATTCTGTAATCAAAGTGGTATGCCCTTTTCTCCGTGTTGCGCGTGGTAAACACGTAAGTAGCCGATCCAATTTGCACGAGAACAAGTGCATTGTATGCCACCAAATTCGATGTCGAGATAGCACAATGCCATCGTTGTTCAACTGTATTGTGGTTAGCGGTTCAAATTCCGGACCCTTCCACCTGACAATATCTTCAAACATTTACCAGTCCATCGTAGCGTTGCCCCGAGGCGAAAACGATGGTTTCATAGGTTTTGCAAAAGCTTTTTTCCGTGACCCACAGTCAGATGCCTCGTAGATTTCAAGCGCATCGCGCAGTTGATCTCTGTGTAAGAATAGTCCAGGTAATTAGTAAAATGTAGCTCTCTCCGTGACCTGTAAAATCCAAGGATGCGCGTACCGTAGTGCCTGCACTCGTTCAGCACTGGGCGGGTGCGTCGAAAAATATTTAAACTGTGAGCCCTTGTCCAGCTGACCCAATGACGTGTTCATCTGAATACTAGCACGAGGATCATAGCACGCTTGGGCCATTAGTCGCAGACCGATTGAGTCGGCTTCCAATTCTAACTTGCGCGAGAACGGTAGATCCACCGCGAGCTTTACGATCTGAGAACAAGAAACGCTTAGTAGATTGAAAACAAAACTAACTGCATCTTGAATATTCTCCGTTACCAGATCGCTGATTTGGCCGTAGTCTGGAAAAATGAGCGCCAAAAGCCCGTACACCAGCAAACTAAACGAAATCTTTTCAGCACCGTGTCCTGATACGAATGCACATTAGTGCAGATTGTATCAAAGGAAGTACAAATAAAATTACAACGTACGGGCGAGACCGTGTGCAGCTTCATGAAACATAACTGCCGCCAGAGCGTCTTCATTGCGTAACACTTTAAAAAGTCCAGAATGAACAAATACTTTGCCTCCAGGAAGACAAAAAGCATTCGGTTCATTTGCTTCAATAACGTGAAATGTCCATTGAATAAATGGAACATCCGTCTCCTCTTGAATCTTGCGACCAACACGTGCCACTGCTTGTGACATCTACGTATTCATAGTCCCAAAATAAGAGAGTTAGTAGAAATAGTACTAAGGGAAAATATAAAAAAATAATAAAGATATTGTATACTGGATGCAACGGTGGTAGTAGTCGAGAACTACGTAGAATTTTACGATACGCTCGATCTCCTAATTTCTTTTCATATTCTGGAGAAAGAAACATAAGACGATGACGGCCATTGTGGGGCATTGTCTCCACATGACTAACAACGTATACTAATCAAATGTATTACCAAGAACGAAATAGTAAATAGTAATACGAAAAATAGTAATCCTCTTTCAACTATAAGTAGTAGTAATAAAAAAGTATCGACCATCACGTACATCCACCAATAGTTACAGTACTAGCAACTACCGCCTTGAATAAAGGTGGCATACGTTGCCAATCCTCACGTCTATATGTACGACTGCCTCTACGATACATATTCAAATACAGTATAGTACTATTTACTCAATCAACAAGCACTCGTCTCGTTTTTTTCTTCATATTCTTCAAAACCATGTGTTTTACATTTTCAACCAATCCAATATCGTTCTTCATTCGCCCATCAACCATCATTCTTCAAATCTACAATCATTCTTGTAAACCACAATTAATATGTGGCAGCGTCTTGTCCGACAGCAGCAGCGTCGTAAATCCTTCTTCTCTTCACTCTCTCGTGGCTTCACTTCGAGTTCAATTAGCCGTATCTTGTTCATTGACATTCCTGAACATGTGGCTGAAATCTCGTGCGTTCAAGAGCTCGTTCAACGTGGTCATATCGTTGACCAAGTACGATCCGCATCGGACGAGTATCTGACGTCTATTGTAAAGAATTATGACGCGTTAATGGTGGCTCCTGGTACAAAACTTCCCCGTGAATTGTTTCGTATTGGTGCGAAACATAAGTTACAATTAGTAGCAGTACCTGCGCCATCTATTCCCAGTGAAGACGTGGATCTTATGGAAGCTACAAATCAAGGCGTTATGTTACTGCAATTAGAGTCAAAACAAGTGGGAGATCGATCGTCAGTGGAAGCGGAGATTGGGCTCAGTCTACTCATTCAATTGGCACGTCATTTGCCTCGTAGTATGGCCTCGACGCGGTCAGGAGAAGTGTTTGATCGTCAGCAATTTGCTGGTACAGAACTAGCAGGAAAGAATCTAGGAGTTGTAGGTATTGGACAAGCAGGAAGACGAGTTGTCGATATGGCCAATGCACTTGGTCTGCAGGCATTTGGCTATGATCCTAATCTAAACCAGGAAGCAGCTGAACTCATGGGTGTCAAATGCGTGTCAATGGATGAATTGTACGCGACGTGCGACTTTATTACCTTTCATGCCCCGTTGACAGCAAAGACACGTGGAATGTTTGGAGATGACGCACTTGACAAGTGCAAACAAGGAGTCAAAATCGTGGCGGTGCCTGAATACAAGGCAAGTCACGGTCTGCTTGATGAGAAGACGCTGCTGCGAGGACTACAGACGGGTAAGATTAGTGGCGTAGCACTAGACCTGTTACAGTCAGCGGAGTCAGAGGACGGATTGGACCTGTCACCCACGTGGATCGAGCTCATGAAGCACGAGAATGTCATCATGTGTACTCATGCTGATGGAACGGCGTCGGACGATGTGCTTCAGCGCCACAAGTACCGTCTTCTTACGGAGAACGTTGGCGATGCACTAGCTCAGCGTTACTACCGTGGTGTAGCCAATGGCGTGTTCATGCCGCTGACACTGCTGCCGGAGATGAAGCCATTCATCGAGCTGAGTGAATCGCTCGGTCGCTTCGTACACCAGCTCACTTTGTCGACAGATTATAAGGACCGCATCACAAATGTGTCTCTTGCTGCTGCTGGTGGCTTTCAGATCGACATTACCACACCACAGTCTCGCCAGCTTCTTCAGAACGCGCTGCTAAAGGGTATGCTTGAGAGCATGCGTGAGCGCAAAAATACTGCAAAAGACAGTGAGCAACCCGATGTTAGCCTTTTGAATGCGTCGCTGCTTGCTATGGCTAAGGGAATCGACGTGCGCCAGGGGGACTTGCAGAGCGACCCAGTGGCTATTCGTCGTCACCTGAAGAACTGCTTGGCTGTTGTGGTCGAGACTAAGAACAAAGACCGCCTTCTTGTCAAGGGCAGCGTCTTTGGCGAGGATCCGCGTGTTGTGCGTGTGAACGAATACTCAGACTTCCCAGCCTTCCGCCCGAAGGGTAACCTGCTAGTCTTCAACAACGAGGACGTACCCGGCGCTATCGCCGGCATCCTAAGCGAGCTGTCGCAGGCCGAGATCAACATTGCCAGCTTTGGACTTGCGCGCCAGAGCAATGTTGAGCTCCCTCTTGGTATTCTTGCCCTTGACTCGGTCCCCTCTGATGTGACACTGAACGCGCTAAAGAAGCTACCCAGCGTACGCAGCGTTCGTTTCGCACAAATTTAAGATTGCACTTCGGAAGACATCGCAAAGCAGCAGGCTGAGAAGTTATTGGTGCTCCAGCAAGGTTTAGTTCTGTGTGGAACGACAACACATCGTCCGTTCCCATTGTTTCGACCGAGGTGGTTGTATAGTTTCTTGCGCTTAAGGACCTTGAGAAGAAAAAACAACATGGTGCGATTTTGTTAGTGTGTCCAAACCGCTTCAAGCGGATCCAGAAGCTGTTGAAGTCTGTGCAATTGACTGCGAATGGCGTCTCTCTTTCTTCTCAAGACATGCTACATACAATTGCTTCTTGTCGGTCGATGTCTGCAAGAAGCGCTTCATAATACTGTACAGGAAGAGGCTCATGGACTCTTTCTCATGCTGTACTCAATATAAAACGTTAGTCCATTTTCGAACATCAAGTGTCTCAATACGGACATTACAGTAGAAGCCTGTCAAGCAGGTCGGAAGTCTTACCTCGTAACAGTACATCATCACTGCCATCGAAGCAGAAAAGAGAGCCACTTCGCCATATTTGAAGCCTGAGCAGATTCGGCGGTCGTTCAAGATCATTGCCAAGCTGTCAAGAGCACGAGGCAATACATACAAAGCCAACTCTGTTCACGACAGTATATAACACACGATCAATATCAGATCTTCATCATGATAAGTGACATCCAAGCAATACTACATACCAGAGCGTCGGCTTTTCGGTTCCAGAAGAATTGTCGTCGAAGCTCCAAGTCCGGCCAAATAATAGAAAAACCGGTGATCTTTACTGACGACGCGGCGATGCAAGCAAACCAGTGACAAATAGAGAGACACGAAGGACGCTAGGAAGCAATTGGATCGCGTCGCATGAAGTGTCGAGCGCGCAAGAGTTCGAAATGGAGAACGCAAGAAGCGTTTAAAGTGAATAACTACGCCTGGCACGATAAAGAGTGACAGGTAGAGCGGGAAATTCTTTTGAAAGGCGCGTTTGAAACACAACATCGTGCCCATCACACACGAGTCTGCATTTGCATGTACAAGTCTGCATGGAACGATATCCGCCGGTAAAGGAAAGTTCCTGGGGATGTTTGGTTTTCGATTCAACAACTTTTGAAGAGTAGCGGTACTCACAGGAGCTCCTCGGTTTACCTGCTGTACAAGTTCCAATGTCTCCATTTCCACCGGCCCTGTTTGCTGAATAAATCTGAAGTACTCGGACGGTAGAGTCTTTGGCCTCATGACATAAGCGTACATGACTTGCGCACTTGAGAGTGCAAAGAGCAGTGCATCACCATACTGCCAATCACTTCCCCAAAAGTGCCAGCATTGCTGTCTCTTCGCCGTATTGTAGCCACATTGTAATGCTCGAGTTAGAGCATACAACGCCAAGGACCGTCGTCGTTTAGCGTCCACAAATGCCAGGGCCATAGCCGCAATAGCTCCAGATCCAAATACCGTGATCTCCTTTAATTTCTTGTCATCCTGAAGCTTTTTTCGGGTCAAAACTCGTCGCAAAAGTACAGGTAATAATGCTTTTAATGCCCTAAAACCTCCGGTAAACCATCCCATAAAGAGACCAAGTCTTACAGCGTCTACTCGAAAATTCAAGTGCTTCTCGTCCAATAGTTGCTGCAAGTTCGTCGCTGTCTTCCAGTCATGTCGTTGCAGCAACTTAAGCACTCGTAACAACACTGAAATACCCGCACGTGTATTGTACGCTAACAAAAAGTTGCTCATACCAAGACGTAGTGCCTCTAGCAGCTCCAGACCGAGCGTTTTATCTTCGTCGCCATTCTGTTGTTCACTCGCAAGTGTCCGGGCCGCTAATTGCTCATCTTCGACTGTTATTGCGTCCTCTTCGTCCAAATTTGCACCTTCGTCATCAGAACGACTAAAGAGACTGATATCTGATGCTGTTACGTGCATATTCGACGTGGTAGACGGCACTCGTGGTGGCAAAGCGGCCGGGCAGGACAATGTCATGATACAATATCACAATTATACAATAGTGGAGGAATTTTTGTAGTGGAGACTACGGTAAAGTAAAAATATTGCAATAATTTTCCCAATTGAATTTGAATTACAATTCCTAGTGTCCTTATAGAGGGACGAGTAAGGCGGATAAATGGAAGACGAGGTTCATGCCTGTCCTTGTTTTTTTTTACCATTACAACGTCTCCACAAATGTCATGAGATCCGACGTGTCGCCAGTGGTATTGTTCTGACCTGACGTGCCTTGACCAGATGTTGCACCGTCGTCCCAATCAAGCAGGTCCATGCCACCAAAACTAGTGGGTGATAATGTGTTTGAAAAGTCCATGAGCCCTCCTGAAGAAGTTCCAGAGGGTGTCGGCATTTGTAACAACTCGTTCGTCAAGCTGCCATAGAGTGAGTCATCCAGCCCCAAACTTAGACCGGAATTAATGGACAGGCTCTGTCCTCGAGACGATGATGCATGCTGGTTTTGCTGCTGAGGTTGCGAAAGTTTGCTGCTGCTGCTGTACGGAATTCGGAATTCCTTGCTGCGCCCGCGAGGGCCCCTGCTGTCCCAGTTGCTGCTGTCCCAATTGCTGCTGTGTCTGCTGGCCGCTTTGCTGATTACTAGCGGCGGCGTTCTGACTACTATTATTAGATTGCTGCTTCATTTGACTTGACTGTTGAGCTGAGAACTGCGCTTGTTGCTGTGAACCCTTCAGCTGCATTTGATGCTGACGCATCAACTGTTGTTGTTTGATCATTTGCTGTTGACGTGCTTGCATCTGCATGTGTTGTTGTTGTTGGTGTGCTGCTGCTGCTGCTGCATTTGTTGAGCACGTTGCTGCATCATATAGTGCTGCTGTTTCTGCTGCACCGTCATCGCCGAATGCTGCGTAGGTGCACTTTGTTGATGAGTCTGCCCGGCGGGCTGCAGCTGTGTCATGGCGCTGCTAAAGCCACTCGAATTGCTGCCTGGTATAGTGGATCCAGCACTTGTCGTCGTGGCCGAAGAAGTACCAGCACTAGAGTCAGGTGGCGAAATGTGCTGGCTACTTGGGCCGGCACTGCTGCTATCGCTACCTGGGTAACTACGCTTGTCTGTCTCCGTCCGAAGTTTCTTTAAGTACGGGTTCACGATCTTCACAATGTACTTAAACACCTTGTCCAATTCCTCAATCTTCCGTGCCTTGTGAGTTGCTTTTTCCTCGCTCAAGATGCTTGCACAGAGTTCCACATAGCTAAGGAGATACCGCAACTTTTTCTTCTGCTCTGTCTCATCGTGTCCTTTCATATGATCCACATATTTCTTGAAAGCACTATGTACCTTTTCCACATCAGCCTGATGTTTTGCTCGTAGTGCTGCATGCTGTTGCCAGTACTCGGCCACAGAATTTACAGTCGTACTCGTTTCTGACTTTACTGGTGGGGTATGTGAAACAGACACTGGTTTTTCTTGTCCCTGTTGTGGCTGAGCTCCTACATGAGGTCCAGGAGTACTAAACTGATTATGTCCTGGATAGCTTCGCACATGATTTCCATTAGCATCTCTCTGACTCATATTGAGTGTGTTATAGTACGAAAAATCAAGTCGAAAGAGCATGCCCTGATTAGGCAGTCTCTGAGCTGCCATAGCTGCATTCATATCTGATTGCTGAGCTCGTAATGACTTAAGTCTTGTAAAAATCTTATTAATGTAAATCTCTTGAGTAGGCGACTCTTTATAGAGTGATAATTCATACCACGAAACATTCATCCAGAGTTTAATCCCAGGTACTGGATCTGATGATACACGCACCATTTCATTGTAAATTTTAGCAATGAGATTAGCACGATGTTCTCGTGTTAATTGAATACGCCAATCAGTAGCAGCCGAAGTGCCACTCATAGTCGCTGGATTAATTTGACTTGTAGCTATGGGCATTTGTTGTTGTTGTTGTTGTGGCACTGTATTCATCATCATTTGTGGCTGTGGTTGTCCATATATATTTCCACTTATACCTTGTGGAGTAGTATTTGTCATTCCCATTGACATTCCACCCTGTATTCCCATTGAGTGTGAGTCCATTACCAAGAGGTTCTTTATGCTTTTTTTCCCAAATGAATCGTTCAGTCTCTCTCGAGGTAGATTTGATTTGGCTTCACTATGACTCCTGAACATCCTTCTGGCACTGTACACTTGATAGAAACGTTCAGTGATTGGCGGAAAGAAAAGAGGACAGCTATTCATTCGTAAGATACACTTTCGACCAATCCAAACAATAAGTTTCGAAACACATAATCAAGACCCTTACAAATGTATCCAATATCACACTAAGTAGACATGGCTTAAAAGCGAAGTGAGACAAGGTCAGGACGTGCACGGTTGCACACTTCACAATAAAAGTTCGACATCGAGTTGAAGAATGTGCAACCGCCCTGTTCACCAACGCAAACCCACTTGTTTCGAGGCACACCACGCTGACCGTCCATGTTCAGCTCACAGACGGCACATGTCACGTCATCCGGCTGGTTGATAAACGTGCAGTTACTGCATCGCCATCCCTGTTGCTGTTGCAGCAATTCCTTGTCTTGGTGCTTTGCGTTGCAGGCTCCACATACGTCAGCCTCGCCGCCGTTTACGTACGTGCACGCGGAGCAACTCCACGACGTCTCTCCGGTCGCTGTGAGAGCACTTTCCTGGTCGTCTCGTAAAAGAGCAGTCTTCATTTCGTCGCAAGAGATGCCAAAGGCAGCACAGATCGTCTCTATTGGAATTTCCTGTTCGTGTCTCTTCTCACCGTCCGTGGAGCGAGTATCTGCGAGCAGTCCAATGATGTCGTTCAGCTCTTTTGAGGAAAAACCCAGTTGAAAACTCTCGAAACACTTGTGAACTTCTTCTGCGCTCAGGCGATTGTCCTCGTCCTCATCGAATCGTCGGAGAGCCACAGCCATGTGGAGAGCAGCCATCGTCTGCTTCGGATCCTTGCCCTTTTCCTTCTTCTTCTGGTACTGTCGCTGCTTGCGCACTAGACTCTGCTGGAATTGTTGTAGACGAGCTCGCGCGGTTAACAAGTGCCACTCGCTTTGAGCAGTAAAAACCGTTGCCAGTGGCGTGTCCCCCCACAGGTGACGTTCACGGCGTCGTAGGCGGAGAAGACATTCGAAGAATTCATGACGCAGTGAAATGGGGACAGTCGCTAGCCCCTCCAGTAGCAGCTCCAGCTCCTGAGGAAAGTAGTACATCTCGTTGTTGAAGAACCGCAGGCCTTGCACCCCAACGGCAATTGTCTTTACACGAGGCGACATCGCGTTAAGTAAAGTCGATTTAGACTTTGGCGCCCACGACGAAAAGAAGGAAGAGCTCTCGACTAGCTCACCCTCACTTGTGCGCAACTGCACCTGGCTCACCTGGAACACAGGGTGTTTCTTATGAATCATACGACGAATCGTCTCACCTTCAGCAAGCGATAATGTAGCCAAATACACAGGCAAATTAGTCGTCGCGGCTGTCACAGCATCTTTAATCGCATCAGAAACCAAGTCTGGACTTCTAGTAGCCATTTCAGCAACCTCCTGAAGAGCCTTCACAGCAATTTCATTTGCACTTCCAGCAGACGCTTCTTCCGTCATTGCCAAAAAGAGCTGCTGCACAACCGCTTTCATCGCTTCCTGGTGAAGTAGCGGCGACCATTCGAGGATAAGCCCGACGTTCTTTACGCGACGTTCGCCGAGCCCCACCCATCGACGTCGAAAGAAGTTTCCAGACATAAGTAATTCTGCCGGAAAATCAATCTTTGGGCACTCCGCGTGAGCTTGAAACTGTGAAAAAGGGTAGAAAACGTTAGCCTCTTCTTCTTGCTCTTGTTCCACAGCCGTCTTCATCTCGTTGTCTCCAGCAGATGCTGCACCAACTCGGGCAGGTTGATAAGCAAGAACAGAGGCACACCATGGAACTGGGTGCTCGTCATCTCGTGTGAAAGCACTCATCTTCTGCTCCTCTTGTTCTGCTTCCTCCTCAGCCTCTTCTTCAGCTTCAGCCTCGTTCTCATGTACAACCTCAGCCGTGAGCCGCAGGTCACCTTGCTCCGACCCGTCCTCACTTAGCATTCCCTGCTGATTCCCGGTTGCGTGCGCTAGCCGCTGCTGAACGCTGGTAACACACGTCATATCCTCATTTGTTTGTAAGAAATCCTTGTGGGTCTCAATTAACTTTCCAATTTCATCCGAAAGTAGCTTTGTCGTTGGTACGGCAGCATCCACAGTGTAAGAAATTTCCACGGAGAATATAGCAATACACTTGCGAAGCCAAGCTTTTGCAATGTCATTATCACGGCTAATGAACCGACGTAACCGAGAGGCTAATGAGGCGTTCTTGGCCATAGCTGCTGTAATTTCATCTAACAAAGAGTGAAGAGCCCGTTTGCGCCACGTGTTGTGTAGCTCTTGCAGTGACAGCTGAACGAGCTGCATAGATTCCATGCGCATCGAATTTGTGAGAAGCCATGCTGGCACTAGCAGCAGAAACTCGTCTAGCAGTTGCTGCGCAGAGCCCTGTGTGGTTAACTCAACTTGGGCAAGTTTCATTTCATTACGAATGCGGTTCTCAACCTCAGGAATGAGAAAGATACATATAGATTGTCCTGTAGCAATGCCGCGCATACGATAAGCTCCCTGGGCGTAGTCACGGAAGGTCATATCCTTGCCCAGTGTGACAACAGCACGCGCGTTTACGCACTGCTTGATGTCCATGCCCGTCGTATGCACTTGGTCATAGAATGTGAATCTCTTGTTTAGGCTTAAACCGCACTGGACTAGTGGCATGGGCGCGTTATGATCACGCAGCAGAATCATTTGTCGATCGTTCTCGTCCAGATACACGACTCCTTCCATTTCAGTAGGTAGCTCCCCTAGAAGAAAGGCGGCTACTTCCTGGTTGTCGAAACCTGTGATTAAGGCACCCGTGTCAATGAGCGCGTGTACTGGTGGCTGTGCATGTGCAATATCCAACAACAAACTCCTTGCCGTCCATTCCACTTTACGCTCGATTGAAACGATGCGCTTGTTAGTAAGAGACTCAAATATACTACCGTCACTGCGAGGCTCGTAGTAGCACTCGCCGAGATCCGTCGGTAATAGGTTTGACGGTGTTCCCGAGAAACCGATACGTTTCGCGAAGAGGGAATTGCTGCCAAGTTCATGACCACAAGCCGAAATCTTGAGCTTCTGGAAGTTCATGCACGACGGGAAAACGTGCTGTCGGACGTAATAATACACAACAGCTGCAAGCTTGGCTACCAAGAAGTGCAGCCGCGCTACTTGCGATATATCACGAAGCTGGAACAGTGGCAATGGAAGAACTCCTCCAGATGCCTCTTGATTTTCTGACGAAAGTGCAGCTAGACTTGTTCGGATCCACTCACGGAACATAGCGCACGATGGACGCTGGTCACGCGGTCCTAGCTGGCGGCTAAAGTCCTGCTTTAGTTGCGATACGATCCGCACAAGATCGAATACGCGGATGCCTTCATAGCGATAAGCAAGAATGGTCAACCCAATCAATACGTCGGGGTGCGCGAACTCGGACGAGCGACTCGGTACATCTTTTCCGATAAACGGGACGGCCAGCATTAGCCGTGAATGTGCGTTGCCACCACTATTATTTCCTGACGCGGCAGCTTTTTGATGCTCTCCTCTGAGAAGACCATATGACACTCGATTGATCTTGGAAAGCACGTGCGGTAGAATTGTACGCAACCAATCGCGTGCAAGGTTCAGCAGCTTAATCGAAGATTCTGATAGCCCATTTTCAATATCGGCGCGAAGAGAAGCATTCGTATGGAGCTGTGTGCGGGAGCACTCTAAATAGTACTTAATTTGGTCGACAGATACCTCCATTTTGCCCATGCGGAAGAGCTTCAATAACCATTCCATTGCGATCGCAGAGAGCAACGGTAGCATACGTGCCTCGTAAAACTCCATATCCAGAAGCACAAGGTGAGGAAAACGTTGTAGTTCGTGAGCAATATACCCCTCTTCTAACACAGCATGCAATTGTAAAATTTCGCCCGATAGGGCTGTGCTAGTGTTGGGCGATACTAGAACAGCATCAATTAAATAAATGGGAAGCTCCCACCTGTAAGCTGCAAGATCAATTGGAAATTTGTTCCCAATTGGAAAGTTGAGCTCTGACCGCAATGGGTGTAGCAACACATCCACCTCATCCATGATTAACATGCCACTTTGCCAGAGCTTCAACGTCTTGTAAAGTTCATCAGCCATTTCCGAACGATCTTCCAATACACGCCTTAGCCGCCTGATATTTTGTGATGCTGAAGTAAGCGGTAGTTCAATAATGTCAGAAGATTCTTCTAGCGAATGTAGCAGCTCAACGAACTTCAGCATCATCGATTTAATCGACTCCGGGGAAGCACACACCACGTCACCATGGCGCCGGGCACGATCCAGCTTTGTAAATAATTGCAATGCAGTAGCTGGATCATCATTAATTGCACGGTCGAACTGGAAAGTAAAGATGCGCTTGCGTAAGACTTTATTGCTAAAGCGACCTCGCAGCACCTGCCGGGACTGCTCCAGCAGTGCCGTTGGCATAACATGAGTCACAAGATGTGTTTTGTCGGCGAGAATATAGGTCAAGAGAGGTCCCACTACCGTGGTTTTTCCCGCGCCCATAATCATTTGTTGTACACGAGAATTGCCTCTTGCCAAACTCGTCAAAAAGCTATCTATCATTTGAACCTGCCTGTCACGCAGCAAGATGTCGAAGACATATTCAAACACCAAAAAGCGTGGGTCAAAACGCCATCCTGATGATGTTCCTTCTGCGGGGCCGCGGAGGTAGTGTCGTTTTGATATTAAAATGTCAGCCAAATCTCGAGAAGCTTGGCGGGTCATCTTTACTTTGCTAGACCTATCCTTTTCACCGTGCAGAGCAAAAAGACCATTGAGGTGTTTGACGAGAGCACGGGCGGCTTGTATAGCTCGGTTAACGTGCACAATGCGACTGCACAAAAAGAGCACTTGCAATATCTTCTCCATTACATCCGCAGTCACATTCACCACGAATGGATTACGAGCCTTCAAATCTGCTTCAAACGAGCTTGATGCCAACAGAGAGGTGAGGAAGTCGAAGGTTACACGAGGATAAAGACCAACGCATCGCTGCATCACAAAGCGATTGACATCGACAACCAGTTCTGGATTTTCGTGAATGTCGGCACGGATCTCGTTCATTAGCATCTCAAGCATCACAATGCCCTCTTCTACCATCTTGCGGTCACACGTTCTCATCGCTTTACAGGTATGAATTAGCTTCTGAAGGTGCTCGATGGTCAACGTTTTCGACGTCAACTTATCAGGTGTCGACAAACACATTGGAGTCACGCCCGTAGTAAAAGCATCTTTGCTCCCATTCACTGCTTGTGCATTGATTGCAATATCGTCACTGAGTCTCTTTAGCAACTCTTTTGCAGCCGCTGTTTGAGCCACCGGGTGCTTAGAGAGGTCAAACGGCAACGTTGCTCTCACTTCCGCCTCTGGATCGCAGAAGGTGACGAATTGTTTTACATCTATCGCTTCCAGCGGGAACTCAGGATTAATTGAGCTGTTTTTGGCTCCCACAATTTGCCGCTCACCGCATGATGTATTCGACACGTCGAAGTTCTTTATGTTGTTCGAGGCGGCAATTGGTATATCAAACACACGTTCGGCATTATGATGTAGCTGGCTAAATTGAGTCTTTACTGGCACGATAACACGCATCTGGTGGTCTTCGGACTCAAGTTTGGATTGGAATTCCACCTCTCCGAAGTCAAAGAAATGTTTCAGCATTGTTCCTACCGTCATTTTAGAATACATGTTAGCACCACGAGAGAGCATGTTAACACTTTCTCGGTCACATGGCGATGAGGGCCACCCACCACCGGGATGTGCAATCACCATTGCCAGCTGTGCTAGCGCGTACGACGGTACACACTCGTCTTCACCGTCATTTACGGTTTCACGACCCCATCTCGACAATTTTAGATGAATAAAACGTGCGAACAAATCACCGAACGACCGGGTGCAATCATCGCCACCCATACGAATGATAAGCTGCTGATTTAGACATTCATACAAGAAGAGATAACCCAGGCCTCGGTTCGTTCCACTTATCTCATCACCAACCACTGCACAGTTCCACACGAGTTTTCCTGCCTCGTCGTCATCAATTAAAAACTTGTTGTTGATCTCGACTTCATGCTTCGGTCGATTGTATCGCACAGTGGAAAGCTTTTTGCCATGCGCAGCAAGATAACTCGTGCTGTATAAGCAAAGTTTCATCCACGGCTGACCACCAACACGCGATCTAGTCAACTTGAAATCAATCTTTGTCCCGGAATCTGGTTGGATATGGTCACAGACTTCCTTGCGCAGCAACAAAAGAGGAGATCGCTGGTGACAGTGCGCAAGGGCTTCCCCTTCTTCTTCTAAAGTTAGTTTGCAAGGACCTTCAACGTGCTCGCTCGTGGTGAGGTAGTCGTACAACTCGCCACTCAACTTCCAGGGAGCCCTGTTCTCGCTGTAGGCGATGCCTAGAGATAGACGGATACGGCACGCACAAGCATTTGGGTGGCGGTCATCGAGCGTCTTGGATAGCTGGTCAAAAACTCGCTTTTCCTCGTCAGTAAACTTTACATCTACATTACACCCCATGATAAACTCCATTGAAGTCGCGTAGTTCCGTGTGAGTAAGCTTGTTAGTATCAGATAGAGAGTGGAGCTGAGAGAAGAAGGGAGCAAAAATGTGTTGCTAGAATGCACAGGATACGTGTAGAATCTCGTCTCCATCGCATGCTGCCAGCCCACAGATCCACGATCACTGACGAGGGCCAAAGAGAATGGTTCTCCGCGAATTGCCGGGCGATACAAGTCGTGGTTGGGGCAAATCAATTGCAGATCAGAGGTGTCTGACTCCAGGACGAAGCAACCAGGCGTAATCGCAAGAAGACTACGAAGGTATTTAGATGTCCCTTCCAACATGGCAACAGTCAAGTCGCTCACAAACCAGCCATTTTGATCCATTACGTTAAGGCGGACACGCTCAGAAACGGGGTCTTTTTGCGGCTGAAGCTTCAACTTTAATCTTGGAAGCTCAATGAAAGCGATAGAGGATACCCCACAAGGCGCGCTTTGCGCCACCTCGTTCGCACACCAGACCAATATATGCGAAAGATCCTCCACCCGACTGAGCAACTTAGATAATGCCAGAACCTCGTCATTTTCTCCCGCTGAACTAGCCTCAAGCAAGCTTAATAGATAAAGGGGTTCTCCGACAGTTTCTTCAACAACCTGTAAAGATTCGGCATCTTCCTCGGCATCTTTTTTCTCTTCATCAATTTTCATGGGTGTAGGAAACGCTACATTCGAACTCCCAACTTCCGACATGCCACTATTCGTAGCAACTTCTGCTCGTTGGAGTTCGTCACGATTTGCAGGATCCGATATCCACGCTTTCGCAAGCTGGAGGTCGTTGTCAAAGAGGCCCAACGCATACTCAACTGCAACCCGTGAAGGAGACCCCTTCAAGCTCATAAGTAGCCCAATGTTTTGTTCATACTGCTCCTCGGGGCTAAGAGCAAATTCACCCAACACAGGCGCTTCTTCTGCAGCAGATATCTTCATCTGATTGTTTTCATCTAATAGCCATTGAGCTGCAAAACCCAAGTTATTACGATTCTCGCGCAATGCAAGACTACACCCAGCATATGAAAACCCCATAGCCATGAGTTGGACCACATCGTCATCACTAGTTTTAACCAAGTCAGGCGATGTTGGATATGATGGTGGACGTAAGCCTTCAGCTGCTGATATTCCAGACACTTTGATTGGAGCTGGCGGAGGTTGCATTTGACTGCATGCCGCTGTATATCTACTATTGTTTTTGTCACAATAAATTCGAGAAAAAGACGTCAGAATAGACTTTCGACTGATGAAAGCCTGCCCAGCTTCCCTCAGCTCGACCTCAACACGATAGCGAAACCACTGTGACTTCAAATCCACAGGATCACCCCGGAGACGCCCATCTTCGCCAATCCAAAAGCGAAAGTTTTCTAGCAAGCAAGTCGGAATAACCCCCTGAAGAAGACGCGGAGGGACGTATTGCTCAGTTCCATTGAGTAGATAGTTCTTGCGTAAGATCATTAGCGATCCGCCCAGTATTTGCCGCTCCGTTGGATAACCGCTAGCACGCAACAGTGCTGGATCCACAGGCCCTTGATCGGGAGAGATATTCACAGGAAAATTATGAAGACTGAAACGCGAATTTGACGTGAAGATAAGCTTTCGATAGAGTCTACGGCCATGCGAAACTAATGCGTACACGTGCATCACCTTCATCGCTCGATACGCCACAATTTCTTTGAATGTCGCAATGCTCTCCTTATCTTTGGCATCAGAGCCTCGGTCCAATCCGATTAGGTGCACACGGATAGCAGTAGCTGGCAATGGGTCACGCGGAAGAAACAGCGTAAAAGGCATTTTTTTGTCGTCCGGTACAGGAGGGTACATTAGGCGAAGTGCGTTGCCAATTAGGTCCACAAACCATTCTTCATCAGCGTGGGGATGCTCCTTTTCAGCATAAATATCAAATGGACGCGAAAACACCTCGCCAAGATAGCGGAATCCGTAATCACTAGGGATTTCAGACTTTTCTTCTTCCTTTCGTCGTGACAACTGAGCAATGCGAGGGGTAGCACACACCTCGCACAGGGCGTTAGGATCGTCACCGTTGAAGTTTGCAGATGTGCAGGCCGGACACTCCCAGTACATTTTTAGATCCTGGGAATTGTCACCTTGGTCGTTAGAATTGCTTACATTTTCAGGCTCGTACATCACCGGAGCGCCTACACCTTGGTCCAGCTCAAGTGTTGGGTCGTCCCATTCTACAAGCTGGAAGTCTGTACCAACAATACTAACCCATAAGCGGTGTTCTTGGCGCGCAACAAGACCACAATGAAGCGATTTGTTACCAAAAATGGCAATGAAGTCTGCATACTGGGTCATTGAGTCCGGAACAGGTTTTAATTCATCATTTCTCCACAAAATCTCTCCTGTTTGGGCATCCAGCTTTAATTCTTGTTGACTGCAGCAATATTTCCCCGCACCTTCAACACCTGATTCTTCGACCCACTCCCATGCGTCCGTCTGCTCAGTCGAGCGAAGAGCAATTCGAACTATACTTCCGAGAACCTTGTTGCGATTGGCCTTCGAGAGATTCGCCAGCCATTGCACAATCGAGCGGCGATGCAAGTGAATAGTTTCAAAGATCTCTGCTTCAAGCACGTCGCCAGGTGGTAGCAGTAGCTCTTTTCCATCATCGTTGCGCAGCGCAACAATGCTTGGTGCTTGAATAGTTTGCATCCCTATTTTCAAGTATAAAGGCCGTCCTTTCAAGTACTTATCAAGGGACTTGCTGCTAACATTTGCCGTATCGACACCTTGAGCCTGAAGCCAACGAAGCAGGCGCTCTTCCGCCGAAAGTTCGGCCTTCTCATCACCACTGTCGGTAGACAGCCTCATCCCAAAGCAATGCCAATTTTGAACGTAGGCAACGGAGCCAACCATTTCGGATATTTTTTGAATATCAAACTCGGAACATCGCAAGCTCACATAAAGAATAACGAGGTATGAATGAATTACGCACGCCGTCTGAAGATTGTTGGCCTCTTCAGCTTCCTGTCTCCACCTATTTAAAGTTGTGTGAGCAAATCCAAACGTGTAAGTCATTAGCTGAGATCGATGTTCCTCCAGCTTCTCAACTCGCGCTTGGTCGTCACCAGCAATGCATCGGTCGAGAGCGAATGTCATGTAGCGCAAAACATCTACACCCAGCTTGACCATAAATAGAATAAATCGAGCGTCCGCTGAGTGGACTGACGCCTCTCCGAGCTCCTTTATAGCATCTAGCATATTCAGCAACGGGACTACAATCGCTTCAGGAGCGTGAATTAGTTCGTTTAAAAGAAGCCCATTCATTGTGCCAAGATGATCTTCACACTTTTGGTGATGTACACTAGCATCGAATATTCGTTGAATGGTTTCTTCATGCATCACAAGATCTGACTTCCGCAATGGAATATGGGTTATCTCCTCAGCTTTTTTATCAGACACCCAGTCTCCACCCTCAAATAAAACAGCGCGGAGTAGTTGCTGTAACATCGGATTAAATAAATACGTAACACGGTCTCGCGAGGAGAAGAATGATACCACAAGAGGAATCCGTGTATATGGAACCGTCAAGTAGCTCATGAGGTACTCCGCCTCCTCTGCTGATAACGTTCCGTTAAACGTCGGCAAGTCAGTAAGATGCATGATGTCATCTTCAGTAACTACTGTAGGAAAATTTCCAGCTGGCGCATTGCTTGAACTTTTAACAAGAAGTGCGCTCAAGCTCGCAGGGCTTGTTATAATCGGGCCCTCGCCAAAGTAGACCTTCCTCTCCATGAACCCTTCCACCTCAACATCTGCAATATCTTGGTCACTTCCGCGAAAGTTAACCACCTCCCACTTTAAAGTGGCATGAAGAATTTGATCTAGTCCTCGCATTCCGAAAAAGTTTCGTCGACGGGTTGCTGCTGAGTCATCAAATGATAGCTGCCACATCCGCCAGTCTTGATGAGCAGTACGGCGCCGCATTAATTCGACTTCTTTCGTCTCCATGGTAGATAGAAACTTCACCATCATCACGACGTCACGAGTCAAAGCTACTTCTGGATGATCGTCTGCCATGGGTGTCGTATCACTACAAAACCACTCCATTAATGCCTCCATTTCAGTTGGCGGTGTCTCATTGTTGGGATCAATCAGCTGGTAGCGATACCGCTCCATCAGTTGACGGAAAAACAGAAGTGTCGTCGAATACTTTTTAACTTCTACCTTGTCCTCCGGCATGTGGTAATCAAAAATTTGTCGTTTGCCTTTTACGTCCTGGCTGTGGAAATAAGCGAGCACTTGACCTCTGATCACACAAAAATTTGGCCGCGCAAACTCCATGGCCGACGTCATCTTTTGGATTGAAAAATTTGCCTTGCAAAATGTGTGAGCCAGCACATATCCACCTTCTTCTTCCATCATAAGTGAAATCTCGAGTGGGTCGTCGGCTGCCGGGGTGCGAACAAGAGCGTCAAAAATGCACAACGCACACAATGCCGCAAGTCCACGCTCTGAATCAAACTGACGGCTTGGCTGCTCCATCGACTGCCACACTGATCCCAAAATCATTAAGACCGTATGGAGATGATTTAGGCACCGAAGCTGCATTTCCTTCGCTACAGGCTGCCTCCACATACAGGCGAATGCCACAGTCCCGTCAGCACCAATAGGCTCTGGCACCGGTAGCATCTCAACTAGGACACTAGTAATAAGCTGGATGACTTCGTGATGTAAGGACAGTCTGGAAGATGACGATCCCTCTGCAGCTCGCTTCAGTAGAGACTCACACAAAGCTTTGCACCTAATAAAAGCTGCAACGGCAAGTGGAATCGACGTGACGCGTTCGGGTACATCCAAAAAGTTGCTAAGGGCAGGAACTTCAAGCTCAGACGCATTTCCTGCGTACTCACTCTCGTTTCCTTGCACTTGCAGCAACTCCGTATTAGCGAAAGGAGCAAAAGGAAAGTTTTCTTCCAGTGTAGCCGTCACGTACTTACTGTTGCCATCGGAGCTAGCAGCCACCCCTACAGATTTTAAAAGTTGCTCTGTCTGACTCATCAATCTATTAACGTGGATAAGGCCACAAGCTTCAATATTCTTACGATCATGATGCTTCAGCGTTTTCAAACCAATTTGCTTCACACCCATGGCAATGCATTTCGTTTCAGACACAGACAGAGTCGACTTTGGCAGCTCGAAATCCTCGCTTGTCCATGGATAAAATACACCTGTCGGATCTGACATAACCAGCTCTTTTCCCAAAGGCGTCAATATTGTCCCATCGGGCCCTCGCAAAAAGAACTGTGGCACTTTAGTGACACCAAACGTCTGAGTAAGCTGCTTTCGAGCCTCCATTTCTGATAAAGGTACCATGAGCCACGTATGACCCGGCAAGCTCTCAGCAAATGCAGTGTAGTCCGACCGCTCTTGATCAAACGACACCACAATCACAACAAACTTTTTGTTTGCAGCGTGCAAGTTCTCACTCAATTCTATCAGCATTTTTGTCAGTTTACGACAGGCCGCAGACGTCGACAGCGCGAAATAAATACCAACAATCGCTTCTGGGTCGACTCCTGCCACCGTGTGAGTACCTTGAAGGGAATCTTGCAGCGATATAGTGGACAGCGTACGCAACGCACTTGCCAGCGCTCCTTTAGCAATTGCCTTAGCGGGTTTTTTTACAATCTTTAATCCCTTTACAACTTGCTGACACAAACGATAGCGCATCTTGTATAATATAGCGTACTCTACCTCTGCATTGGTAAAGGCTCGACTACGGAGACTTAAATAGCGTATTGCTTCGATAACGCTCTTGCAGAATCCCAACTGGCTGCGTTGTGGTGTGTGCACACCTCCTAGTGCTGAGCTTGTCCAGTCTATGAACGCACACTGCTCTGTCATTTCACTCACTAGCGGCAGTAGTTTGTCTTCTGCAAGCCATGGTAGTAGTACGTCATAGATGGTCTCAACTCGATGATACTCGGACGGGGGTTTACGCACCCACAGTGAGAATAAAAGCGTCCAAAAGGCCATATCTAAGAATCGAGTGGCTGGTATGTCACTAATCTGAATACAAGACTGTACACGGATCTTGTAAGCGCTGCCTTCGACTTTACATGGATGGTACATCTCAGCTCCAGGTCCTTTGTTGCATACTGTAAATGAGTATTGATCTGGGTTGTCACTCGTCTTCTCGATCACGTAAATAATCAAATGACTCGAGATATTGTTTACGTAACCACCAGGTATTAGTAATGGCTGCTGTAGTTGAAGCTGCGAAAGTTCCACTCTCCATTCAGTTAAAAACATCTGAAATTGGGCCGCGTTCTCGATTTTGACGCCCTTTTCTGTCCATTGACCACAGTAAATAAGCTGAGGTAATAGTGTCGTCTGTAGCACATGCTTCTGGTCCATTGTAAGTGGAAATTTCACAGGATCTTCTTCTGTATCGTCTTGCTCTTGTTCTTGCGGAGTCTGTAGCAACTGTACAAAGCCGTTAAGTGTATCTACAAGCGCCTGCGGATCCCCTCCAGCCTCATACGGTGTGCCACGTAGATACGGGTCACCAAACATGCCCAGAAACACGGCAGATTGCCATATTTGAATCATATTCTAGAGTCTCTTTCCTTAAAGTTCAACCGACAGCAAAGAAGAGGATATGAAAGATCGGGAAGAATAACATCGTCTCTGATTGGTAAATAAAAAAAGAGTCGTGAGAACAATTTGGATTGGATAATATTGAGTGTAGATTCTGAGTATGTGTATGACTTCATCTTTGCACAAATTTTACAATTGAAAACTAATGTTTAATTATAAATATTTAGTACATTTTATTCGTGGTAACAACTATCAAGTACGTGGCCAATTTCGTGCTGTTGTGATTGGTCGAGTCAAGAACGTTCCTGTAACGGATACAGATTCAAATTCAGTTCGAATCAAGACGCCGCGTAAACTTCGTCCTGCCTCCTCATTCTTCTTTAACACGACGACGCAATCATATCAAGATGGTGCTGACAGGGGCGAGGCTTTTATGCATCAATTACGACCGCTTAAGTGAGTTGTCGCACGTGTGGGAGGCTATGGATCAGTACCTTGATTATTCAAGCGGATGGACACTGGAGCGTGCAGCAGCAAAGGGCATGAAGTATCTGGTGCAGCATCTAGCGCTGAAAGCCTCTGCAACGCCGCAAGACGATACCAATTTGCTCGTCATGGATTTTGCGGCTTGCAATGGCCATCTGGACATCCTTACGTGGCTACACAACACGACGCAGCTGGACGGCTGCTCAACGCGTGCGATGGATGATGCGGCCAAGAACGGCTATCTCTCGATTGTCCAGTGGTTGCACGAGAATCGGAGTGAAGGGTGCACTACCAAGGCTATGGACTACGCTGCTAGCAGCGGCCACCTGTTGACTGTGCAATGGCTAGACGAAAACCGCTCGGAGGGCTGTACTACTCGCGCGATGGATTTAGCGGCGCAGAATGGACAGCTACATGTTCTACAGTGGTTGAACGACAACCGCTCGGAGGGATGCACGTCTAGTGCTGTAAACTACGCAGCTACGGAGGGTCACTTTCACATTTTACGCTGGCTGTGCGAGGTCCACAAGGAAAAGTGCTCGTTCAGCGCTATGGTCAACGCTGCACGAGGTGGACATCTGTACTTACTTGAGTACCTGAGCGGGCATTTCCCCAAACTGTTCGAGAGCGTCGGCTCCATGATGATGCACGCCGCCATTGCAAACGGCCAAGCAGCGGTTCTATCGTGGCTCGTTGACGTGCTCCCGGTCAAGTCGCTTAAGTGCGAAGAGGCTGCAGGATCATGGATGGACGTTGCGTCCGAGTACGGCCAGGTAAGCATCCTTAAGTGGTTTCACGACCACGCGACTGCATTGACAATGAGCGTTGACGGGCACTTTCCTGCTTGCACCGTGGCAGCTATTGAGAAGGCAGCTAGAAACGGACACAGCGACGTACTTGTGTACCTGTACGAGAATGACTTGGTGAACCTAACTGTTGAGTCTGATGCTATGAACGCGCTGGTTGCTGCAGTCGAAGGCGGCCACCGTAGCTGCGTCGAGTGGCTTATGATACACTTCCGCAAGCTGTACGAGCAAAGCTCGTCCTCGTCAATGACTGCAATGAATGCTGCTGCTGTCTCCGGTCACGTGGACATCCTTCAGCTTTTACGAGATGATTTGACAACAAAAGATTGGCAGACTAGCGCCAAGGCCATCAATGAGGCGGCTCGCCGCGGCTATGTGGACGTCTTGCGCTGGCTGCATTTCGATCGCTGCAAAGAGGAGACGGCGATGAACGAATCATTTAGAAGCCAGGAGGAATCGGAGCTGATTGACTTGCGTTGGACGCCTATGGCACTAGAGCTAGCGGCCACAAATGGACATCTTCCAGCGGTCCAATGGCTCACTGAGTATCACCGAGACGTTTGCAGCAGCTTTGAGGCATTCAATGCGGCTTCGTACATGGATCATTTAGAGATAGCCCAGTTCCTGTATAGAGACATTCGAAGCTCGTGTGCTGTGGAACAGGCGCTGGAGCACGCAGAAGAAGGAGGTGCTGAAGACACACTTGCTTGGCTTCAAGGTCTTTAGTGAGCTCTAAAGGTCTTTTAGTGAGCTCTAATGATTGCAACACCACTAGATTAATGAATAGAGTATATATATATATATTGTCCAATGAGAATAGCCCATTTTCAATAATGCAATAGCGTTCGAGTATCCCTAATGATTCGTATGTATGAGCGTAGTGTCGTCACCTTTGCAGTAGTGACTCGAGCGTGGGTAACCCTTGTAGCGGTATTAACGGCTTGTATTTTGACACCCTACGACACTTCTTCTCATCTACAGGCAGACGGTTCACTCCTCGCAGCGCTGAGCAATTGGGACGGCGTCTACTTTTCACACATCGCCTTGCACGGCTACGATTTCGAGCACTTTCACGCCTTTTTCCCATTGTATCCACTGCTAATGCGATGGATTGCTCACTGGTTACCACTAGAGGATAAAGACGCTGTGATTGCTAGTGGTTGGATTATCAGTAACGTAAGTTTCGTTCTGGCTGCGCTTTTCCTTTATCGCTTGGGCTGCATTGTGATTGGGGACGAGATCATCGCCCGAAGAGCTGCTTACCTCTTTTGCGTCACACCCTCTAGTATCTTTTTGTCGTCTGTTTATTCGGAGAGTCTTATGTGTCTACTGAGCTTTAGTGGCATGTATTTCTTGGCCAAACACGCTCAGACACCCAAACCACGTCGAGCCTTCTGTGATCTAGTGTACTGCGCGCTGTTGTTTGGTGCGGCCTCTGCGACGCGATCTAACGGCATTCTGCTCTCGTGTGCGTTCATCTGCATAGCTCCGTATTAATTTGGTTGGTATTGTTTACTAAGATGTTATTTGATGGCAGTATTTATTGCGTGGCATCGAGTGACAGTTTCGCCACCACCAAGAGAGATGTTCCGATTCTTTGGATTCTGGATGCGTACTGCTGCTCTCGGTGTGCTTGCTGTTGCACCACAGATCATGTATTTTGTCACTTCGATGATGCCGTATTGTCCGTTGCTTGTAAAGCACTTGGGTGGGGAAGTTTCAGGGTCTAGTGAGATGGAGGACCGTAGCTGGTGCGCTATGGCGGTCCCCAACGTGTTCGCCATGTACACGTTTATTCAAAGTGAATACTGGAATGTGGGTCTCTTTCGCTACTACGAACTGAATCAGCTACCAAATTTTCTCCTTGCTGCGCCGATCATTGTTCTTAGCGTGCATGCACTTCACGGGTACTTTCGAGGCACTATTGTTCCTGGACGTCCCCGTGTGATACTTCAACAAGAAAGAGGCAAGAGCGGTTGGCGAGGCACTGCACTGACTCCGTATTATGCACACTGGCTGTTCTTGGTTGTAAATGCTCTACTTGTCGTTCACATCCAGGTGACAACGCGATTGTTGTGCGCATGTCCTCCTCTTTTTTGGCATCCTGCCTCGTTGCTCTGTGACTCCACGATCACAAGAAAGGCGTCCCCCGTTATGACAAAATATGGTCGTGTCATTGTCACTTACTTTCTCCTCTTCACCGTGCTGGGGAGCGTTCTCTTTCCTTCATTCTACCCATGGACATAAATTAAAATAACATGTTGGAATCAAAGGTATTGAATAGAATGTTTTTGATAGCAAAATGACCGTCCCGTCCTCTACTAGACCCTCCCTTCCCATATAATTTGACGCTTCCATTCACACTTATCACCCTTCAGTCAATTCACAAAACTATCACCGCAGCGACGACTTCCTGATCTTCAGCTTTTTTGCCAGCCGATCTCGCGCTGAGCTCACGTTGCGTTTGCGGCCGTGGCTGTTGTAACTATTATTGTTGTTCCCACTGCTAGTTCCCGCCGACGGTGGGATGAGCGGTAGCGGAGGGCGTGTGTCCACAGCCCGTGAAGAAGACGCACTTGTTCTGGCAGCAGCAGGAGAGTACCCTCGAAGCATAAATCCTTTACCCCTTGGTGACGGCGTCACAGCAGTTGGAGGTGCAGCGTAGTGCTTCTTTTCGCTCGAATCCGAATGTGTTTTTTCTGCAGATGATTGGCAGCTACCCAGTGACCGGCAGCGCGTTCGACATGACAAGGCATTAGATCCAGATGAATGCTCTTCCTTCCTCTCACTCCGTCTTTTGATGTGCCCACGATCACGATCATGCTTTGCATACCCCGAATGCGCACGAGAGGATACTACCGAAGGTGGTGGGGGTGATGAAGGGGGAGGAGGAGTGGACGAAGGAGAGACGGCTAAACTTGGAGGAGAAGAAAGCACAGGAGCAGCGATAGCTCCCTTTTTATCCATCTTGGACGATGTCTTTATATCAACTCGTTTGCTTCGGTGTGAACGAGTTGACGTCGTCAACGTATCGAGAAATCGAGCCGTAGATCGCACTTTCATCGCAACCACTGGAGATGTATCCGCGCTTTTTGGGTGGGGTCGCGATGATTTAGCATGACTTCGCTTCCGTTGGCGATCACGGCTTCTACTTCCCTTCGCTGCAAATTTTCGCCGGCGCGCTTTCCTCACACAGCGTGGACATCGATAATCGTCTGCTGGTTCCTCTGTCATCGGTATACGGACACATTCTGTATGTTGCCATGTTTTGCAGCTTTCACATTCCACCATTCGCTGACCATCGTCATGATTGGGTTGACGACGAACGGAGCACACACAATCGAACATCCAGCAACAGCGAAAGCACAGAAACTTCTCCCGCGCCACTGTCTCAGGCTGCTTGTCTGCACATTTCGCATGCACCCAATGCGAACAGCTATCGCATTCAATCATGGAGGTTCCGTCGTCATAATTTTTCTTGTTCACTCCACAAGAGCAGTCGACGATCCACTCGTCTCCTTCCTGTTCCTGTAGAGTCTTCACCACATCAGTGCTAGAGTGACGCCTCTCAAGGCGCGTCGATTTGTTGGACACCACATCACTCTTCGAGCGCTGCCGCTTAGAATTTGGTGTCTTCTTCTTAGAGCGTTGTGCTTGTTGTCGCTCTTGGTGTCGTTGCCTAGCGTCTGCAATCACCTTCTGCTTCATCTTCTCCGTAAGCTGCAAATCTTTGTATGCTTCCTGCTGTCGGGATTTAATAAGCGTATCCACTGGTGCAGGTGGAAGTCGGGGGTACGAATTCTCCAGATCCGAATTTCCATCACTCTCTTCACTATCGTCATCATCTGTAGGGTCGACACCATCGTAAGTGTCCTTGTCATTGTTTGTATCAATCAAAACACCATTATCATCGTCATCTTCTTTTTCTGATTCACTTTCTTGCACTGAACTGTCACTTGTGCTACTGGAATCGCTGCTATTCCCGTCCTCTGTGTCCTCTTTCTTTTCCTTTTGGTCGTCTCCTCCTCCCCCATTAGCAGCAGAAGCTTCCTCTTCACTGGCACTCGTATTGCCACTAGAATGTGGGCTAAAGTCGATACTACTTTTACTATTACCACAACTAGAGGAAGACGGACATGGACTACTGGCTGGACGCTCCTGGTCAATACCTGCTACGTTCTTATGCACTAAAGGAGCCAATGATTTCGATGCAATGATTGCGAGGTTCTGATGGAGCCATAGACCACCTGTACTTTTGGACGCCTTGGGACGCATTGGCAGCATGTGAATCTCAAGGTCTTTGCCTAATGGCACACGCAACATCGTCCCAGAGCTTTTTCCTTGACTTGAATATACTTCAGATGGTACAGACTTTTAAAAATTGATCGTGTCAAATATTAAATTCAAAAGACTATATCGTACTGAAATGATTGCAATTACCACTTATATAAACAGCAGCTTTTAATATATAAATGGTGCAGTCATATGCATATGTAAGCAACCGGTGTGTACAACACCAGCCACTTAACGGATACCGTAGGCCAAGGAGAGCGATGGCGAGTCAGTGGACATTGCTACATCATTCCGTGGGGCTCTTACTAACGTCACATACGAATGGATCTACACGTTTGATACTTAATTTACGTCGCTTTAATACTCCGTCAATGTTCAAGCCTCGTGCGCGTAATCAGATTCGAAACGGTAATCACCGACTACAGAAGGACGAGTCAGAGCATAAGCATCACAAGCAGCAGTCGAATAAACGACGTGTAAAGAGATCAGTGGATCAGGATTCAATCGTGTTTACTAACAAATTTCAAAACCTATTGAGCGCTGCGTTTGAAGACGTTGTAGATGTTGAACAAAAGTTACAACCCAAACGCACGAACGAGACGTCATCATTGGACCTCCTGGACAGCATCAAAGTTGGTAGTAATGAGACGGACAATCCAGAGCTTACAATGGCTCAACTAGGATTTGACAACTTTGATGAAGATGATGACACATTTGTAAAGAGACAACCCAAATATCCACGACAGAAACCCAAAAAGACCAAATTATTCTCGGCCAATAAAGATCCTGCTACAGTGTTAGCAGCACTTGGTATTCCTTCCAATGGCGAAGGAGATCGTCGAGTAGAACCACCACTTGTTCCCGGTAGCCGCAAGGCGATGAAGATGAATACGAAGCGTAAGAAAGGAACACGCAATTTACTTAAAAATTTCCAGTTTGAAAACAGCATCTTTGACTCGGACTTTGATCTATTTGGAGACATTAACTGGAGAGACTCGGAGGACCGCGAAGAACGTCGCTTTAACAGACAGCAACGGAAGGAAGTCAAGCGCAGACCAAAGGAGGAGATGCCTGCACAAGAAGTGGAGATCCCGACGTCTCTTACGGTCAAGGATCTTGCAGATCGTATGACTGTAAAGACACGTGTGGTATTTCGCGCTTTGAAGGATCTTGGAGAGAATGGCCTCAATGAAGAATCGCTGCTGACCAGCGACATTGCCGAGCTGGTGGTAGACTCGCAGAATATGATCCCAGTGTTGCTTCCGCCTGACTTTGTCGATCTCGATCTGACAACGCCACCTGAGAATTGCTCGGAGTTTCCTGTTCGTCCACCTATTGTGTCGGTGATGGGTCACGTTGATCACGGCAAGACAACGCTACTGGACAGTCTGCGTAGGTCAAACGTCGCGGCCTCGGAAGCTGGTGGCATCACACAGCGAATTGGTGCATTTTCGGTGGATATGGGCAAGAAATTTGGCTCACATGCAAAGGTCACCTTTATTGACACACCTGGTCACGCGGCATTTAGCAACATGCGGTCACGTGGCTCCGAGCTCACAGATCTTCTTGTCCTTGTGGTAGCTGCAGACGATGGTGTGCGCCCGCAAACAGTGGAAGTGGCACGGCTGGCACTCAAAAACAATGTGCCGCTCGTGGTAGCAGTCACGAAGATGGACATGCACGAGCACGACAAAAATGAGGTGACTAAACGTCTTGGAACGGAGTTATTGAACCAGGGAATCGTGGTTGAGAGTATGGGAGGAGAAACGCCAATGGTATGTGTGTCAGGAAAAACCGGCGAGGGCCTCGACCAGCTCAAAGAAACTATTGCACTCCATGCTGAAATGTTAGACCTGCGTGCCGACACACAGGCAGCTGGTGAGGCTATCGTCCTTGAGGCGAATGTGGCACGTGGCGTCGGCACTCAAGTGGATGCGATTGTCAAGTGGGGCGCGCTCAAGCAGGGTTCTTTTGTAGTGTGTGGACTAGAGTACGGAAAAATTCGTGCTCTAGTCGACCAGGCGGGAAGTCGGGTAAAGCAGATGACACCAGGTCACCCGGTGCGCGTGATTGGGCTGAAGGGATTGCCTGAAGGTGGTGTTGCACTGCTGTCTGTGGCAACGGAAGACCGTGCTAAGGAGGTTGTGGCAGCGCGTCATGCCATGATCGACTGGGATCAAATGGCAAGGGCTGAAGACGAAGAAGTAGAGACTCAGCAGGGTGATGAGAGTGTCCCGAGGCGTCGTCGTCGTGTTGGAGGGCGTCGAAAATGGGCGCAAGTGGAAATACGACGACGTGATGCTGCCGAAGAGGTTAAGCGCGTCGCAGCGCTGAAACCTGGAGATGAAGGCTATATCGCGAACGTGGTTCCCATTATCGTCAAAACGGACTCGGTGGGTGTTATCTCTGCTATTAATGAGCTCATTGCGTCTTTGCCAAGCGACGAAGCAGCGATAAAGTGTATCATGTCTGATGTCGGGCCTGTAACATCGTCTGATCTCGCAATGGCCCAAGCTACCGGTTCTACTATCTACTCATTCAATATCAAGCACCCGGCCTCTATTGATCAAGAAGCACTGCAAAAAGAAGTTACACTGCGTCAACACCGCGTGGTGTATAGTCTGCTGGACGACATCAAGGAATTGTTGCAGGATAATCTCAAGGGTGTGGTTGTGCACGAAGTGATCGGCTCAGCTGAGGTGATCCAGTCCATTCCCATCTCAACGTCGGGGACCCGCAGCACCAACATTGCTGGTTGTAGAGTCACTTCTGGGTCACTTAACATGCAGGCAAAGTACCGACTGGTGCGAGACGGTGTGACAATCGTCGAGAATGTGGATATGGCGTCCATGCGTCACTTTCAGCAAAAGGTACCAGAAGTGAACAAGGGTCAGGAATGCGGACTTCAGCTTGCAGGCATGGACGACTTCCAGCCTGGCGATATACTCGAGGCATACAATACGAAGGTGGTGAAGCCTGAGATCTAGATTCGTGCGTGCTTCAGATGTTATTATCAGCACACCGCACATTCATGGAAAGAAGCTTAGCATAATTGACTTGGTAGATGAAATGTATCGATTGAAATTGCACACTCGACAGTATCGAGCGCTGGTAATGTCTATTTACTAGACAACATGTGACGGTCACTCACTACGCAGGCAATGGCTTTTATCTTCATTGTAAGTGCGCTTACTTTGTCTTCAGCCTCCATCGTTGAGTTTCTTGCTTAGATGCAGACCAAGCAACACCATCTACTCGTGTCAGATTAAGTCTACTGACATTCTTATTGGCCAACTACCTTTAGGACTACGTGTTTTACCGAGTAAAACAACTTCATGATTGGGAGGATCATGTCGCTATAGCAAACACCTTTGGCCGATCTAACATCTACCTACTTTAACCCATGTGTATGACCAGCAGAGATAGGAAAAGCCGTGTGGCACGCGGTACCGACGCCTACAAAGGAGGGCATTCATATTCATACATAACATTCCAAACACCGGTGAATCAATATCCAGCAAAACCCATTTGACGGTAAATGGATTGAGGCGCGTATTCAAAGTAGTCGCTCAACTTGTCAGCAAAGCAACCCAAAAATGAGATGTATCTTCGAGTACGTCTATCACCATCATTCTTACTTCTCTATTTACAGGTCCGCAGGCATCACACAGTTGCCGTACAAGGACTCGTACGTTTCGCGCTCACGACTGCATAACCATACACACATATTTCGATTGTCAGTCTACGATCATTTTTAACTCACGAGCAAAGAAACGTACATGAGCGTGTCGCTGCCGTTTGCGCGCAGAAGAACCTCAGGGGCCCGAAGCTTGCCATTGTACTGGAATCCCATCGAGTGGGAATGCGCGCCCGTGTCGTGAATCACAAACAGGTCGCCCACTTTCGCCTTCGGCAGAGGGCGGTCTTTCGCAAACCAGTCATTATTTTCACAGAGCGTGCCCACGACGTGCGACGGGGCCACCTCTTTGTTTTCATAACCGGGAATCGAGATCTCGTGGTAGGCGCCATACATACCCGGGCGCATGAGGTGCGCCATACAGGCGTCGACGCCATAATAGCGGCCGTACGTCTCCTTGATGGCCTCACAGCGAGTAACTAGCCAGCCGAATGGGCCCGTCATGAAGCGGCCATTTTCCATACAAAGACGCGGGAGTTTCTCGAGCCCGTGTTCTTTCATGGCCATGTCGAATACCTCACGCAGCATCTTGGCGATAGCCTCGACGTTTACAGTTTCCTGTTCCTTGCGATACGGAATACCCAGACCTCCACCAATGTTCATAAACTCAAACTCGATGCCAAGCTCCTTCTTGAGCAGCATCATGGTACTAAAGAGTACTGTAACCGTTTCACGCCAATATTCCTGATTCAGAACGCAGGAACCAGTCATCATATGAATACCAAAGCGCTTTGTACCGGATTGCTGCGCCTTCCGGTAAGCCTCGACGATCTGAAACGGAGGTACACCAAACTTGGCGTCAGGTCCACCCAGCACATTAGATTTGGTCTCCGAGTCGGTGCGGCCGAGGCCCGGGTTAAGACGGAAGCTAATAAGCTCAGGACATTTGCCGCGCACGGCTACGAGACTGTCGACAAGCGACATATCGTCGAGATTTATGATGACGCCCTGATCAAAAGCCGTAGCCAAGTCCTTCTGTGCCGTGAAGTTCGAAGTGAAGACGGTCTGATCTCCAGGCACACCAAGCTCTTTGACGATGTGCAGCTCAGCTGAGGAGCTACAGTCCATGCCACATCCTTCTTGGTGCAATATCTTGAGGATGGCCGGATTAGGCAGTGCCTTGACGGCATAAAACTGCTGAAAGTCCGGGAAGTGCGCGCGGAAGGCAGCCAGTAAACGGCGTGCGTTGTCACGGATCATCTGTTCATCGTAAAGCTGCAGTGGCGTGCCGTAGTTCTCGGCGAGCGCGTCAAGGCGCTGCAGGGCGGACGTAGGAAGTGGCAATGGCATCGTGTTAAGAAAATGCAACTTGAGATGTGACGCCGTTCGCCATTCAAGCTCATCCAAACGTTTCTAATTTGAGTAATCAGATAACATACCATCTGATCCTGTCTGAGAATTTCTAAATAAATATCTGAAAAGAGTATATGCAGTATATCGCACACAATGAAGCTTTTTGTTTAATTACGTAAGAGAATGATAAATATACATATAGTAGCTCGGCACGTCTGTTGTCATTAACAATGCCATGAAGTAAGTAATGTTGCGAGATTGCAACATTACTTACTTCGCCGTATCAGATTGGTTGTCACGTACAAGTACGGATGATGAAAATGGAGCGAGTATGGAAGTCAATAGCAATGACGAAAGTATTGCGTCGGACGAAGACAGCATGGAAGTCGACAGCGATGATGACAGTATTGCGTCGGATTGTGAATCGATCCCGATTAACTATGAGAGCGAGTCATCAGCAATCGAGTCATCACCAAAGTTTGAATTAGTTGATGTGGATTCAGTGGAGACCAAAATTGATATTCCTGTAATTCGGGATACACTCGATCTGAGTAATCAGAGCCCTATGTGTGCCAATACCAGTGATGATGCAATTCAAGAACATCATACAAGCAAGCCCTCTAGCTTGGAAAGTGAAACGACCCACGATACCGAAACAGATGTTGACAGCCAATCAGCTGCCGAAAATTGCGACAAGGTGAGTTGTGACTATCGGTCAGAGACATCCGACACTAGTAATATCGAGAATGAGGATGAAAATGTACATGCAGATACGGAACTACCTACCACCTCCAAGGATACAGTACATTCACGCGAGGGTGACACGACGAGTGAGTCCAGCAATGACCTGATGGATACGTGTATGATTCCCGAAATAATTACTGGAGAACGTAGGAAAGTTTTGGATGCGGAGCTAGAGGATGTCCAAGAGATCAAACGACGGCGCGATAACAAAGGAAGGCCACAGAAAATGGTCTTACGCCAGTCAACAGAGCGCCAATACCCGTCGTGGCTTGAGGAGTACCTCGTGAATGCTGCACTCCATGAAAATAGCGAAAGTCTTACAGCGAACCATAGATGGCGAGCAAATGAGACCAAGATTCCCAAAAGCTTTACTGAAGCGATGAAGACGCCGCAAAAAGACGAATGGTATCATGGTATGGAGAACGAGGTGAACGCCATGTTTTCTAAGGGAGTACTGGTTCCGATAGATGAAGCAGAAGCCCCGGCGAAGGCAAACAAATTAGGATTAATGTGGAGATTCCAAGTGAAGACTGATGACCAAGAATTCATTACTCGTTTTCGTCCTAGACTTGTAGGATTAGGAAACCATCAGCAGCCAGGAATTGACTACGTGGAATCATTTTCGCCTGTCGCACGGATTGTTACCTTTCGAGTGTTGGTACAAAATTCGGACTGGTTTTATATCAAGGAGATGTACAAACAGCATACTTAATGGCGAATTTACAGATCAGGCAATATGTCCGAAATATACCAGGATTCCCTCAACCCCCTGGACGAGTCGACACACGTTGGTGACAAGGTGGCGGCTCGCAGATTTGCTGCAGCCAAACCTACATGGTATAAAGAAGTTTGGATCTCTCGCTTATGTCCATCAAGCGAACAACCCATCTCGGAAGAAACTAGATGATAACTGCAGAATTGGTTTTTTTGGGGTACCTGGAAGGACAAGCCGGATTTAAAGCTTATTTAAATCCGGCTTGTCCTTCCAGGTACAAGTAGCCCACAGCATACGCAATATCTGGCCTTGTAGTAGTCGCCAAGTACATGTTGAGATATGTTCCTCCCAAGTTGAAGTCGTTGGAACATTTCACGTCCGTTTACACATTTCACGTCTGTTTACCGATTCCGATGGTGAAACGTGGAAACAATGGAGAAGGGAAACGGCGGAGATCAGAATGGGACGAGTCGACAACTGGACGAGTCGACAAACGTTGGTGACAAGGTGGCGGCTCGCAGGTTAGCTGCAGCCGCATACATGAAAGCTCGAAAGCTCAGTCAGAAAAGTGCAAAGTGCAAGGCAAGTCGTCAGTAGCCAGAAAGAGCTAAACAAAGTTTAGCTCTCACATTTAATGCCATCAATGATTTTCTATCGCAAACGAGTGACGGGGGTGAACTGCTGATCACAGATAAGTGCTTACGTCCTCAGGTAAATCATACGCGCGCACAAGGGCACGCTGATATCCAACGGTGGCACGAAAGGCTGGGCCATCTTAATCCACAGTACGTGAAGCTCATGGCAGATCGCAAGCTAGTAGACGGAATGTCACTAAGCCCAAAACAATTTATTGATTGCGAAGCATGCCACATTGGTAAAGACCGACAACGTACACGTCATAAGCATTTGATGCGTGATATAACGACGAAGAATCAAGTGATATTTGTCGATTTACTTTTTCCGAAGTACAGCTCAAGCCCAAGAGCGTATAAGGCGGTACTTGTTGTAGTAGATGGATACTCCCGGTATACTACGGTGTACCCACTTTACTCAAAGAACGCATCGGAAGTAAATACAGCCATCAAACGATACATTTCCTGGGCAGAGCGTCAATTTCCCGCAAATAAGGTCAAGCAAGTGATATCTGACGGCGAAGGGGAATTTGTAAATGGGGAGATTACCCGTTGGTACAGGAATGTTGGCATTGAGTTCTTACCAAACCCACCTCATGGATCACACTTGAACCTGTGTGAGAGAGCACACCAAACCCTAATTCACATGATGAAGGCAATGATGGCGTCCGCAAAGCTACCAAAATCGTTTTGGATGCATGCGCTTGTGATGGCTACGTACCTGAGAAATAGGGCATACTGTCGGTCAATCAAAGAGACTCCATACAGAATGATGATGAACAAGAAGCCAAACCTACTCAGCAATCGAGTCATCACCAAAGTTTGAATTAGTTGATGTGGATTCAGTGGAGACCAAAATTGATATTCCTGTAATTCGGGATACACTCGATCTGAGTAATCAGAGCCCTATGTGTGCCAATACCAGTGATGATGCAATTCAAGAACATCATACAAGCAAGCCCTCTAGCTTGGAAAGTGAAACGACCCACGATACCGAAACAGATGTTGACAGCCAATCAGCTGCCGAAAATTGCGACAAGGTGAGTTGTGACTATCGGTCAGAGACATCCGACACTAGTAATATCGAGAATGAGGATGAAAATGTACATGCAGATACGGAACTACCTACCACCTCCAAGGATACAGTACATTCACGCGAGGGTGACACGACGAGTGAGTCCAGCAATGACCTGATGGATACGTGTATGATTCCCGAAATAATTACTGGAGAACGTAGGAAAGTTTTGGATGCGGAGCTAGAGGATGTCCAAGAGATCAAACGACGGCGCGATAACAAAGGAAGGCCACAGAAAATGGTCTTACGCCAGTCAACAGAGCGCCGATACCCGTCGTGGCTTGAGGAGTACCTCGTGAATGCTGCACTCCATGAAAATAGCGAAAGTCTTACAGCGAACCATAGATGGCGAGCAAATGAGACCAAGATTCCCAAAAGCTTTACTGAAGCGATGAAGACGCCGCAAAAAGACGAATGGTATCATGGTATGGAGAACGAGGTGAACGCCATGTTTTCTAAGAGAGTACTGGTTCCGATAGATGAAGCAGAAGACCCGGCGAAGGCAAACAAATTAGGATTAATGTGGAGATTCCAAGTGAAGACTGATGACCAAGAATTCATTACTCGTTTTCGTCCTAGACTTGTAGGATTAGGAAACCATCAGCAGCCAGGAATTGACTACGTGGAATCATTTTCGCCTGTCGCACGGATTGTTACCTTTCGAGTGTTGGTACAAAATTCGGACTGGTTTTATATCAAGGAGATGTACAAACAGCATACTTGAATGCGAATTTACAGATCAGGCAATATGTCCGAAATATACCAGGATTCCCTCAACCCCCAGGAATCATCTATCGAGTGGACAGAGCGCTCTATGGCTTGCATCAGTCAGGAGCCGAATGGAATGAAGAGATTGATAACTGGTTGGTCACTCAAGAGTTCAAACGTAGTGAGACTGAGCCTTGTCTTTACTTCTACTGCAAACATGCAGTACTGGCTCTTCTCATGTTATACGTCGACGATGTGGTATTAGCGACTGATTATAAGGCATATAAGGCATCGTTTTTTGAAGCCATCGACGCGAAATATGGTTTTCAAGATGGAGGAAAGCTGCACTATTTTTTAGGCATCAATGTCGAGCAAGATGAGACGGACACGTATATTCACCAAACGAAATATTGCAAGGAAGTCCTCGAGAAAGTTGGCTTTGGCGAAGCACACGGTAGTGCAACTCCTATGGAGACCAACACTAGATACAGGAACGAAGTAATATATATCTTTGAGTGTCAAGAGATATATCTCTATATCTAGCAGCATAGCTGGACGCTAGAGACTGCAATAAAGCGAGATTGCAACAGGGTTATGAGCCCAAGCCTGAGCAAGGCTTAAGCATAACCAAGAAACGGCGACGCATATACGGGCTAAGGCTGTAAGTGTTTGAGTGCGAAGAAAGACTCCGTTTGTCAGGAAGGACAAACGTAAACTTACCTAAAAGCTGACACAACATGTCAAACAAGGTAGAGCTGAACAAATATGGACGACCCGTAGGATGGCATGGGCAATCCTGGGCGTACTACAAAGGGATGATGAAACTGACCTTTGAGGAAAAGGATGTGCTGGATTATGCTACGGGAAACAAGATTCTCGTAGGTAACGCAAGTGCAAACGAAGTGAAAGCGTTTCGAGAGGCACAAGTAACAATCAAGCAGCTTATTCTTGCTTCCCTATCCATGGAGTTGGGGCAGCGTGTGATGACGAAAGCAACTGGCACCGAAATGTGGAAATACTTAGAAGACTTTTACGAGGGAAAGACTAATGCTGCAACGAGAACAAACCAAGAAATTATTCTTTACAACAAGTTAAACGCGATGAAGTGCAAACCTACTTAGGACGTTGCGCAACACGTGGAAAACATGTTCATGATTAAAGATCAATTGGTCGCTGTGAACGCAGGTATTTGGGACCCGATCTTTACGCAGATGTTAATTCGATCGTTGCCGGCGAATGCGCGCTTTGATCGTCTGAGAGGCATGGTTGAAAGCGGGGACGACAAGGTGGACACTTCGGAAAAATTGAAAGATCAGATTTTGCGAATGGATAGTTTTAACAAGTGTGATCGGGAGCTTGGTGCCCATGGTGTCATTGGAAATGTGCAGGACAATGGAGGCAGTCAAACATCCAAGAACCGGCAAAACGCTAGCTGTGCAAGATCACATATCGGAACCAGAAAGTTAATAGCTGCCGACAAATTACTCCAAAGCACGACTTCACAGGCGGATAAGCAGCATGGAAACTGCTTTAATTGTCATAAGCCTGGACACCGCATGAGAGACTGTCCTATAATGAAGAAACCAAAAACGAGTGATTATCAGGTGGCATTTGCACAGCATCCGAAGAATGAGCTTGCGGATGGATGTCAAGAAAAGCCGGATGAACTGATGGTGATGGCAAAGAACAAGCTGTCAACGAGGGAAAATACTTCAGACAGAAACTGCACACAACGACAATGGTGTCTTGACAATGCGTCGAATGTACATGTGGCTTCTGATTTACGATACTTTATTGATTATAGCGCATTTGATAACAATGCACAAGCTCAATGTATCCGAGGATTTCAGAAGCACTTTAAAACAAAGCCGATTGGCCAGGGAACCGTTCAGATACTTGTTCAAAACGGATCAAGCAGCAACATGATAACACTTTATGACGTATTATACGTTCCTGACTGTATGAATTTAATTTCTCACACACAAGTCGAGGACCAAGGACATACTGTGAAGTATTGCATCCGAGAGGGAGAAAGATTCTACGAGCTTTGGCAGCATAATCGGAAGCTGCTGGACATCAAAAGAGATGACTGTGGTCTTTTCACATTTAATGCCATCAATGATTTTCTATCGCAAACGAGTGACGGGGGTGAACTGCTGATCACAGATAAGTGCTTACGTCCTCAGGTAAATCATACGCGCGCACAAGGACACGCTGATATCCAACGGTGGCACGAAAGGCTGGGCCATCTTAATCCACAGTACGTGAAGCTCATGGCAGATCGCAAGCTAGTAGACGGAATGTCACTAAGCCCAAAACAATTTATTGATTGCGAAGCATGCCACATTGGTAAAGACCGACAGCGTACACGTCATAAGCATTTGATGCGTGATATAACGACGAAGAATCAAGTGATATTTGTCGATTTACTTTTTCCGAAGTACAGCTCAAGCCCAAGAGCGTATAAGGCGGTACTTGTTGTAGTAGATGGATACTCCCGGTATACTACGGTGTACCCACTTTACTCAAGAACGCATCGGAAGTAAATACAGCCATCAAACGATACATTTCCTGGGCAGAGCGTCAACAACCCATCGCGAAAACACTGCGGAGCCGTCAAGCGAGTATTGCGATACCTATCTGGTACACTACAAACCGGCATAAGATACACACGAGATATGGGAGCAAACGAAGAGGTTGTCATTACTGGATATTGTGATGCTGATTGGGGCAACGATCCCGACTCAAGAAAAAGTGTCACCGGATTTGTGCTTATGATGGAATCTGGAGCTGTCGCATGGGCTGCCAGACGTCAAACAATAGTCGCACAATCAACCGCAGAAGCCGAATATGTGGCAGCATGCGAAGCGTCCATGGAGGGTCGCGGAATTGCAAATATGCTCAATGAGATTTTCCACTGTATACAGGCACATGCTGTACTAACGATGGGCATTGACAATGCGGCAGCTATTTCGTTGGCATGCAAACCCACACATAGCAGCAAAAAAAGACACATTGAGCTAAGATGGCATTATGTGCGCGAACAAATTAAGGCTGGGCATATTTTGGTAAAGAAAGTGTCCGGAACAGAGAATCCTGCTGATATGTTCACAAAGGCTCTACCGAAGCGCAGCCTAGCGAAGTATCGAGCCGACATTGGCATGAGGATTTCACAAGAGTAAAGATGTTCCGACACAAGCGTCGGAGGGGGCGTGTTGTGATATGTTCCTCCCAAGTTGAAGTCGTTGGAACATTTCACGTCCGTTTACACATTTCACGTCCGTTTACCGATTCCGATGGTGAAACGTGGAAACAATGGAGAAGGGAAACGGCGGAGATCAGAATGGGACGAGTCAAAAACTGGACGAGTCGACAAACGTTGGTGACAAGGTGGCGGCTCGCAGGTTAGCTGCAGCCGCATACATGAAAGCTCGAAAGCTCAGTCAGAAAAGTGCAAAGTGCAAGGCAAGTCGTCAGTAGCCAGAAAGAGCTAAACGAAGTAATATATATCTTTGAGTGTCAAGAGATATATCTCTATATCTAGCAGCATAGCTGGACGCTAGAGACTGCAATAAAGCGAGATTGCAACAAGTTCATTGCGTGAGTGTCTCTCGGTGTCGAACGTACCGTTCATTACGTCTGCCAAGTACTCATTGTCTAGCTACAATAAGTCGAACGTTTGCCTCTGCCAACACTCGCTACGAATCGCGTGCCCATGACGTCAAAGTGCGCGATTTTGCGCTGCATGGGCTAGTGCGACGTCCGTGGGTCGATCTTCAAGAATATTGTGGTCCTATAGAGATGTCAAAGGTGCGACAGACGCTGCCGTTGGTGTGGAAGAAGCTGATCACTCACGCACAAGGTAGCGGCGAGATGGCTTCGGAAATTGTTGAAGACTTTTACGAAGCCGCCAGAGTTGGAGGCTGCCCAAGCTGCAGCGTGATGTCTTTAGCTACATGGAGAATCACTCCTTAGAATGCATAAGTTTTGAAAGGTATGGTCAGATGTTTACCAACCTTCTCGCTGCGAAGGAACCACAGACAATGCGTGCCATTTTCGAGCGAGCTATGACTCGCTACGATCCGGAGCAAGGAAAAACTCCGCCGGAAATTGTTTATCGTCTTGGGATCGATTCACAATCCGACGCAATACTGTCATCATCGCTGTCGACTTCCATGCTGTCTTCGTCCGACGCAATACTTTCGTCATTGCTATCGACTTCCATACTCGCTCCATTTTCATCATCCGTACTTGTACGTGACAACCAATCTGATACGGCGACAGCATATCCTTCGTGATATCGGTCACCGTATACTATATCCTCATTGACCGAAGCATCCAAAACGTGTTGAACCACTTGATCTGCTGGAAAATAAGCTTTAAATCCGGCTTGTCCTTCCAGGTACCCCAAAAGAAAACCAATTCTGCAGTTATCATCTAGTTTCTTCCGAGATAGGTTGTTCGCTTGATGGACATAAGCGAGAGATCCAAACTTCTTTATACCATGTAGGTTTGGCTTCTTGTTCATCATCATTCTGTATGGAGTCTCTTTGATTGACCGACAGTATGCCCTATTTCTCAGGTACGTAGCCATCTCAAGCGCATGCATCCAAAACGATTTTGGTAGCTTTGCGGACGCCATCATTGCCTTCATCATGTGAATTAGGGTTTGGTGTGCTCTCTCACACAGGTTCAAGTGTGATCCATGAGGTGGGTTTGGTAAGAACTCAATGCGAACATTCCTGTACCAACGGGTAATCTCCCCATTTACAAATTCCCCTCCGCCGTCAGATATCACTTGCTTGACCTTATTTGCGGGAAATTGACGCTTTCCACGTGTTGCGCAACGTCCCAAGTAGGTTTGCACTTCATCGCGTTTAACTTGTTGTAAAGAATAATTTCTTGGTTTGTTCTCGTTGCAGCATTAGTCTTTCCCTCGTAAAAGTCTTCTAAGTATTTCCACATCTCGGTGCCAGTTGCTTTCGTCATCACACGCAGCCCCAACTCCATGGATAGGGAAGCAAGAATAAGCTGCTTGATTGTTACTTGTGCCTCTCGAAACGCTTTCACTTCGTTTGCACTTGCGTTACCTACGAGAATCTTGTTTCCCGTAGCATAATCCAGCACATCCTTTTCCTCAAAGGTCAGTTTCATCATCCCTTTGTAGTACGCCCAGGATTGCCCATGCCATCCTACGGGTCGTCCATATTTGTTCAGCTCTACCTTGTTTGACATGTTGTGTCAGCTTTTAGGTAAGTTTACGTTTGTCCTTCCTGACAAACGGAGTCTTTCTTCGCACTCAAACACTTACAGCCTTAGCCCGTATATGCGTCGCCGTTTCTTGGTTATGCTTAAGCCTTGCTCAGGCTTGGGCTCATAACCCTGTTGCAATCTCGCTTTATTGCAGTCTCTAGCGTCCAGCTATGCTGCTAGATATAGAGATATATCTCTTGACACTCAAAGATATATATTACTTCGTTCCTGTATCTAGTGTTGGTCTCCATAGGAGTTGCACTACCGTGTGCTTCGCCAAAGCCAACTTTCTCGAGGACTTCCTTGCAATATTTCGTTTGGTGAATATACGTGTCCGTCTCATCTTGCTCGACATTGATGCCTAAAAAATAGTGCAGCTTTCCTCCATCTTGAAAACCATATTTCGCGTCGATGGCTTCAAAAAACGATGCCTTATATGCCTTATAATCAGTCGCTAATACCACATCGTCGACGTATAACATGAGAAGAGCCAGTACTGCATGTTTGCAGTAGAAGTAAAGACAAGGCTCAGTCTCACTACGTTTGAACTCTTGAGTGACCAACCAGTTATCAATCTCTTCATTCCATTCGGCTCCTGACTGATGCAAGCCATAGAGCGCTCTGTCCACTCGATAGATGATTCCTGGGGGTTGAGGGAATCCTGGTATATTTCGGACATATTGCCTGATCTGTAAATTCGCATTCAAGTATGCTGTTTGTACATCTCCTTGATATAAAACCAGTCCGAATTTTGTGGCTAGTGCCACCAACACTCGAAAGGTAACAATCCGTGCGACAGGCGAAAATGATTCCACGTAGTCAATTCCTGGCTGCTGATGGTTTCCTAATCCTACAAGTCTAGGACGAAAACGAGTAATGAATTCTTGGTCATCAGTCTTCACTTGGAATCTCCACATTAATCCTAATTTGTTTGCCTTCGCCGGGTCTTCTGCTTCATCTATCGGAACCAGTACTCTCTTAGAAAACATGGCGTTCACCTCGTTCTCCATACCATGATACCATTCGTCTTTTTGCGGCGTCTTCATCGCTTCAGTAAAGCTTTTGGGAATCTTGGTCTCATTTGCTCGCCATCTATGGTTCGCTGTAAGACTTTCGCTATTTTCATGGAGTGCAGCATTCACGAGGTACTCCTCAAGCCACGACGGGTATCGGCGCTCTGTTGACTGGCGTAAGACCATTTTCTGTGGCCTTCCTTTGTTATCGCGCCGTCGTTTGATCTCTTGGACATCCTCTAGCTCCGCATCCACATTTGCACAGCATCCGAAGAATGAGCTTGCGGATGGATGTCAAGAAAAGCCGGATGAACTGATGGTGATGGCAAAGAACAAGCTGTCAACGAGGGAAAATACTTCAGACAGAAACTGCACACAACGACAATGGTGTCTTGACAATGCGTCGAATGTACATGTGGCTTCTGATTTACGATACTTTATTGATTATAGCGCATTTGATAACAATGCACAAGCTCAATGTATCCGAGGATTTCAGAAGCACTTTAAAACAATGCCGATTGGCCAGGGAACCGTTCAGATACGTGTTCAAAACGGATCAAGCAGCAACATGATAACACTTTATGACGTATTATACGTTCCTGACTGTATGAATTTAATTTCTCACACACAAGTCGAGGACCAAGGACATACTGTGAAGTATTGCATCCGAGAGGGAGAAAGATTCTACGAGCTTTGGCAGCATAATCGGAAGCTGCTGGACATCAAAAGAGATGACTGTGGTCTTTTCACATTTAATGCCATCAATGATTTTCTATCGCAAACGAGTGACGGGGGTGAACTGCTGATCACATATAAGTGCTTACGTCCTCAGGTAAATCATACGCGCGCACAAGGGCACGCTGATACCCAACGGTGGCACGAAAGGCTGGGCCATCTTAATCCACAGTACGTGAAGCTCATGGCAGATCGCAAGCTAGTAGACGGAATGTCACTAAGCCCAAAACAATTTATTGATTGCGAAGCATGCCACATTGGTAAAGACCGACAGCGTACACGTCATAAGCATTTGATGCGTGATATAACGACGAAGAATCAAGTGATATTTGTCGATTTACTTTTTCCGAAGTACAGCTCAAGCCCAAGAGCGTATAAGGCGGTACTTGTTGTAGTAGATGGATACTCCCGGTATACTACGGTGTACCCACTTTACTCAAAGAACGCATCGGAAGTAAATACAGCCATCAAACGATACATTTCCTGGGCAGAGCTTCAATTTCCCGCAAATAAGGTCAAGCAAGTGATATCTGACGGCGGAGGGGAATTTGTAAATGGGGAGATTACCCGTTGGTACAGGAATGTTGGCATTGAGTTCTTACCAAACCCACCTCATGGATCACACTTGAACCTGTGTGAGAGAGCACACCAAACCCTAATTCACATGATGAAGGCAATGATGGCGTCCGCAAAGCTACCAAAATCGTTTTGGATGCATGCGCTTGTGATGGCTACGTACCTGAGAAATAGGGCATACTGTCGGTCAATCAAAGAGACTCCATACAGAATGATGATGAACAAGAAGCCAAACCTACTCAGCAATCGAGTCATCACCAAAGTTTGAATTAGTTGATGTGGATTCAGTGGAGACCAAAATTGATATTCCTGTAATTCGGGATACACTCGATCTGAGTAATCAGAGCCCTATGTGTGCCAATACCAGTGATGATGCAATTCAAGAACATCATACAAGCAAGCCCTCTAGCTTGGAAAGTGAAACGACCCACGATACCGAAACAGATGTTGACAGCCAATCAGCTGCCGAAAATTGCGACAAGGTGAGTTGTGACTATCGGTCAGAGACATCCGACACTAGTAATATCGAGAATGAGGATGAAAATGTACATGCAGATACGGAACTACCTACCACCTCCAAGGATACAGTACATTCACGCGAGGGTGACACGACGAGTGAGTCCAGCAATGACCTGATGGATACGTGTATGATTCCCGAAATAATTACTGGAGAACGTAGGAAAGTTTTGGATGCGGAGCTAGAGGATGTCCAAGAGATCAAACGACGGCGCGATAACAAAGGAAGGCCACAGAAAATGGTCTTACGCCAGTCAACAGAGCGCCAATACCCGTCGTGGCTTGAGGAGTACCTCGTGAATGCTGCACTCCATGAAAATAGCGAAAGTCTTACAGCGAACCATAGATGGCGAGCAAATGAGACCAAGATTCCCAAAAGCTTTACTGAAGCGATGAAGACGCCGCAAAAAGACGAATGGTATCATGGTATGGAGAACGAGGTGAACGCCATGTTTTCTAAGGGAGTACTGGTTCCGATAGATGAAGCAGAAGCCCCGGCGAAGGCAAACAAATTAGGATTAATGTGGAGATTCCAAGTGAAGACTGATGACCAAGAATTCATTACTCGTTTTCGTCCTAGACTTGTAGGATTAGGAAACCATCAGCAGCCACGAATTGACTACGTGGAATCATTTTCGCCTGTCGCACGGATTGTTACCTTTCGAGTGTTGGTGGCACTAGCCACAAAATTCGGACTGGTTTTATATCAAGGAGATGTACAAACAGCATACTTGAATGCGAATTTACAGATCAGGCAATATGTCCGAAATATACCAGGATTCCCTCAACCCCCAGGAATCATCTATCGAGTGGACAGAGCGCTCTATGGCTTGCATCAGTCAGGAGCCGAATGGAATGAAGAGATTGATAACTGGTTGGTCACTCAAGAGTTCAAACGTAGTGAGACTGAGCCTTGTCTTTACTTCTACTGCAAACATGCAATACTGGCTCTTCTCATGTTATACGTCGACGATGTGGTATTAGCGACTGATTCTAAGGCATATAAGGCATCGTTTTTTGAAGCCATCGACGCGAAATATGGTTTTCAAGATGGAGGAAAGCTGCACTATTTTTTAGGCATCAATGTCGAGCAAGATGAGACGGACACGTATATTCACCAAACGAAATATTGCAAGGAAGTCCTCGAGAAAGTTGGCTTTGGCGAAGCACACGGTAGTGCAACTCCTATGGAGACCAACACTAGATACAGGAACGAAGTAATATATATCTTTGAGTGTCAAGAGATATATCTCTATATCTAGCAGCATAGCTGGACGCTAGAGACTGCAATAAAGCGAGATTGCAACAGGGTTATGAGCCCAAGCCTGAGCCAGGCTTAAGCATAACCAAGAAACGGCGACGCATATACGGGCTAAGGCTGTAAGTGTTTGAGTGCGAAGAAAGACTCCGTTTGTCAGGAAGGACAAACGTAAACTTACCTAAAAGCTGACACAACATGTCAAACAAGGTAGAGCTGAACAAATATGGACGACCCGTAGGATGGCATGGGCAATCCTGGGCGTACTACAAAGGGATGATGAAACTGACCTTTGAGGAAAAGGATGTGCTGGATTATGCTACGGGAAACAAGATTCTCGTAGGTAACGCAAGTGCAAACGAAGTGAAAGCGTTTCGAGAGGCACAAGTAACAATCAAGCAGCTTATTCTTGCTTCCCTATCCATGGAGTTGGGGCTGCGTGTGATGACGAAAGCAACTGGAACCGAGATGTGGAAATACTTAGAAGACTTTTACGAGGGAAAGACTAATGCTGCAACGAGAACAAACCAAGAAATTATTCTTTACAACAAGTTAAACGCGATGAAGTGCAAACCTACTTGGGACGTTGCGCAACACGTGGAAAGCGTCAATTTCCCGCAAATAAGGTCAAGCAAGTGATATCTGACGGCGGAGGGGAATTTGTAAATGGGGAGATTACCCGTTGGTACAGGAATGTTCGCATTGAGTTCTTACCAAACCCACCTCATGGATCACACTTGAACCTGTGTGAGAGAGCACACCAAACCCTAATTCACATGATGAAGGCAATGATGGCGTCCGCAAAGCTACCAAAATCGTTTTGGATGCATGCGCTTGAGATGGCTACGTACCTGAGAAATAGGGCATACTGTCGGTCAATCAAAGAGACTCCATACAGAATGATGATGAACAAGAAGCCAAACCTACTCAGCAATCGAGTCATCACCAAAGTTTGAATTAGTTGATGTGGATTTAGTGGAGACCAAAATTGATATTCCTGTAATTCGGGATACACTCGATCTGAGTAATCAGAGCCCTATGTGTGCCAATACCAGTGATGATGCAATTCAAGAACATCATACAAGCAAGCCCTCTAGCTTGGAAAGTGAAACGACCCACGATACCGAAACAGATGTTGACAGCCAATCAGCTGCCGAAAATTGCGACAAGGTGAGTTGTGACTATCGGTCAGAGACATCCGACACTAGTAATATCGAGAATGAGGATGAAAATGTACATGCAGATACGGAACTACCTACCACCTCCAAGGATACAGTACATTCACGCGAGGGTGACACGACGAGTGAGTCCAGCAATGACCTGATGGATACGTGTATGATTCCCGAAATAATTACTGGAGAACGTAGGAAAGTTTTGGATGCGGAGCTAGAGGATGTCCAAGAGATCAAACGACGGCGCGATAACAAAGGAAGGCCACAGAAAATGGTCTTACGCCAGTCAACAGAGCGCCAATACCCGTCGTGGCTTGAGGAGTACCTCGTGAATGCTGCACTCCATGAAAATAGCGAAAGTCTTACAGCGAACCATAGATGGCGAGCAAATGAGACCAAGATTCCCAAAAGCTTTACTGAAGCGATGAAGACGCCGCAAAAAGACGAATGGTATCATGGTATGGAGAACGAGGTGAACGCCATGTTTTCTAAGGGAGTACTGGTTCCGATAGATGAAGCAGAAGCCCCGGCGAAGGCAAACAAATTAGGATTAATGTGGAGATTCCAAGTGAAGACTGATGACCAAGAATTCATTACTCGTTTTCGTCCTAGACTTGTAGGATTAGGAAACCATCAGCAGCCAGGAATTGACTACGTGGAATCATTTTCGCCTGTCGCACGGATTGTTACCTTTCGAGTGTTGGTGGCACTAGCCACAAAATTCGGACTGGTTTTATATCAAGGAGATGTACAAACAGCATACTTGAATGCGAATTTACAGATCAGGCAATATGTCCGAAATATACCAGGATTCCCTCAACCCCCAGGAATCATCTATCGAGTGGACAGAGCGCTCTATGGCTTGCATCAGTCAGGAGCCGAATGGAATGAAGAGATTGATAACTGGTTGGTCACTCAAGAGTTCAAACGTAGTGAGACTGAGCCTTGTCTTTACTTCTACTGCAAACATGCAATACTGGCTCTTCTCATGTTATACGTCGACGATGTGGTATTAGCGACTGATTCTAAGGCATATAAGGCATCGTTTTTTGAAGCCATCGACGCGAAATATGGTTTTCAAGATGGAGGAAAGCTGCACTATTTTTTAGGCATCAATGTCGAGCAAGATGAGACGGACACGTATATTCACCAAACGAAATATTGCAAGGAAGTCCTCGAGAAAGTTGGCTTTGGCGAAGCACACGGTAGTGCAACTCCTATGGAGACCAACACTAGATACAGGAACGAAGTAATATATATCTTTGAGTGTCAAGAGATATATCTCTATATCTAGCAGCATAGCTGGACGCTAGAGACTGCAATAAAGCGAGATTGCAACAGGGTTATGAGCCCAAGCCTGAGCAAGGCTTAAGCATAACCAAGAAACGGCGACGCATATACGGGCTAAGGCTGTAAGTGTTTGAGTGCGAAGAAAGACTCCGTTTGTCAGGAAGGACAAACGTAAACTTACCTAAAAGCTGACACAACATGTCAAACAAGGTAGAGCTGAACAAATATGGACGACCCGTAGGATGGCATGGGCAATCCTGGGCGTACTACAAAGGGATGATGAAACTGACCTTTGAGGAAAAGGATGTGCTGGATTATGCTACGGGAAACAAGATTCTCGTAGGTAACGCAAGTGCAAACGAAGTGAAAGCGTTTCGAGAGGCACAAGTAACAATCAAGCAGCTTATTCTTGCTTCCCTATCCATGGAGTTGGGGCAGCGTGTGATGACGAAAGCAACTGGCACCGAGATGTGGAAATACTTAGAAGGCTTTTACGAGGGAAAGACTAATGCTGCAACGAGAACAAACCAAGAAATTATTCTTTACAACAAGTTAAACGCGATGAAGTGCAAACCTACTTAGGACGTTGCGCAACACGTGGAAAACATGTTCATGATTAAAGATCAATTGGTCGCTGTGAACGCAGGTATTCGGGACCCGATCTTTACGCAGATGTTAATTCGATCGTTGCCGGCGAATGCGCGCTTTGATCGTCTGAGAGGCATGGTTGAAAGCGGGGACGACAAGGTGGACACTTCGGAAAAATTGAAAGATCAGATTTTGCGAATGGATAGTTTTAACAAGTGTGATCGGGAGCTTGGTGCCCATGGTGTCATTGGAAATGTGCAGGACAATGGAGGCAGTCAAACATCCAAGAACCGGCAAAACGCTAGCTGTGCAAGATCACATATCGGAACCAGAAAGTTAATAGCTGCCGACAAATTACTCCAAAGCACGACTTCACAGGCGGATAAGCAGCATGGAAACTGCTTTAATTGTCATAAGCCTGGACACCGCATGAGAGACTGTCCTATAATGAAGAAACCAAAAACGAGTGATTATCAGGTGGCATTTGCACAGCATCCGAAGAATGAGCTTGCGGATGGATGTCAAGAAAAGCCGGATGAACTGATGGTGATGGCAAAGAACAAGCTGTCAACGAGGGAAAATACTTCAGACAGAAACTGCACACAACGACAATGGTGTCTTGACAATGCGTCGAATGTACATGTGGCTTCTGATTTACGATACTTTATTGATTATAGCGCATTTGATAACAATGCACAAGCTCAATGTATCCGAGGATTTCAGAAGCACTTTAAAACAAAGCCGATTGGCCAGGGAACCGTTCAGATACGTGTTCAAAACGGATCAAGCAGCAACATGATAACACTTTATGACGTATTATACGTTCCTGACTGTATGAATTTAATTTCTCACACACAAGTCGAGGACCAAGGACATACTGTGAAGTATTGCATCCGAGAGGGAGAAAGATTCTACGAGCTTTGGCAGCATAATCGGAAGCTGCTGGACATCAAAAGAGATGACTGTGGTCTTTTCACATTTAATGCCATCAATGATTTTCTATCGCAAACGAGTGACGGGGGTGAACTGCTGATCACAGATAAGTGCTTACGTCCTCAGGTAAATCATACGCGCGCACAAGGGCACGCTGATATCCAACGGTGGCACGAAAGGCTGGGCCATCTTAATCCACAGTACGTGAAGCTCATGGCAGATCGCAAGCTAGTAGACGGAATGTCACTAAGCCCAAAACAATTTATTGATTGCGAAGCATGCCACATTGGTAAAGACCGACAGCGTACACGTCATAAGCATTTGATGCGTGATATAACGACGAAGAATCAAGTGATATTTGTCGATTTACTTTTTCCGAAGTACAGCTCAAGCCCAAGAGCGTATAAGGCGGTACTTGTTGTAGTAGATGGATACTCCCGGTATACTACGGTGTACCCACTTTACTCAAGAACGCATCGGAAGTAAATACAGCCATCAAACGATACATTTCCTGGGCAGAGCGTCAACAACCCATCGCGAAAACACTGCGGAGCCGTCAAGCGAGTATTGCGATACCTATCTGGTACACTACAAACCGGCATAAGATACACACGAGATATGGGAGCAAACGAAGAGGTTGTCATTACTGGATATTGTGATGCTGATTGGGGCAACGATCCCGACTCAAGAAAAAGTGTCACCGGATTTGTGCTTATGATGGAATCTGGAGCTGTCGCATGGGCTGCCAGACGTCAAACAATAGTCGCACAATCAACCGCAGAAGCCGAATATGTGGCAGCATGCGAAGCGTCCATGGAGGGTCGCGGAATTGCAAATATGCTCAATGAGATTTTCCACTGTATACAGGCACATGCTGTACTAACGATGGGCATTGACAATGCGGCAGCTATTTCGTTGGCATGCAAACCCACACATAGCAGCAAAAAAAGACACATTGAGCTAAGATGGCATTATGTGCGCGAAAAAATTAAGGCTGGGCATATTTTGGTAAAGAAAGTGTCCGGAACAGAGAATCCTGCTGATATGTTCACAAAGGCTCTACCGAAGCGCAGCCTAGCGAAGTATCGAGCCGACATTGGCATGAGGATTTCACAAGAGTAAAGATGTTCCGACACAAGCGTCGGAGGGGGCGTGTTGTGATATGTTCCTCCCAAGTTGAAGTCGTTGGAACATTTCACGTCCGTTTACACATTTCACGTCCGTTTACCGATTCCGATGGTGAAACGTGGAAACAATGGAGAAGGGAAACGGCGGAGATCAGAATGGGACGAGTCGAAAACTGGACGAGTCGACAAACGTTGGTGACAAGGTGGCGGCTCGCAGGTTAGCTGCAGCCGCATACATGAAAGCTCGAAAGCTCAGTCAGAAAAGTGCAAAGTGCAAGGCAAGTCGTCAGTAGCCAGAAAGAGCTAAACGAAGTAATATATATCTTTGAGTGTCAAGAGATATATCTCTATATCTAGCAGCATAGCTGGACGCTAGAGACTGCAATAAAGCGAGATTGCAACAAGTTCATTGCGTGAGTGTCTCTCGGTGTCGAACGTACCGTTCATTACGTCTGCCAAGTACTCATTGTCTAGCTACAATAAGTCGAACGTTTGCCTCTGCCAACACTCGCTACGAATCGCGTGCCCATGACGTCAAAGTGCGCGATTTTGCGCTGCATGAGCTAGTGCGACGTCCGTGGGTCGATCTTCAAGAATATTGTGGTCCTATAGAGATGTCAAAGGTGCGACAGACGCTGCCGTTGGTGTGGAAGAAGCTGATCACTCACGCACAAGGTAGCGGCGAGATGGCTTCGGAAATTGTTGAAGACTTTTACGAAGCCGCCAGAGTTGGAGGCTGCCCAAGCTGCAGCGTGATGTCTTTAGCTACATGGAGAATCACTCCTTAGAATGCATAAGTTTTGAAAGGTATGGTCAGATGTTTACCAACCTTCTCGCTGCGAAGGAACCACAGACAATGCGTGCCATTTTCGAGCGAGCTATGACTCGCTACGATCCGGAGCAAGGAAAAACTCCGCCGGAAATTGTTTATCGTCTTGGGATCGATTCACAATCCGACGCAATACTGTCATCATCGCTGTCGACTTCCATGCTGTCTTCGTCCGACGCAATACTTTCGTCATTGCTATCGACTTCCATACTCGCTCCATTTTCATCATCCGTACTTGTACGTGACAACCAATCTGATACGGCGACAGCATATCCTTCGTGATATCGGTCACCGTATACTATATCCTCATTGACCGAAGCATCCAAAACGTGTTGAACCACTTGATCTGCTGGAAAATAAGCTTTAAATCCGGCTTGTCCTTCCAGGTACCCCAAAAGAAAACCAATTCTGCAGTTATCATCTAGTTTCTTCCGAGATAGGTTGTTCGCTTGATGGACATAAGCGAGAGATCCAAACTTCTTTATACCATGTAGGTTTGGCTTCTTGTTCATCATCATTCTGTATGGAGTCTCTTTGATTGACCGACAGTATGCCCTATTTCTCAGGTACGTAGCCATCTCAAGCGCATGCATCCAAAACGATTTTGGTAGCTTTGCGGACGCCATCATTGCCTTCATCATGTGAATTAGGGTTTGGTGTGCTCTCTCACACAGGTTCAAGTGTGATCCATGAGGTGGGTTTGGTAAGAACTCAATGCGAACATTCCTGTACCAACGGGTAATCTCCCCATTTACAAATTCCCCTCCGCCGTCAGATATCACTTGCTTGACCTTATTTGCGGGAAATTGACGCTTTCCACGTGTTGCGCAACGTCCCAAGTAGGTTTGCACTTCATCGCGTTTAACTTGTTGTAAAGAATAATTTCTTGGTTTGTTCTCGTTGCAGCATTAGTCTTTCCCTCGTAAAAGTCTTCTAAGTATTTCCACATCTCGGTTCCAGTTGCTTTCGTCATCACACGCAGCCCCAACTCCATGGATAGGGAAGCAAGAATAAGCTGCTTGATTGTTACTTGTGCCTCTCGAAACGCTTTCACTTCGTTTGCACTTGCGTTACCTACGAGAATCTTGTTTCCCGTAGCATAATCCAGCACATCCTTTTCCTCAAAGGTCAGTTTCATCATCCCTTTGTAGTACGCCCAGGATTGCCCATGCCATCCTACGGGTCGTCCATATTTGTTCAGCTCTACCTTGTTTGACATGTTGTGTCATTAAGTTTACGTTTGTCCTTCCTGACAAACGGAGTCTTTCTTCGCACTCAAACACTTACAGCCTTAGCCCGTATATGCGTCGCCGTTTCTTGGTTATGCTTAAGCCTTGCTCAGGCTTGGGCTCATAACCCTGTTGCAATCTCGCTTTATTGCAGTCTCTAGCGTCCAGCTATGCTGCTAGATATAGAGATATATCTCTTGACACTCAAAGATATATATTACTTCGTTTAGCTCTTTCTGGCTACTGACGACTTGCCTTGCACTCTGCACTTTTCTGACTGAGCTTTCGAGCTTTCATGTATGCGGCTGCAGCTAACCTGCGAGCCGCCACCTTGTCACCAACGTTTGTTGACTCGTCCAGTTGTCGACTCGTCCCATTCTGATCTCCGCCGTTTCCCTTCTCCATTGTTTCCACGTTTCACCATCGGAATCGGTAAACAGACGTGAAATGTGTAAACGGACGTGAAATGTTCCAACGACTTCAACTTGGGAGGAACATATCACAACAAGTAAGTGTCATGCTAGCGCTACGATTACTCTAGAGACTTGATTACATGTAGCACGTAGCTACTATACTACTACTGGCAAGCAGACTGTACCACAGTCCATTCTTTATCTATACAAGGCCAGATAAGCTTCAAGATTTTAAAACGGGAGAGCTGTTCGCTGGAAAAGCAACAAAAAGAAGGAACTGTCGTAGTAAAGTAGTGCCATTGAAAGGAAGACCCTACACTGGGGTTAAAGAGATACACTTTGGCCAAACTGGTCGGTTCGCAGTGGGTCAAAGGCGCATCTACTTCCACTGCTGCAATACCTCCTTCTTTGCAGCCGAAGAAAAATTGAAAGTCAATCTCGTCGCGTCCTGCCACTTCCTTGCTCTTCCATAGACCGATCGGCATTCACTCATCACTTCGTCTTCTTCTCGGCCTCAACTGCCTTGGGCTTCCGCGAGCTTAGGCAGTAGTTTACGATAAAGAAATTCATAAAGAGCCAGAACAGCGACTGAACGTAGATGAAGTACATGACTGAGATCTTGTACGGCATGCCCGGGCACGAGCGGGACACCATAAGGTAGCCTTGCGTATTCATAAGCACAAACTGAATCATCTGGATCGTTGTCAGGTACGGCTTCCACCAGATTTCGCGCGTGTGTGAGCTCACAAAGTAGTACATGTACATGATGGCATGCACGCCACCGTTGAGCACAATAGTCATGTAAAGATCGCCGTCATAAGCACTACGGAAGTTGGCCCAGTAACACTAAAAAACAGCAAAAAGTAGCACTCAAGTCAGTTTCGCATAACACGATTGGTGCCAAAGGCCCCGGAATGGACAAACTATGGCAAGCATAGCATAAAATACTGACGATGAAAACGGTGACATGGTGGTACACGTGAAGGACCGAGAGCTGTTTCCACTTCTTGCCCATGACGATAAAGAAGGTGTCACAGAAGTCCAGTACTTTGGAAAGGTAGAAGATGTACATTAAATTGCCCATAACAGGGTTTTCATGGTCAAAGTTATTGCATGGGGTGGCCGAGTAGTTCTGCAAGACAGATTAGCAGAGGATCATGTCAACAATTGGTAGGTTTCTGACAGTGACGGGCAATATGCGCCTTGTCACGATACGTACATGGCGACGGGCTTGCAAAATGGCCTCAACAGTCATGTACGAGCACAGCACAACTTGTATGGGATTGTAGATAAACTGGAGTGGTGCCGTGTTGATTGCGGGTGCACCTGACTTCATGACCAGCTGCAGTGGGAAAAGCACAAGGTATGAGAGCAAGCAGCCGATCAGCACTTGTACTGAAGCTTGCATAGTGTTTAAATACGTGACTTACCGTGCCAACCACGACGAAAATGAGGTAGCCGACGCAAAGCGCGAACACCGTGCCAAAATCAGCCAGGAAGTAGTCCTGCATGGGCGACTGACGGTATCGTAGGGTGGGGTCGACCCAGTCCATGACCATGGTATCCATGCCGTTAGCCCATTGTTTGTAGCTGTCAAGGAGGACGCTGGCCATTGTGAGGTCCTCTTGCGAGCTAAAGTGGAAGTGATTGGGGGGGAGGGCTGGGCTGCAAAAGGGCCGGCGGCCATTCAAAGGTGTTAGTATAACTGTTTTAACAGGAGAGGCCTGGTCTCGCTCCCCTATCATGACCATAATAGGCCCAAATCTGATAGAGAGCAGCTATCTGTTACGTAGAACAATCGGGTATCGAAGATCGTCAAGGGTGTAGCCGGGTCAAATGGATACAAGGTGGTCGCCTTTTCAAGCAATTTCTGTTTGATATCAGCTCGAAAAAAACCTTCAGACCAACAACAATCTCGACCTTATCGTCTGCCCGAAACTGATGAATAGGAGCTAGTGAATCTACATAAGGGTCCACGGCGCTTGTATTCACAACGCAACCGCAGCTATATGAGTATTCAAGACCCGTCACCCTAAATATACACGCTATCAAAGGCACTACGTTGCATTGCACTAAACAAAAGCTACATCCAGCACTAATGGTGGTAACTACCAGGCTATAACACCGAGACGGCTCTCAGGACGGCAACGACTCCTCGATGTCACAGTCATCGGCACAGCTCTGGGAATACACGACGTACTCTCACAGACTACCAGGTCTAGATATGGTATAGGGGTAGCTACTTATCACTTGAATCTGTACTTTTCAGACTTCGACATGCAAGAAGCATCTGGTCTGCAACGGGCAACACGAAGGACTCCTACATATTTAGAAACTGCGTAGGAGCGACTAAGTCTTGGGCTTACATCTTCACCCAGTGGACACGATCAGGAGTATCATCCGTTAAAAAAAATGCTATTGGATGAAGAAGCAGTGTAATCTCGATCGGCAGCGGAGTTACTAGGCACCTTTGCAGCAGCGTGACAATAAAGACAATGCACAATTGCAGCAATTCGCTCGCGCTAGGCATCTACGCTTTATGGAGGCTAGTACGCCAGAAGAAGAGCTTACAATTACGTATAGCTTGCCTTCGCGCTTGAAAACCTCCTGTGAGCCTGTACCCATCTTGGCTGGCTGTTCGTGGTCACATTTACATAGCAATCAATAAAGTGATCTCTGTGTATCCTCTAGGTAATCGCACCTGAACACACCACCACTTTATGTCGCGAATACATTGTCCCACGTCCTTTTCGTTGTCATCCAGTTGCGAGATGCCTAACAGTCTACAGAAAAACATCTAACATCCTCTGCTATGCCAAATAAGTTGGCAAAATCGCTTCTTGGACTGCTTTCATTCCACCGCCGCAGCTACTAATGTCCCTTTGTCTACGCGGTCGCGATACACTAGACACGTGTACTTGGGAGAACTCAAATTCATCATATACACTACATTTGAGCGACCACAACGAGTATTTTAGTATGAGTCAAGCAAGCTTGGCGAAAACTACTCCGCGCTGAGCATTGCTGCTTTGCTTTGTGCTTTGCCGATAATGGTAGTGGTCCGCTTTTCGGCTTCCAAGCTTTGTGTCCCAAATCGCAAGAACATTGAAGCAACGGAGACTGATAAATTGTCATGTAAAGCGAAACGGAAGATGAAATTATGGCACTATGAAACGAATGCGCTGTACAACAGCAAGGTTGAGGTATCAATACGGCCTGCTCAGTCCTTTGCATAAACAAAAGCATGCAGTAAACCCTCACAAGATTGATTGTCACCACCAAGAGAAATAAAAGCCACTGAAACAGTTCCTCACCCTAGTCGACGTGGTATTAGTCGCATTCATAGGCACATCTCAAGAATTGCCGTTGACACTGCATGAAAAATTCGCTATATTGCGAACGCGCTGGAGGAGATCAGGTTTAAATTTTGTGGCGACCTTCCGTCTCTATTGCGTCTTCTTCTTGTTGGACGACTTGCGCGGTTTTGCGCAGTACGACTTGATGAAAAAGTTCATGAACAACCAAAAGAGCGACTGGATGTAGACGAGGTAAATGACTGGCACTTTGTGAGGGAATTTGTCGCACGAACGCGACACCATGAGGTAGCCCTGCACATTCATTGTGACGAACTGGATCAGCTGCATGGCGGTCAGGTACTTTTTCCACCAAATGTCACGCGTGTGAGCGCTCACAAAGTAGTACATGTACATAATAGTGTGAATGAAGCCGTTTAGAATAACTGTGGCGTAAATGTCGCCATCGTAGGCCACGCGGAAGTTCATGAAGTAGATCTGTGTATATCGAGTACGAACACCACGTCAGGTGTCTTCATATCACTAAAAGACAGTATAATAAGGCAATACGCAAAGCACTTACCGCAAAAATGGTGAGGTGGTGGTACACATGTAGAAACGAAAGCTGCTTCCATTTCTTGCCAAGGATGATGAAGATTGTGTCACAGAAATCTAGAATCTTGGATAGATAGAACATGTACAGTACGTTACCCATGACAGGCTTCTCCGCGCTGAACGCATTGCATGGCATTGCCGAGTAACCCTGTAAATGACATTGCAAAAAAACAAAGCACACACGGAGGTGTTGTCATGTTTAGCTGACGTTTCTTCAGGATGATTGGCACACGGCCATAGCAATTATAAGACTAAAATACGTACGTTGCGGTAGGCGAGAATACCGGCTTCCAGGCACATGTAGGAGCACAGCACGACCTGCAATGGGTTGTAAACGAACTGGAGAGGGCTAGTCTTGATGGCTGGGACACCCGCCTTCATCACGATCTAGAGGAAGCAGAGGCAAAAACCCCAATCAGCGCGTTTAGTCGGTGCACACCATTTTTATCCGAACGATGACTTGCTAACATACTGTGCCGATGACGACAAAGGCGACGTAGACAATGCAGATGGCAAAGGCAGTGGCAAAGTCGGCACCCGGTAGGTCCTGCAAGGGCGAGAGCTTGTATTGACCAGATGGATCGGCCCAGTCTAAGAAGAGCGTCTCTTGGACGTCCGCCCATTGTTTGTAACTAGCCCACAGTTGAGCGGCCATTGCGAATCAATTGCAATCAGAAAAGTGACGTCTGCGGAGCGAAGCTCGAATTGGGTTTTGGGAGGTCTCTACTGTGACTTGCTTTTAAAAGATACTCACCATACGATTCATCTCTGCATCAGATGCTTTGGGAAGATACTCACCACACAATTCGTTTCTCTATCAGCCCGAGTGATTGGTCAATTGCGTGGATAAAGGCATCGTTTACTGGTTAAAAATGTGTTGCTAGACGACAAATGTTAAAATCTGATGCAGATGTTGACAGTCAAACGTGACGCAATAAAACGCGTAAAGCAACGCAAAGCTTGCAATTCTGTGCATCGACGCTACTGCTACTACCGGCAATCACTGTGTACAAAGAAGCGTTCGAAACAACAGTGTGCTCATTGCCATCCAACAAGCTATACATCGTTATTCGGTTTCGTGTCGAATTGCGTGCAGCTGCAGGTGGTTCGAGATTGAACGAAGCACGTACAGTGTGTGTCTAAACAGCAGCGCAACTTTTATTGCGATGCTACAGAGAGAACATACGGTGCACACAAGGTACGAAGGCTGAACGACCTATTGACAGTTGTATCAGAAAGAAAGCGTCGTGCTAAGTGCTTGCTTTGTTGTAATCGTCCCCTTTTGGTCTTTATAGTAAGAAAAAGAACAAACACCAAGTGCTGCAATAGTTGTGGCGGATATGGCGAGCAATAGTAACAGCAGTAAGGACGACTTGGAGTCATGGATGTGGTCACTTATCGTACTAGCGATTGTATTCGTGGTGGGACTGCTGCTCTTCATCATTAATTTCTTTAAGAATCGTCCGCTGCGTGGTGATAATCGTAGAGAAGTAGCGCAGACACGGAATGTTGGTCGTCCAAAGACAAAGAACGACGTCAATCTGTTGCCAATTGTACCTTGTAAAAGTCAAGCGCGAAACGAAGCGAGCAATTGCGCGAGCATCACGCGTTCCCATGATACGAACCCGTCGCAGATTTCAGGCTTTTCAGGTGGAAGCTATCGCACGGATGCTGGAAACCAGATGAACAGTACGCTGACAGACACCGAAATCGTGACGCAGGAGCGCGCGTTTTCACCCATTGGCGCTTCCTCTCATTCTGCACCATTATCGGACTACACTCAGGGCGTGGAGACCAGCACGATGTCAGCCAGTCCTAGTGAGCCTGACCGTCATTTATATCCGTCTTGTAGCAGCTATTCTCATTCAAGTGATAATAACTCGTTCTCTAGCCAGTTGACTGTTAATGGCTTAGACACAGAGACCGGTACGAAAGTTTCTCCGCGCAAGTCGGATGAATTTTAAGGATACATGGAGTGCGAACCAATTGGGACATCAAAGTCATGAAGCTATTCGTGCTGAAAATGTCTTGTTGCAAATACATTAAGCTGCTTCAGTTTGTTTTCCTTAGCACCCTATGAAATGGTCTCTTTGAGCATTGAACATTCAACAGTATGCGTTAGGCGGTTTACTTGCTCGTTTAGAAGTGCAACGGTATCACTATTTCATTCTCTAGTGTTCGGTTCGTTTCTCATCTGCCGGCCGTTTGTCTGTGATCGTGTGAGTAGCTTTATTCACTCGAAATGGAGTAGCCACATGGTGACGCGATTCAAACGACAAATGTCAAAGTAGACCACAAAATGAACGAGCTACAATCTCCACAAGTTCTGCATGGACAATCAGAAGTAGCCAAGCGATAAGATTGAACGCCAACAAGTGTCTGGGTTTCCAATGCGGCCACGTTAATACACTGCAGGAGCAACGCCAGTCGCTGCACAAGAATGTCATGTAAACCAACAATGACGTTACGAAGCTTGCCACTAAGGTGCAAGCGGAGTAACTCTGCTCGTCAGGCTGGAATTGCACGGCAGATACAGCAGACAACAATATATATTTGAGACTCAACGGTAGATAAACTCATTCTGAGTCCATGAGCCGAAAAAGAGTATGCATCATTTCTGCGGAGATGTCCGACTCCTTCGCTACCTTGACGCGGTAGTCACTAAGCCGCCGACGACTAGATTGTGTAGCGAAAAACGCCTCCTCAACGATGGCGATAAAGATGTTCAGGACTACGTACATGAACAACGAAATAAACGAGTACAGGTACGCGCTTCCCGATACGGTAAAGTGGTGAAGCTCCATCGCATCGAACGTATCCATAATAATGTCCCCATTCATCAGCGAGAACAATGTAATCATTGAAGCACTTAGTGTGCCGAACTCCTCAATCTTGTTTCCAAAGTAGATTGTCCCGAAAAGAGCATACCCAACGAAGATTGGAGATACACCGAGCAAAAACTGTAGTACACGTGGCGTGCCCCACTTGAGTGTCAAAACAATTGAATAGATGTGCTGATTGTGCTCCAAATATCCAACGAGACAACTCCAAAGTAGCAGCAATGCTGTCGCATGCAGTAATCGATGCCCAAATCGAATTGGCATGTGAGCTTCCAAAAAAAGCAAACTCCACATTGTACTTAGAAGTAGTAGCACGAGCGAGATGAGTACCAGTAGCTGTCTGCAACATAAGCAGTTTCTACAATAGTTAGCTACAACACTGCAAAACGTTTGTCAAAGACCCACATACAAGCGGTTGAGAAGTTGGAGCTTGAGTGTAAATGGAATTTGAGACCAAGATCTTAAAAATCCGCGATGATTGGCGTAGCGCTGCGATCGATCGGAATCACTGTCATCCGAGGCTATATCGTAAGACCCACAGCCATTCTTATCGTGATTTTTCTTAGGGACATGATCCACTAGCAATTTCCTGGCACGTGTCATGCTACGTGTACGAAACACAACACAATTAGTCCAGTGATGTGCATAATACTCGAAACAACACGCCATTTATCAGACAACATACAAACAGAAGGATCTTCGCAGAGCGCTAAGACTGAGAGCCATATACAAGAGCGAGAACACCGCAACAACCACGTGCATCCAGACAAAGCTTTGTCTGGCCGTTGCCCAGAACGGACGTGGATGCATGCTAGCGCAGCGCAATACTTCGCAGTCCTCCAACTGAACATGAATTTGAGCACTTTCAATAACTTGAAACCTCACATTCACGTGCCACTTAAAACACTCTTCGTAGAAATTTCCAATCTGGCGGTCACGCAATGGGAACGAAAACTTGACGACATGAAGTGATCGAAATAAGTGTTTTTTCTGCCACAACGTCATTCTCAGGTCAAAGGGCCCCACACTCTCGTCATCCTGCGAGACAAAATATTCGCGCATTTCCATCTCGCCATGAGGTAGCACACGACCGACTGTCAGTTTGAGTGGCTGGATTTCGCCCGTGGAGGTGCGTAGATATTCATAATTGGCAACAGACGCGTTACCAATGGAGAAATACGAATCCCGTAGATAGTGCACTGCTGTCATTGTATGGTTGATTGTATAGAAATTCCGTTGAAATCGGGGTCTGCTTGATAGATAATATAGAAAAGCCAGTGAGTATCACAACATTGCTATAGGAAGTAGTGGAAAGTAGTAACACACACGACGCCAATATCTGCGGAAGGAGGAAGAAAGAAGAATGCCCTAGAAATCAACTGGATATGTCAATCAGGTGTCTAGATATATAAAGCAGTTCAACGCACCAATTTCGATATGAAGTACGCATATAAGCAGCATTTTGGGCATCAAATAGCTGCATTTGAGCAAAGGTAAGAAGTATTAGGGCTACGTGGAGCAGCAGCTTGTATGGAAAGCGACCGTGTTTGGTCCATTTCTCCCAAGGCGAAAGTATAAGTCGTTCCATTGTATTCATTGAGCTTTCGTCCTTTTGTTGAGCTTCTTGTGTCGCATTCTTCACGTGATTATCAGTCTTGTCGTTGGACGGAAGCAGGACACGCCGTAATTCCGCCTCATCGGATGCCTCCATATCTGTAGCGTTCGAAATTTTCAAAAAATGCTACGCTTTTTGACAATTCTTCAGAACCTATCATCTCGCATGTAGCATGAGTTTAGGTAGTTGAGATCGTTTGAGAAAAGGAATCTGAATATGATTGACCCGCTAGGAGGAGGCAGACCAATTGTAGCAGCAGCAGCATTTGTAGGAATATCAACAATTCAGATGGAGTGGAATCAAGTGCACGCATTAGAGATCCTGTCAAGAAGTGGAGATGGTGCTGATATGGGGGATATGAGTGAGGAGGATCCAATGGACAGCGGTGAGCAAGAGAATGCGGCGTCTGTAGACGTAATTGATGTACAGAATAAACTCGAAGCGGAAGATCTAGTGCCGGAAGCTCTTATCTCTACCGATGCATTGACTAAACAACAAGTGACGTCTATAAAGAATGAAGGAGAAAAAGCGGTAGAGTTTGCGAAGAACCCAGTGGAAAATTCGGCGCTATATGTAAAAACTGAGATTGAGAGTGGAGAATATGACAATCCTGCTCTTAGCCAAGTGTTAGTGAACACACACTCAGCAGGAACGGAGCCTTCAGGAAAGGAGTCAGCAGTGACAGAGCCAGCAGTGACAGAGTCAGCAGTGACGAAGCCAGCAATGACAGAGTCAGCAGTGACGGAGTCATCGGTGACGGAGTCATCGGTGACGGATTCATCGGTGACGGATTCATCGGTGGCGGATCTACCGACTCAGACCATGGAACCAGTTAAGATAGTGGCGGCCACGACCGAACCATCTTTACGCACAGAGGAACCCGCAGTTACTTTAGAAACCGTAACAAACGACGATGCGAAAACGCAGGCAAATGGATATATGCAGCATAGCAACAATCCACTGGTTTTCGTAGCGCTGGCAGCTATATGCTGCATTTTCTTGTTCGTCTGGGGACATAAGAGGCGTTTGGGTGCAACCTCTAGCTCTAGTACATCTGATGGCACAAGCCCCAAGGGACATAAGGTCCAATACACGAAAGTACCAGATGAGCAACTATCGAGTCAAGATTACGACAATGAGTATTGCGATGATTATGAGGAGGATACTTTTACGAATGACCGGGATGACTGGGATGACTGGGAAGGTGATTCTACGCAAATACAGCTGAATCCGTTCGCTGCGGCACCCAGTGCTCCGCCCTTGAATCCACTACGCCAGAGCAATCCCAGTCCCTACAAGCTCACCCAGCCCTTGCCTCCTCCACCACAGCAGCACGCACAATTTCAGGAAAGTGTTGTCGCGAATATAGGTGACATGCTATTTTCAACTGTCGAATCTAATAGCTCAAGTGACTCTTTCGAGGTCGTTACAGATGTAATCCAAGCATCCCCAATAAGCAGCCACGATGCCGTCGCTAACGCCGAGAAGGAAAATGAGAGCGTCGATGACCTGTTCAAAGTGCGTGTTAGTTGAGATGTTGTGTTGCTCCTCTGGCGTCTTGTTTTGACGTGAGATGTCTGCATGCAGCAATTTGGTATGGTGTTGCCATTCAAGAAGAGAGTGGTAGTTCCACCTTCGCCTGCAGCCACCAGCGCGGATTCTGTTTTTCAGCCTCCAGCGACAGCAGCAGCTCGTTCCGTGCCATCCTTCCCTACTGCTGCAGAAGCGTCTGCACTGTTTGCGGCTGAGATGGAAGATGAGCTTACTGCTGTGGACGCAGCCGAAGAGTGGGGTGAAGATGATGAGTGGGTGAAGGGTATTTGATCGCTTCGCGATCGATCACAGGGTTGGAATAACATAAACAACAACATACGTTTTCAAATTTTGTTGGTGTTGCATAGTGATGGTGTTATCGATTATGCTTGCCGCAATATTGCTGGGAGTCGCGACCCACCCAAGTGTCTTTGTTCATTTCATACGACCCACCTGATAGGGGCGTGTCCGTGCCAACTTGGTGCTGCTCAAGTAGAAACAGCTCGCTAGGTGCATTTTTACTAGGCTCATTACTCAGTCCTCGCAGTCGCGTTGCATCGTAAATATCTAGCCCACCAATTGTGGTAATCTCGAGATGAGCATATCCAGGAATGAGTTCTGGCGGGCCAAACCACAGTTTGCTTAAGATTCCACGTCGCCATCCCACAATTACCAATACACCCAGTGTACAGGGCACGAGATACATCAACGCTGGTTGATCAATGCCTGTGGCCACGACGCCGATATTTGCTAGTAACAAACCAATTGTGTAACCCCATATTAGAAGGCAGAATAGCCCGCGGCGGCATGGATAATACTCCTTAGTGCCAAGCTCTGCTCCTAAGACGTCCAGATTCGGGTTACCTCCACTTGTTGTCGATGGTAAGCCGTTCAAAGTAGTACATGTCAAGCGTTGGTCATACATCTTGCCATGAGGAGGCACTAAACGCCCAAATAGCTGACCACGGGTGGCGTAGTCGTAACGTGCGCAGAACACAAGCAGCAAACCAGGTAGTACGATGTCGCCCAATCCTAAAAGTGAAGATCCTGCCCTCCAGTCCAGCAACTTGGGAACTCGAAGTAGAATCGGCATCGATTCAATACGACAATTATGTTTTGTATCAGTCGGGTAGCGCAGGCAGTATCCGCTTGATACACCACCAGTGGCGGTGCTTTGTGCTCCACCAGTGGCCACCTTAGTCATGACGCTCTCGTTTAAAATATACGGTGAAATGAATACCATAAAGACGTCGTACAAAAAAACCAGGACAAGCAGCACGGAGGCCACCTTCAAGTTGGGTAGCCGAGCAATTCGCAAAAAGACAAGGCAAAAGCAAAGACCAAAAATATCCTGGAAAATCCACGAATACGAATGAAAGCGAGCACAAAACCACATGAGCGCGATTCCAAGCGACAATGCCAGCGCCAGCAAATCGCCGATACTCCATGCCGCGGGGACCAAAATACCGTCCCAATGCCACAAAACATCACGCCATGGTAGCTTGTGCAAATATTGTACCGGAACGCGTCGCATGAGCGGCTCCCAAATTGCCTGGAAGGTGGCGAACACGGCTCCAATGCCAAAGAGAGCCACCACCACAATCACCACATTTACAAAAAAAAGAAAAACCAGAAACCCAGAACCGAGCATCACGAATGTCAGCGCATGCCAGGAATTCAAATCAAAAAGCTCCTGCTTTGGAACCTGCTCGTCATGCTCCTCGTATGCCACTCGAGCTTGGGCGATAGCGTCTGAAGAGGTAGCATCAGCAGCAATAAGCGCTGCCTTAAGATGCGCCTTTGTGCGTTCGTAGGCTGCACCCTTGTAAGCCCCGATAAGCACTGTAGCACAAGCAACAACCCAAAGGATGACCTGAGAAGGATCTGCGAGAGGCGGGTCGCGCTCGTATACCGATACCAACAATTGGCCGCTCTCATCCTCTCTTCGAGACGTCAGCATGTCCTTTAACGAGTCACCGTCAGCGATAGAGATTCGCACCACAACAATGTCACTTACTTTATTCTTTCCTGTGACGATGTCCGATGTGCCGAAGCCCATAAGATCAGGGATGTCCCAAACACAACAAACCCGCTTGTTCGCGCCACCTGTGGGTGTGCACATGTGCGACGAGCACTTGCTGCTACCCGTGCAAGAACGAACACCCGCGTCCTCGGCCCATGATGCAGAAGTAAAGTCATTGATATCGGCGTTCGATGCCATTTTACCGGAGCCACGCGAGCAGCTGTATTCCATTCGTTTCTCCTCCTCAGTAGCGCCAGCATCGTTGGAGCGGTTGTGGAGTTGCTCCCGAGTGTCCGTGACGATGAGAACTGCAGCCCCTAGTTCCTGCGCGTAAAACGCTTTTTCTGCAAAGGTACAGCCGCCTCGATCCACCAGCAGCACGAAGGGATCATCGGGTAGTCCGAGCAGGGCCGCCGCACTGACGGAGCCTGAAACACTGGAGGAAGAAGAGACGTTGCCACGGGTACTCACATGAAGCAATTCTTTCTTGGATCTGCAGCCAAATCCGTCGCCCAGTCCCGTTGCGTTGTACACGAGCGGATAGAAAGCGTGCCTTTCGCCGTCGCGAAGCCTCTGGGCCTTTAGCGACGCGCCCCAGTCCTCCTCTGCAGAGCTAGAGGCGTAGAAAACAGCCTCCGACTTCTTGACTATCACAACGGCCGAAAGTATCGAGTCCGCTGGGTTCTTGGCCTCGTTAAGCGACGCTATGATGCCAATTAGCAGCAGCAATGGGCGCACGAGGAGTCGCATGAGAAATCGACTTTAGAAAGAGTTTTTCCTAATAAGACCTTGTACGAATTCAAAAAATCATGTGAAATTAATATATTGGAGAATCATCTGAATTCAGACAGTTCAGCACGACAGGAGGGGATGTCACCCATACGGCGAGTCAATTGAAACAGGGATTAGTCGCCCGGACATAGACGACGTTCGTTTCAAAGAATGAGCTACAGTGGAAACCCGCTCGAACAATCATACAAACTATCTGTAGACACTTTTCCTGTATCAACAGATAGTTTGTATGATCGTATTTCATGAGGACAGGTATATTTTATGAAATTTACCTGTGGTATTTAATGACAAATTTATTTTTCACTTTGCTCAACTTCTGCAAAAAGCTGTGTTTTTTTTCAAAACAACCCGAATTTCATACAATCGCCATTCGTGACCAGAGCCACAGCGCGCGGAAAATAACCCGTATTTAATTCTGCACTTTTTGCGGCGAATGGACCCTCACGCCGTGAATGCGATGGGCATACAGGTTGGAATTTCAATGCCTATGTCGAGTTCAATAGCCGGCGTGAATGGTAGTAATCCACAGGCGATAGCCATGGGTATCAATGGAGGCATAGCCATGAACGGCTACGTCGTCCCTCAGCAACAGCAGCAGCAACAACAGCAAGAGCAGCAACAACAACAGCAACAGATGATGATGAATATGGGACAGATGAACCAGATGAATATGGGATCCATTGCCATGAAAATGAACTCTAACGTCATGAATTCAGCCGCACCACCAGCAGCAACTATAGGGTCAGGAATGCAAAGCAACGGTGCAGACTGGCGTATCCAGCTCACTCGTGAGCACCGAGCGAACCTCATTGCCAAGATGTATGAGTGGTGATGTTTATGTGCTATGTGATCGATTCTTGCTGACTGGTTGGATTGTTGTTGTTATGTCTGTCTTCAGCTATAACGAGATGGTGCGCGTGTCCGCTGATCCCGTGCCCGGGATTAAGCTCTGGATGAACGTGTCATGGTACGAGCTGACGCTATACAAGGAATCACGCACGCAGGAGGAGTACATCAACAAGATCTTCACCCGCCTCAAGTCGCTGCGTGGGCAGCAGACGGACATGAACGCGGTCATGGCGGCGCAAACATTGCCCAACCAGGGCATGCTGTCGAGACTGGACTTTTCTTACTACAACACACTCAGCATGAACCACCGCGCAAGCGTTTCTGGTGCTAACGGTAGCCAAGTGGAAGGCTTCCCAGAACACGCACAATATGGTGGGCCAGCTGCTCATCCTGGAGCTCAGCAAGCGCAGCCAGCCAAAGCGTTGGCAGCGGGTGCGGGAAGCGTGCCTGCAAATTCAGCTGCACACTATGGAGCGAGTACCACGCCGCGGGCGGAAAAGCCTGAGGGAGCTATTCCCGGTGATACACCGGCTGAGTATTGGCGGCAGCACGCAGCGCTTAAATTGAAGTATTACGATGATGTGGAGAAGGTACACAGCGCTTTCAAAAAGTATGTGGATCACATGAAGGGCCATGACGAAACTGAGCAGAAGAAAAAACTACGGTATCTTCTCAGCTACGTGCAACTGTGTGCAAGTATTTTAAACGAGGACAAGTCAACGCATGCGCCGCGCAAAATAGAGGAGCTAGACAAGGTGTACAAGTACATTGTGAAGATTGTGAACCCGTATTTGAAGAAGCTGCGTACAGAGACAGACAAACGCAGCTTCACGCCCAACGCCGGCCGCATCCCAGCTGGAATGAACCACTCTGTGGCGACGAATCCAGCATCTAGCCCCCCTGCAAGTGCAGTTGGTGCTGCTGCAACATCAGCCAATACGTCGAGCGGACCAAATGGCGCAATGCACATGCACCGACAGCAATTAGGTCAGCCTCAGCTGCAGCCGAACTTGTCGTTGCAGCAAAAGCAACAGCAATATCTCATGCAGCAGCGCGCTCAGCAGATGCAGCAGCAACAACAAAGGATGCAAGTGCAAGCGCGCCAGCAGCAGGTGATGCAGCAACAGCACGTAATGCAGCAGCAAAAGGGTGCGACCCAGCAAAACCAAGCTCAAGTGTCCGCTCAGCAGGCCAATCAAGCAAATATGCAGAAGCAACAGCAGAATGGTCAGCCCCAGCAGAATTTGCAACAGAATCAACCGCAACAGTGTCTAGCTCAACATGTCCAGCATGCTCAGCAAGCTTCGAATGACCAAGAACGACCTGCACAGTCCCAGCAGCTCACTTCGCATCAGCCTCAGCAACCTCGCCAGCCGCCGCAGGCCCCGCAACAGATGATGCAACAACAGCAGCAGACTCATTCTCAGCATAAGAGCCAGCCCCAGGTCCCGTCATCAGCATCAACATCGCGGGCCGAGGCTTCCTCTCTGAGTTTGGACGACCCACTATACGGAGGAATGGATAGCAGCAGTTTGCTATTGATGCCGTCAAATCTTGGACATTCGGGTTCCTCGTCGAGCTTTATGAACTTTCCAAATGACATGTCGCCAACAAATTTTTCGAGCATGGATCTGCTTGATATGGACGGCTTCATGGGACATGATGGGAGCAATGCTGGTTCTGGTAATTCTGGGCATAACCACAGCCATAGTAGTGGTGGGAACAACAAAAGTTCTGGCGACGGAGGTGACTCGGACCTCATGTTTATGGAAGCACTTTGAATTAAATAGCCCAAAGCGAGTACCGTATGCGTATCAGTGTTTGCGAGCGCACTTGCTATTTCACACAATGACGTCTCTACGTAAACAAACATCCGGGTCTGATTGGACCAAACTGTCAAATAGCATGCACAAATTGCAATTTTCTTACAAAACTCAATGTTACAAAATACAATTTTGGTATAAAAAAAGATAGCCCGTCTTTGTTCTCTAGACGCCACCACAAAGCGGTCCTTCTCTCTCGCCGTCGACGGTAACGCATCTCCGTATAAGAGCATTATCTCTTAATTCCGTCAGCGGTGTAAGTCGCTGATCGAAATCTCTAAAGCATAATGGCAAATAGGAATGGCACGCGGCTATTAAAGCCTACTAGCAGTATGCAAAGCATGTCCAGCGCGCTGTCACTGCAGCCGGCACCGCTCACGAGCGCCACGTTTTCTCGCGCTGTGGAAGAGGATCTGGAGTCACAGGCGCGCGCGTCGCTCAGTCTCTTTGGCTTTGGCTCGCAGGAATCAGTGAACTGGAGCCCCGTTAGCGCCAGCGTGGCGTCCGCGGCCGCATCCGCCACCGAGAGTCCAGGAACGGGCGGCGCGATCAAGGTCCGCGTCATGGAGCGCGTGTGTCCTATTGGCACCAACACGTTCCTTTGGAACACTATGAACTCGCTAGCTAACGGTGGTGAAGGAGGCGACGAATCTGCAACCGGTAGCGTAGACTCAGCGACTGCGAATGGCAATGGGAGCAATGACGTTAATGGCAGCGGCACGTTGGAAAGCGACGCGTCAGATTGGGACACCGCATCGGCAGGACTGAGCAATATGTTTGCGTCAAAAGTGTTGCAGCAATATCTCGTAAAGTGTGTGGCGCTTTTGCCGTCGTCTATTGAGGAGACAGTGGATCTTCTCGTGCGCTCGGACAGAGAAGATATGGAGCTCCCCATGCAGCACCTCGTAGGTGTTCGTACGAGTTCATCAGCCTTCGTGTATTGCCGCAAGAAGAAGCTTTTGCGTCGCTGCAACAATAAAAATAGCAACAGTAGTGAAGCCGTAACTAACCGAATGACGTCCCAGGTATCAACTCAAGATTGCGACAGTGAGTCATCGTACTCAGACTCTGATTTGGAGGTCGAAGACAATGTGCCGCTTTTTGCAGGTTGTGTCAGCCAAGAATCTACGACAGGACGTGCCCGAGGCACTCGGGGCGACTTGTTAGAGGTTGGTCGATCAGGAGGGAACGCATCGAGCTCGGGGCATTATTTGCCTTCTACAAACATGGAAGATTATCGTGCTGCAATGGCAACTTCAGGCCACCAAGGAAACCTTAGTATTAAGTGGGTCGTCGGTGAGAAGACAAGTCGTATGTTTGCGTCGCGGACTACGTACTGCCTGTTGGATTACGAGTGTATCCTGGTGAACGACTGGGACGAAAACGCCGATCCGTCGCCAATGTACGTGCGCACGCTGCAATCGTGCTATAGCCCACACTGTCAACCTTGGTTAGACGAGGTAGGTTCCAAACCGACGGATCTTCAGCCGACAGGTTTCATGGTTCGCCAAGCACGCAATCGTGATGGATATGTAGAAATTCAGTTTGTGACTTCAATTCTGGAGAAAGCACAGTTGCCTATGGCGTCTCGGAGAGCAAAGTTGCGAGCATTATGCGCTAAAATTGCACGATTGGAGGAGGTCCTTACGAGCCGGCGTTTATCGCAGTCTTTACTTGTGAAAGCACCTCACTGGGTGCACAATCGTGAACGGTTGGGATGCCGTATTTGCGACGCAAAGTTTGGATTGTCACGTCGTCGTCATCATTGTCGTCTATGTGGTGAAATTTGTTGCTCTGAATGCTGCCCAAAGATGGACGTCGCGCTTCCTGAAGTGGGTTGTACAAGTGTGCGTGTATGTATCGGATGTGTACAGAAGCGCAAAACGAGCTGCGAACTAAGAGTGTCGAATGCGCCAACAATGGTGTCGACGTTGTCACCGACAAAAAGTGCCTGCGCGGCCACACCACCACCAATTGGATACCCCGCGCTACGCTCGGCTTCGTCGTCGCCGCCGGAGCATTACTTATCATCTTCTTCGAGCTACAGTTCTGCCAGCAGCTTTACGAAGACCAGCAGCAGCTTAGGTGAGCGTAAACATTCATTGGCGTCGTCAGTTTTTCAGAAAATGAAAAGCAGTTCGTTGGGTTAAGCGCAAAATCATGTTAGACAAAATACATAGATGACCGAGGTTCATCATATATACTTGATACCACAGTTTAGACACCTTCTGTTAACAGCACGCCTAACAACTGCCAGGCAACATAACCTTATACAACAAGAAAAAGCAAGAATTGGTGGCCTTAGTACTGTGCGTTATCAGAGCTTGCGTCTTTATCTTCGATATTGATATGAGCGTATAACCTACTTGGATACTACCTTGGAATCCCGTGATTGAATTGCTTGATGACGTCCGCGTTAAAGTCGTCGGACGGAAACTACTAATTTAATAGTGTTCGTCCGACAACTAGTAGTGTCACTACAGACGATTAGTAGTGTCACTACTAAAGTAGTAGTGTCCGTCCGACGACTTCAACGCGGTGGTACCCAAACTCAGACTCAGTGTCATAAGTTTGGTATGGTTGCCCAACCCACTTACCCATGGGTACTTATGGGGTACATGTACCAAATTTTTCGGACATACATCAGACACACTTGCTCCATCTCTTTCTTCTTTACACTATACAATCAAAAATCAAAAATTAAACCCGTCACCCATACACTTGTCATCTAAAACGCATTATTTGATGGAAGACAGTCAGGACTTGTTCATTACTCCAATGGTCAGTGTTAGCTCATTTACTCCAGTCACACAGGATGCAAACTGTACTGTGTCGGGCGCTTCTGCTGGTATCAAAATTCTTGAATTTACAATCACTTCATATTGAAAAACCAGCCAGGAAACAACTAACAATCGCTAGAGCATGGAAGAAAATTGGTACAAGTGCAGCAAATGTACGAGAACTTCTAAGTGTATCAAGGCAACTGGTACCTCCAATCTGATCATACACCTGCGGAGCAACACTAAATAAATCAATATGGACCAACAACTGCCGAAAAAGTCGCCGATAATAAGACTTTGAATGGATTTTGTAGCGGAGCTGCACAGCTCTATAGCCAGAGGGAGACTTTTAGGCTGGAAGCCTCTTAGTTCTAAAGAACTAAATAGAGTTAAGGCTTAAAGCCACTTAGTTACTAGGAACTAATTAAACGAGTTAAAGTCACCCTGTTCTAAGGAACTAGGAAAGAGACTTTTAGTCTACAAGCAATGAGCTAAGGTTCAGAGAACCAACGCACAGAGTGCAAGAACAAGCTAGAAGCTTAGAGGTTCAGAGAAATAACGCACGAAGTGCACACGAGAACAAGTCAGAACGACTTGTGATCTTAAACTGAAAATGAGAACTGTTTTTATTTATGCATTAAGATTTTTATGAATAGTCGTACTCTAAGTACACTACACTAGATTAATTACTATAATAGTAATTATAATATGCAGACTTTGCTATTGGATGATGTATCGTCTAAACATCTGTGTATGATGTACTTAGTACAGCGTTTATTGATTATCGAATCCCAATCGATAAGATACGGTATTACCGAACACCGTATCTGTAACGCTTATACTTAATACCTCTCTAAAGAGAAGTATAATAATGCATTATATGCAATACAAAGGGGAGTTTAACCGTAAACTCTCGGAAAGACGCTACAACCGTCGTGTAACCCCGTTACACCCTCCCCCACCAGACTGACGTTCCCATAGAATGTCACTCGACATCTTTCCTCGTAGAGGTAGTGCTTTAGCGAACGTTTAAAACCTCACGGTTTGTTCACGGCACATAACATGACGCCTCCCGATAGTGAGTCACAGACTCTTCGGGACCTCATTGAAGACGACCTTGACGAAGCGGTTGATTACGAAAGTGACACCGTCTTTGTGGGACCCGATGGGTCCTCTTTAGCCACCCTCACGGTTGAAGATGACACTAGTCATGCACCGAATCCGTTACCAAACATGGTGCTGCAGATGCGCTAACAGCGTTACGTGACCCGCCTGACGTATCGTCAACGGCGACGGTTACCAACCCACTCGACGAGCAGCAACAGCAGACTATCGAGCAAGAGGAAGGCGCCAAGCGCCGGACGAAGAATATAACGAGGCTTCAGGACCACCGTCAGTATAGATTTAAACCACCTACGGTGGAAGAACGCCTAAAGGAGGCATCTGGGCATTCCATTTCTGGCTGGGCCATTGGGCCTGAGGCCATTTCACCTGAAGATGTTGCCATACGCACGGCACTTCGACAACGATATCTAGAACCCCACATCACTACACAAAGCCAATACTTGGCACGCCTCACCAGGCAAGTGCGGGGTGCGCTAGTCCCTCCCATAAAGGGTGTTCCCATCCTTCTGTTTGCGGGGAAAACCGAGGAAGAAAAAGATACGTCTTTTAGCCGCGGGGCGCATTATGCGCGACGTTTAAGCAGCATGTGGGCCCTACGAGCAAGTGCCGATGTGGCAGATGTTCGACTCGAACGGAAAATGCGTTACGATTACGCTAAATTGAAGGCCCGGGGGAAATTGATATCCCGACGAACGCATTATGCGTCTGCTACCCAGCACCCCAATGTTTCGGCTACACCTGTAGCCGCGAGTTCACGACAGGCCGAGGCCGCTAACTCGCCTACCCTCACCACTACTGGCGAGAAGCGTCATCGCCAACAGGCTGAACCTGCGCACGACGCTTAAAAACGTCCACGGCGTATGGGCAATCCTGCCGAAGGGGAACCTCGAACTCCCATGAGTTCCAAGACTCGGGATATCCCCGCCACTTCACCAGATACTAGTTTTGACCATGGCGGCGACGTTTCTGCAACAGACGTTCAACATGGAACTGAAGGTTCCTCTGTCCATCAAGCAAATCCGGAGGAGGCCGGTGTATCGGCACAAGCTCATGCCAATCTTCTTCAAGAGGTACGGTCTCTCCGTGAGGATATGTAGTCGTTGAACTCCCGTATTGAGTCACTGGAAGAGATCCGAACCCGAGTGCAGGGTAAGCTTGACCTGTTGGTGCAGATAATCCGCCCCGCGACAATGCCGATGAACTCGGCGCGAGCGCCTTAGCATCTATTTGGGACAGATCCCGATATGGTTTGAGCATGCCGACGTAGAACACAGGATGTGTACGCAATTTGCGCGGCAAATTAAGCGTATACGCTGTGCCTTTCTTGGCAATGACCGTAAAGGGTCCGATAAAGCGCGGACGCAACGTCGTCTTAAAGACAGCAGATACTACATTGGTAGGTAGGTTTTTAGCATTAATTAATACTTGGTCTCCGACCTCATAATCATTAATACAACTTCTGCCTTTAGCATCCGCATATTCCTTCTGTTTGTCTTGGCCATCAGCCATTGCGTCTTGCACATGTCGTAAGACATTTAGTCGCGTTGCGAGAAACGCGTTCAACTGTTTCTTAACAGTATTAGGGCTGACATCAGAAAGCCGATCGGCAACCTCTCCCCCACCAATCCCTGAACCATTACATGGTAGCGCTAACGGAACGCGTGGGTGTGTGAGACCATTCACATAGAACGGAGTGTAGCCGGTAGAGGCGTGCACGGAGTTATTGAGTGCAAACTCAACTACAGGGAGCATAGAGATCCATCGATTAGGCGTTTCAGCACAAATACTGCGGAGGATATCTTCAGCAACACGCTTTACGCGTTCAATTTGACCATCGGTCTGCGGATGATCCGCTGTGGACATGTCCAAACGGGTGCCTAGCACCAGCAAGACGGAGTTCCAAAATTACTCGTAAAACGAGGATCACGATCAGAAACAATTGCCACTGGCAAGCCATGTTGGCGAAACACCCGATCGATAAACAGCTCCGCTGTACCCACACCATCGATCGAATCTGGCACAGCCGCTAAGTGAGCCATCTTGCTCAAACGGTCAACAAAGACCACAATACCTGTATTGCCATGCGAATCTTTCGGTAGGCCAAATACAAAATTCATACTGATGGACTCCCAGCACCCAATGGGAATAGGCAAACTAGCCAGCGGCGCTGCCGAATGGGCGAGAGTTTCACCCGTTGACACGTTTCACACGTACGCACATATGTGCTCACCCATTTATATAATTTGGGCCACCAGTAACTTTGGCATACTGCCCCATAGGTCTTTTCACGACCCAAATGACCACCGATGGCGGTGTCATGTACCTCATAGAGGATACGATACTTCAGGTCCTCGTCATGAGGAACTACAATACGCGGAGGATCCGCTACATCTGTACGATAGTACAACAGCACCTGATCGATAGAATATCGATGAAGGCTCGCACGTAATCGTGCCGACAATTCAATGCCCGAGTCTTTAAACTCATTACTGCCAAGAGCATGTAGCAACGCTATACAGTGATTATCTTTAGCATACGCCGATCGAATGAGATCAATGATAGAAGACGACAACGTCGTAACCCAAACATGAGCAAGCTCTAGTCAGGTCTGCGTGACAACGCAACAGCCAAAGCATTTTTGTAACGGGCTAAGGACCCGTTACCGTCTTACACTAAAAGGGCGTTGAGGAAGCGCTCTTAATTAACTCGTAAATATAACTCTGTTTTATTTTTGTTTTAGTTTTAATTCGCAGTAAGTGCGAATATGTTCCCTAGCTCATGGGAACCACTCAATATGGAAGTCAATTTATTATTGGCTAATTATTGGGTCTGGTACCCCAATAATAAACGAATAATAAAAATGACGCGCAGTATCCGCTAATCGGATACTGCCCTATGCCTACTTATGTAATTATGTATTAATTCTATAACTACTCATGTAATAGGTTGCCCCATTACATCACCCCCCTCTTTAAGTTGTGCTTACTACAACGTAAGCACATAACTTGAAAAATGATTTGTTTCACCAAAGATGCAGCGACACAACCTCGAACCTGCTCAGTGACACGCAACTGAGCAGCATGACACTGGCCGCGTGCGCAAGGATATATCTGACGACAACAACCGTACGATCTGCATGGAGCAGACACCGCGAGTCACGGACGCACACTTGATCACGTGGACGCTATACCGTTATATCAGCGCTAATTATCCAGAATTGCAAGAAGTCATAACGAAACTCTTCA